CAAGAATTACATTTGTTTACTTGATGAAGGCAAAGAATAAAACTTACAACAATTTTTGAATCTTCAAAGCAATGATGGAGAAAAACAGATAAGAAGGGCAAGACTTGAGATTTGGCAGAGGAGGCGAGTGTATGTCTAAGGAGTTTGAAGCATACTTGCAAGTCGAAGGCATTACAAGAAATCTGACACAAACTCAAACACCTCAACAGAATGGAGTTGTAGAACGACATAACAGAACAATAGTAAAAAAAAAAAGTCTCTAACAGTGGCACTCGAAGCTCAGCTACCCAAGTTTTTGTGGAGTGAAGCAATTAAAACAACAACTCTTTCAGTGAACATCAATCCAACAAAAGCAAATCATGGAAAGACATGGTAAGAAATCCAATGTGTACCATCTTAGAATATTTGAAAGCATAACTCATGTTTATATTCCAAAAGACTAATAAAATGGACAATAAATCAATACCATGTATGTTGGTTGGTTATGACAGTGACTCAAACACATATAGAGTAAACTGTCTGACACGCAAAAAAGTTATTATCACTAGAGACGTTGTTATCGATGAAAGTAGAGTCGGTAGAGCATGATTATGGGAGGGATGTCAATACTTGGAGATCTACAACCGGAATAGTTCAAAAACTTGAAAGAACCACATTCGTTGAAATAGCAAATTGCAATTTACAGTGATGATGTCAACTACTTTGGCAAAAGACACTATTTTCTTACATCAATTATTAGCAAATTAGGATTATGCAAACACGTACCAACGTTACTTTTTAAGCGACACCCAATCATGTATTAAACTAGTAGCAAATCTAGTTTTGCATGCCAGAAGAAAGCATATAGAATTTCAACATCACTTTGTACAAGAAAGAGCTCATAGGAGATTTACAAGTCCATTATATACCTCCAAATAAACAAGAAGGAGATTGCTTCACAAAACCACTAGATATAGTAGAATTTACAATGAATAGAGAGGCTTTGGGAATAATAGAAATCCCAACACCTGCAGATGCTCAGGGAGTGAGGAGGGGGATTAGAAAATACGCTGCCTGAAAGGATGACGTGAGAGTCACATCGCTATGTAGGAACAGATAAGAAACATATAAGGTAGTGATTGGACACGTAACTATGTCTCGGTGCTGTGAACCGAGACTTTTGAAAACGGTATATAAGAAACTGCTATAACAATAAACGTTCTCGCTCAGATACTATGTTTGAAATACAGTGTTCACCGTATTTCACGAACATGGTATGTGAGCGAGAGCGATGACACTAGTATAGAGAAAGTAATAACCTCTGCTCCTATTCTCTGAGGTGAGATTTATTTTTCTTTCATTGTGCTCAATGTCTCATCATGGATGGAAATGGCAACATGATGCTTGCAGAAAATAGTAACAAGTTGATAAGAGAATCCAACTATCACGTTTGGCGATTGAAGATGCGCTCTATGCTCAAACGATTTGACCTGTGGGAAGTGACTACAAACAAAATCGAGACACTAGAAAGTTCACATGTCACAGTAAATGTAACACATCTTCAGTCGCCAAACGGGATAGTTGGATTCTCCCACCAACTTCTTATTGTCTTCTGCATGCATCATCTTGCCATCTCCATACATGATAAGGCAATTTGCACAATGAAAGAAAAATAAACCTCATCTCAGAGAATAGGAGCAGAGTTTATTACTTTCTCTATATCACTGTCCTTGTTCTCGCTTTGATACCATGTTCATAACACATAGTTCACTTTGAACAAGCTCACGTTTATTGTTACAACAATTTTTTATAAACAGTTTTTCACAGACACTTGGTGCACCAAGTGTCTAATCACTACATAATATGTTTCTTATCTGCTACTACAGAGCGGTGTGACTCCCAGTTCATGCATTCAGGGAGCGTATTTTCCAACAGATTTCATATCGAAACAATAAACCTTCTAGAACTGCTGGCAAGAAAGTTCACGCACATACTGCGCTAAGTTGCTTCGTGGCTGACGAAAAGCGGCTTCTAAGAATCTTAACAGGTACTGTACTGGTAGAAGCAAAATGGATGTTGGACATCTATGGGCTTCAAGCTCCGATGGAAACCTCCACCCTCAGCCATGTGACTAAAGGCCTTCCGAGAAAATTTACTCGAGATCTTCACCAGGACACTTTCTCCAGGTCTGCTACAATTCGATGACCACAGAACTCAGGTATCAGGAGTTCTGTGGTACGACTCCTGATAACTCCTGAGATGCCCAAATTCACGTTAACATTTCCTGCCATTGACTCAGGTACGTCACTATTATGCCACTTAAGTTATGAAACCTCCAAAACAGCTTCCTTCTTGGAGAAGGTAAAGTTGAAATCACCTTGTTCTTGAGTCCACACCTTACGACGGTCAATCTCATTAAGCCCATAACAAGCTTCAAAGCTTGTTAGAACCTGCTCACCTTACGTACACTAGATGCTTAAAAAGAGTGAGTGATGCCATCAGGAAGCTCTAACGACTGCCCACGAATGTTCGAGGGCTGTCGAAGCTTCATGGCCTAAAATGCTAAGCGCTTTCCTCATTCCGTATTTTATGAAGCTTTCTGTCACGCCATGTTCACCACGATAAGCACCACGGAGGACCTCCTCGTTCTTCCACATATCTAGAGAAAGGCAAGGCTAGCCAAACGAAAGGTTAGCCATTGTACTGAATGCCACTGGACATTTTTACTCATATGGATTTTCAGAACAGCGAAGTTTATTTGTTTGTTTTCTTAATATTTTTAATTAACAATGCCTTTCAATTACCTTGTTATTCTCTTCAGAAGAATTAAAAATAAAATCACTTCAATTTGTTTCCATCCAGGGCTTACAAAGCAAAGAAGAAGTTGACAACCGTTTTCTTTGCACTCTTTGAAGTAAAGATTGCGTCTACTTGTGATGGATTGCTCACACTACTTGACTTCGATGTTATCATAGGACACTAGATCCACCGTCAATTCCCCTGAACTTGAAGTATCAATTCATAGCGTGCCTCGCGCAGGAACGAAGTCGAAACATAGATTCCCACCAACCGGCATCTGCTCATTCAGCCGGCAAGTTAGCACAGGATTTAATATGCTAGAGATTTGTTGATGCAGAGAACCAAACTACAGTAATAGCAGCTTTCTTTACGTACCATGGCGAGACACCAAAACGAGTAGCTGTGACACGTCCAAAACTGCAGCCGCTCACATCGGGAATGTGCTCGCTAATATCGGCTACACAGTGGTTGAAAATATTATCTTGCGCTCTGAAACGTAGTAGCTTTAAGTTTGGTGATGGCTTCATAGAGCAAGGACCCTCTGTCATCGCAAAGAAAGCGACCGACCTCCTTGCCGGACGTTTCCCTCAGCCCTTTCACAATGATCTTTTGCAACTCGCAAGTTGTCGTAAGGCTCTGTTTTGACCCTTACAGAGTGCCGAATATCCTGTAAGTTCGTGATCTCGAGCAACTCCAAAATCATTATTCTTGCGCACAATCTTTGGCTGTAAAATACATATCAAGTCAGCGGAGATTGTCCATCTAGAGTTCATCAACTGATCGTTTTGCTCCTCTTGATCGACGTGAGGCGTATGAGCCTCCGTCCTTGCACCTGGTTTTCGCCAGGAAATACAAACACAGCTATAGATAAAACTGTCGACTTCTGATCGCAGTTTAGAACACAGAATTGGTAAGAGCCATATTTAGTCTCACGAGTGCAGCGCAGAACACAACGGGACAGAAGCTGATCAGCTTTCCCTCCAGCTGAAACTCGTCGGCATTGACATTTGAAATATACAAAAGGTCAAGACAAGGCAACAAAAAACAGATTGGTCCTTATGTGCATTTTGTCGATTACTGAGACATCTGCACTGAAGAGTCAAACTATCACTCTCTACGTGAGAAAAACTAGAAAATAAAGAGGATCCTGCAGCCATAAGGCTTTCTGCATCCTGAAGATTTTTTCATGCATAATTATCACAAGTCTTAACTAAACCTCTGGAATTAACTTTGACACAGAACTTGAACATGATAAATTATTTTAATAAATATTGAGTTAAATAGATATTCAAGCCCACCTGACTTGAAATAAGGTTTTAGAGTTAGAGTTGAGAATAATATTCATCGTCAAGTTTCTAAGATCAATTTGGAAATTTGTATGGATTTTTGAAATGTATTAGAAATCACAATAACTATAGTTCAATCAAATGAAGATAGAAAACATGATTAGAAATCATGTCATAAAAGTTTTAAAGTATAGAGCACAACATGTATATGGTGCCAGGAATTGCAGAGGAGCTGGATCCGAAGCAGTGGCTGCTACAATAACGGAATATTCTAAAGAAACTATGAATTATATCTTAGAGGAAAATATGTAATAACCAATCACTATAAAAAGTTGTATACAATGAAAATATAACATGTGATCTACTGTATATCAACATTGATACATATGAAGTATCATGTCATATTGTGGTTAAATTATGGAAAGCTTTTATTCTTAATAATACATGTATCGGTATATATGAAAGATATTACAAGTGAAAACATGACATGCTTAGAATCAACGAAGAAAAAAATCTTATAACCTAACTACCAAACACTTTCATACCAAAATTTGTTGACAACAAGTTTGAAACACTTCGGTGTACTAGAGATGACCACATCGCTTCTTACTTCATATCTTTAGAAGACAACGGATGGAAATACATCATCAGACATTCACAACCTCGGTTACCAGCAAAGCAAACCCCCACAATGCTCTCAAACTTGTTCATGCCCCAACTTCTTTACACATCTTGGATCTCTCCCTTTAAAATATTTGGTGATTAGAAATGTTATCCAACCTCTTCAATTCTGAAAGTGTGGAATAGAGGAAGATAGATTGATTACCTAGCAGTTCTACATATACGGAAATGCATCCGGCCAACGAGTGACTTTGAAGCGAAGCTGTTGTCGTTGGGTGTTGTGATGTGAACTTTCTAACGGAAACATTACTATGTCGAAGGTTAAAACTGAAATGAATTTGAAAATTCGAACAACAAACTCGTGTTCATACATATATTCTATTCGTAATGTGTATTGAGTGAGACATTGAAATAAAGGAAAATTTTTTTTAATACTTCCCGCTGGACACCGAAAACTCGTTGTTACTTTACTTCCACGTGGAAGTAAAATAACAACTGGATTATAGGTGCAGTCGAGGATAATTCTATAACACCTACTACTACTTATAGGCACATGTGCATCCATGACTCACCCACGACAAATGCTTTGTTCCACCTGTGAAGTTATGTACATGCATCACACACTAGTCCCATCACACTGGAATTGTGACATTGTCAAAGTGAGTTTTCAGAAAAATCTAGCTAAAAATGGCCGAATACATCATCTCTCTCTTAAGTTCCTAGCTACAGTTGTCATCTGGCTCCTCCTTCATCCTGACTCAAGCTATTTTTCGTCCTGAGTCCATATTTCGTTCAGACCAAAGTTCTACCCATCGATATCAGACTTGATTGTAGGAGCACTCTTTGGGTGGGATCGGATACCTCCTCTGATCAAGGCAGTAATCATACACCATGTAGTTATGGTGGATCGTTCGAAGTTGGCTTGTCATGTTGGTGTCCAGAGTCTGGAATTGAGGAGTCTCCCACCAGTTGCTCTGATAGTTACTCGTGCACGTGGACATGGCGTTATCGGAACTCTTGCAACCCTGAAATGTGAAGTCTTTGTAGTCGACCACGAATGGAGAGTGTTCCCACTTGGTCGGGACAGCCCCGCCACGAGTGGCCCACGTGCTGGCATCGAAGATACTTGCAGCAACAACCATGGGTTGCTTGTGTGGGTAAGAGCCAGAATCGACACTCTCCATGTTTCTATGAAGTCTGATGGGCGTGTCGTCAACCGTCCATCTGAATGCAACATAGCAAGACACTGGTACATCAGATATGCAAACAAGACAATTTCTTAAAAAATTGGACCTCTGAGTTTAATTTGCCGTATTTTCCGCATTTGATTCTGAGAGCGGTAGTATATGGGCCCGATTTACGTTTGTGACATTGTTCCCAAAGATTGCAAATCGCAAATGGTAGATGTACTAAGCATCGCAAGTCGGTCTACTTATCAGCAAATCTGGACGAAGGATGTAAGTGTTAGCTGCCAATATTCTTAATGTTTGAGGAGCGTTTGTTGCAGACTTGACTTGAGTTGTGCTTGAGCTCACTACGACTACTTACCTGTCCTGCATTTCCCGTAGGGCTCAGAATTTTCAGTATCTTGTTCTGTCATTGTCATATGACTTCAGATAATGATATCATCATTACCCCCGGAAATGACTGACTTTCAATCTGACTGCTTTGTTTAAGATCAGAGGTACTGCAGACATAGACATGAGTCCGGCTGGGCCCTTTAAAACAAAACGAACTCCGTACTTACAGTATTTGGTGATGATTCCAGATAACGGAGTAGGTGTGGAAGCTTTCTGTCGGATCGAACCAGAGGAACATGCGCTGTTCTCGTCCTCCCACGCCGTTGGAAAATAAATTCGTATGCACCACATACGGCTGGCCCGTTTCGTTTCCCAAGAATTCGAAGTCGATCTCATCGTGATTGCTGCCGTAAGATGTGAGCTGAATGATCGTACACATTGAAGTAACAAGCACGCAAGAACATGAGTTAGTTGGGTAGACGCATGCAAGAACAGTGCCATGCATTGCAATGACGTTGTCAACATCGACAGGTCGATTAGCGAAAGTTTGCACTGTCCGAGAGGACGTCCGCTGAAGGAAACAAGGGAGAGCTGCAGCGTCTCAGGGATTGAGCTGGGATTGTATGCCATTGGGCAATTTCTACATTGCTTACATAGAAGGAGCACACTGTGCCCGCCGAGTCGCCTTTGATCAGTTTCAGCTTGACACTGAATGATCCGAACAGAAATGCGTCACTGCTTGCCAGAGAAGCACCTGCAACTTCATTCATAGAGAGCTTCACCGTCCTGGAAGCATCATCCACTATCACATTCTCTCGAGACCACACAACGGTGAAGTCGTCGTGGAAGTCCCCAGCAAAACATGATCCCATCAATGTCAAAAATATCAAGCAGGCGCTTAGCACAGATCGACCAACTATCACACTCTTGAGCCTGTACATGTCGTCCGTTCTTTCTCCCTCGTGCATAACGATTGCAACTTTGAAAGACCTCTCACTCTCCGTATCTCTCGCCGTGTTCTCGAAGTGTTCTCGACGTGTTCTGCCTCGGCCTTGAATTGGTCGTCGTCAGGGGCTCGGACTTACAACCGCCTTCGATGGTGATGAAATCTAATCGGCTATGAGTTGCCTACTGAACTTGTGTCGGCATTTAAAGAGGCCGAATGAGGCTCAAGCTTGCACGAGCTGAGCTCCACTCTCGAGTACAGCCAGCCTAGGCTGCAACTGGCACTCAGAGAAGAGGGCCAAGGTCGTACAATCCCGTTGTGGTGTCAATGTTCTTGATGTGATCATTCCAGCTCGACTGAGCTGGAGCTTGATACCCGTAGTTGGCGATTATGAGACGAGCCTCGGATCGTTATCAGCAGGAACCCATAGTGCATGGAAATCCACATGATTTTCGAAGTCTGCGAGGGGCAATCAGGAGCAGGTAAGAGCAGGTAAGAGCAGGTAAGGTAGGCACTCCGATTCAGTTCTCGAGTACGGAAGCTTGCAATATCGACACCGTCATGACTTCTTTCCTTCGCCTCGCATCGTTCTAAACCGGCTCTTGTGATCACAATACCACCAAGATCCTTTATCAGCGCAAATGGCGATATCTAGAAGACACCATGATTTTCAAATTTGGTGGTTTTTCTAGCCAAGAAAAACAATGTGGGATTCGATGCTCGGATCCATGTCAAAGTCCTCCGCGGCTATCGTATGTTAATGATGCTCTGAGATTCGCATCTCATGCATACAGTACTGCCCTGTACCGAACTCTAAGTTGGTCAGTTGAAGGGAAGTACAGCAGGATACAAGCGACCCGTTGGTGCTCGTGCCCTTTCATCTTCCTTTCGAAAGCAATCCGGAGTGGCAGTCAAGATTCACTCGAGCTTACAAAGCAAAAGGCGATGACATCTGGGTCGGTCAACAAAGTCATGATCTCATTCATGGACAGCCATCCATCAACAGATATTCGCAGCAAGAACTTCAAATGTAAGGATCATCACTTCGACTGAAATCTGCAGATTCCGTACCCAGAGTATCACACTTCTAGCTTTAAGCTGAACTGTCTTGGTCTTCGGCAATGACTGGACATGGACTTCGGCTTCATGTCTCTTCATCTTCAATGGCCAAACGTTCACCAGGTCAAAGAAGCAAAAGAAACAAGACAGATGGTTACACAGCTACATTGATGGATCGATCGGACTCAGAGCCAGCTTCATCATGGCGTAACAGATCGATCGGATCCAGCACACGCTTACCACGTGCCGATCTACAGTGTCAATCGTATCATAAACACAGAGGAGAGCACTCCGAAGCGGAGTCGAATGTCAATGGGGCCGGAATCCGAAGAACAGCACGAACGGACGGCGAGCGCGCTACGAATGCGCTAAAATATGCAGCGTAGCCATTTAAAGAACTAAACCACAACACGTATGGTCAAGAAAATAACGCCACGCTCGCGCTGATTTTGATCGAAGTAATTTTAGAACAAGCGTAAGCCAACGCATTTATGTTTGGTGTGTCTTATTTGTTAGTTCCAGACCGATTCTTGTATTCTCGAAGCATTTAAGGCCGAGTAATAATCAGGATGAAGGTCGACGTGAGCGTGGGGTGTGCTTTTTTGAGCCCTGCTGTGCGATCGCAAGACGCTTGGTGGCGTTTGCTCTTCTAGAGTTTCGGTATGATCTCCATCACGACTGGACATGGACTGAAAACAGCTCGTAACATACATCAAGATTTCGCAAGTGCGGAGCCCTATTAAGATGCATTGTTTCGAATCGGCATTCATTGAATTACAAGGACCAGTGTCATTGTAAGAAGGTCTTCTCCATGACGTATCAGACCGATGTGATCGAGCACTCAGATTAGATTGATAAGGAAATTTCCGCTTTAAGTGCTAGTCAAACTCTCAAATATGGAACTTGCAACCCGCTGTACCACGCAAGAGAATGCTCGAAGTAAAGCAAGTCGAACATTTTTTCCCCATCAACATGCTCACCATCTTCCACAGTATTCCCGGCAGTATTCCGCGCACTGAATAAGCTTTAATCTACTCAGATAAGGCCAAAAGTAAAAATTCGTCCACACAAATCTCAAACCCAAATTCAACCTACGAACTTCCGCGAGTGGGAGGAGTCCATTGCGAGCTCCCCGGAGACCAACTTCGACCTACCAAGACATGCATGACACGCATACATCCGCCATAAACAGCAAGCCCATACGGTGACTGGCGATGCTCCAGCTCCATCTGACGTTGTTCATCAAGAATTCGACGATTTTCTACAGATTGATTGAGGAAATCGTACCGGAGCTAATCAACGACAAACAGTGTAGTGAACCTACGATAGTGATTAGGGGTATACCACATCGCTCAGAGGAGCAGGAGGAACTCCTAGCATTGGCCCGGACTGGGCGAAGAACCAGAGAGTCTTGACAGAGGATACCGATGGCGTTTTTGCTAATCAGGATTACGATCACACTAGCGCATCGATTCTAGGCGGCGCAGGATAAGACCCTTTATCCTTTCCTTCATGATCTTTGTCATGAGAAAAGGTTTTAAAACTTTGTTCATTTTTGCTCGTACATGTGTACGGTTCCCATCGCGGATGTCTCCCCAATTGGCACTTCCACTGCGTCTCCTCGCACGCGATCGAGCAGCGAGACTCGGCCATCGCTACCAGACCACTCCCCGAACGTCGACCTTCGCAAGCGATCGATCGACCTACATTCGAACGACGAGTCCAGAAATACTCCGAACGCGCTCTCAGGCGCGGGCGACGCCCGTTAGCCGGAAGAATTCGAAATGTTCGGAGTCTCCATGTCAGCGGCTGGCCGCGCGCATGCGGCAACGTTCGCTTCCGCGGCCGAGGACTAACTGCAGCGTGCCAAGAAAAGCGGACGAGGTATGGCGCACGTTCGAGGTTTGAAATACAAACGAGAGAGCGTGAGAGCCGTAACAGAAGTCGGACGCACATCCGTCCTCGATCTTTCTGTGCGGCAGCCGTGGACGGGGTTGCAGCGCGGTCGCGTCACAGTCTTGGGCATGGGGTCGAGCTACGCCTCGATCTGGACATGGAACTGGCCGACGACTTTAACGTTCAGATTGTGCATGCTTCCGAGACCGCCTCGACGGTCATCGGACGAACGTTCGGCTCGTCGATTATAAAGGTCGAGGCGTGATGAGATGCGAGGGCAGATCACGCCTGTCTCAATCCGCTCGAGCGTGAGGGACTGCGATTGAAGTCGGATCTCGAGAAATTTTGCCGGGATCCACTTCACTTGCGTGAGACTCCATAGAGATCCCTGCTTTGATCTGCTCAGTTTGGGGTCTTGGAACATGATGAAGATGAATTCTGGTTCACTTTCTGTGTTGTTCGCAGCTATCATGCTTCTGGGATCATGCTTATCGGTATCTGCCTCTTTCTCCGACAATTTCTCGATCGTCTGGTCGCAGCAAAATGTTGTCGTAGATGATGCGAGTAGTAATGTCCAGCTCTCGTTGACACCGGACGCAGGAGCACAGTTCCAAAGCAAACAATCGTATTTGTACGGCTCGTTCAGTGTGAAACTCAAACTGGTTCCAGGGGATTCTGCAGGCACTGTTGCCTCATACTATGTGAGTCCACATTTCTTCACTTTTTCTTCTCCGATTTGCATGCTTGAACTACACAGGCATTCGATCGACCAATCTATACGTGGAGCTATAACTAACATGGGCATAAGTGAGAGCTCCTCATCACTGGTCCTGGTCAAAACTTAGACCTCGAAATCGCAGTGGTAGTTTGAAAAAGCCTGCCTGGTTCCACAATTGATTTGAGTACCAAAAGAGGAGTTGATTCAGGCATTTTGATTCCAGTATCTGGTCCACACATTGCCTTTCAGATTCGTGATACAGAAAATTTGCGTATCTCGCAGGATGTGACCCTACTTTTGACGAGTTATGTTTATCTCTAGTCTAACAAAACACATGTACCGCTTGTTTCAGCTTACATCCTACGGCGACAATCACGATGAGATTGATTTCGAATTTTTGGGAAATGAAACCGGTCAACCTTACGTGATGCACACCAATCTCTTCGCCAATGGTGTGGGTGGTAGGGAACAACGCCTATTCTTGTGGTTCGACCCTACAGAAGACTTTCATACTTACTCGGCCGTATGGAACCATCACCAGATCATGTAAGTTACTCACTAGCTCATGCAAAAGATTTGTTCCCATCCTGCGCTTGGTATTATCCTGATTTGAGCAAATGGTCGACTCTCAAGCAGTGGGATAATGATGGAGAGCACAGATTCGTGTAATTGGAATTTAAGGACATCTTTTCCTTCATCTTGAAAGATTGAAGCCGCATCCAAGGATGGTATTGTCATACAGTCAGTGATAGCATGTATCATTGATGGAAAGTTTGCTTGATCTGCCGCCTTTTGTATGTGCAGATGGCTGGTGGACAATACTCCCATCAGAATCTACAAGAACATCGAGGCCACATATCCGAATTCATACCCGTCCTCCCAGCCAATGAACATAGCTGCAAGTATATACGAAGCTAGCAGCTGGGCGACTCGAGGTGGAGCAGTCCCAATCAACTGGAATTCCGCTCCATTCAGGGTGAACTTCCAGAACTTTAGCTTTGAGGGTTGTGAGGCGAATGGAGACATATCGTCTTGCACTGAGAACTACACAGGAAACTGGTGGGAAGGATCACCTTATCAGGAGTTGACTCAAAGTCAACTGAACCAGCTCAAACAGTTTTATCAGAGCTACATGCTGTATGATTACTGCACTGATCAGGCAAGATATCCTACACCGCCGACCGAGTGCTCTTATAATGGAGTTTGATTGGGCCCCTAGATGGTAGGCTGGATAAAGAGGCAGTGACGATGGAACGAAGAAGGCATGAATGTGGGTGATCTCCTAATTTGACTCACTCGGAACATGTTATACAGCTTGGTAATTTCCATTATATACCATTATACAGATTCATAAGCAAGAACCATGTTTTGGTGTTGTAGGCCAAGGTTTTCTTTGAAATAGAATTTATTTCCTGGTGTTTTACTGGTGTTATAGAGCCAGCACTTTCCTTGGCGGGTCTCTCGAAGAAAAACAATAAAATATTCAAGTTTGATATTTCGGTCCAGAACTCGAGTCTTGTCTTTGTGAGTGAAGCGTTTATATATTTCTCTCTAACTTAGATAAAACAGAGAACTTTGATGTACTGTTTGAGTTTGTATGTCTTATCCTAAATCAGATCAAAGAATTTCCATTTGCCTCATGGTTGTAACTAACCTTCTTGAAAATGACATATTTCCATTCGAAATTTGATTAATCTCCTGAGGGAGCCTCAGTGACATCCTACCTTTCGAGGATCTACTAATGGTTCGTAAGATCTATTGATCACGTAAGACTGCACCTAAGCAAAACCATTATGCACCCAGAAAGTGGCTCGCGTTATGATCCACGTAGTTACACAAGATGATACAAGCAGAACTGAGCACGGTTTAATTGTATGAATGGTATGAAATGTTGTCTCCAAAAGATGTATAATCGCACTTTAACTCCTTCAGCACCTAGGTCACCGAATTGTTGCGTTACACCCATAGACGCGAATATCATGCGTGTCCCTGCTTGGTTTGACTAACCACCCAGCTATCCACTTCATTAAAGGTCCTCGTCTTCATAAGTCTATCCATTAGGACTACGTTCGTTTGATCATAGATCCTCCGTACAACCAGCAAAAAATTCTTATGAGGCGGGTATTGGAACCTGAGAACGTGTCTTCAAAACACACGCATTGGCTTGATCGATGGTAAATTCGGGATGAATAAGATGATGCACGATCAGATTGTTTGCAATGTGGCTAAACATGCTCACTCCTACCGTAAGTTTGCCGTCGCATCATGGTCAGGCAATTCTCCGAAGGTCAAATAATTCTGACTAAAAAAGTAAATACATCCAAACTAAAGTCTTCTGCTCCGAGTTGGTTGCAGCAGCTCAGCCAATAGTTGCCCAATCGCTCGCGGCCATGGAGAATACTGGCAGCCACCACCATGGGTTCGAAACGAGGGTCAGTTTTGGGGCACAAGTTTCTCAAAGTTTCTATATACTCGAATTGGCGTATTGTCGAGTAGCCACCCGCAAGTTTGTAAGTGTCAATATTCTAGTGACATGATATCCCCATGTGCTGCTCCCACAACTTAAACAGCAACAAACATGGCTCTTGTCTATATCCGGAGAACTATCGCTCAGGTACCAGCCAGAACAGGATTGCAAATTCTCCGCCTGCTAATATCTAGCCTATGGCTATCGACTCAAGGAGTGTATGAAATATGAAGCAAGTTTTCCAGAAATTGCTGTATTTCAGGTTTAGGACAAAATAGTCAAGCATGGAATGTCAAGCTTCACCTTCCCACCGAACGAAATGTTAAGAAAAGCGTCAGTGCTTGTGAACTGAGCACCTGCAGCTTGACCTTATAATTACCGTCGACGGTTGCAAAATTCTTCCGAGACGAGATCTGAAATCAACTCCCTGAACAAACCAAATCCAGTCCTCTAACCGTCAGGTGTCACTGTGATGGATCTATGGTAAACAACTCCGATTCCTACTTTGATGCCAAATTCTCATTACAACTCCATCTACTCTACAACTACGGTCCTCGTATTTCTAACTCGAGCTTCGTGTCTCAACATGAGGACCAACCCTTACTATCGATGTCTTCGCAACGTAGATGGCTCCAAACGCTTTGAATTCTTCGATGAAGAGAAGACAAACTTAAACTTTTTGAAGGGTATGGATGGAACTGCTTTGAAGTGTGAAGGCTTTCTTCAGACAGGCTGTGCCAATAGTTGTAAAGGACCCGTGGGGAGAGTTGTTGCGATGTGACAGAACTCGCTGAGACAAAGATGTTGAGCTGAAAAGCGCCAAGCCGAGGCACCAAAAGCTTGTGAATGTAATAAGATCATGTACCTGGAGATCCTGGTTATCAAAGGTGGCGACCCGTTTGGATCCAGCGATGGACTTAGTCAAAGGTGACAGCTTGATATTCCAATACACTTTGACCCACAATTGCGAGTTGGATTGATCTTTTCAGGCTTGTTTGTCCTCTTCCGAGTTTTGGCTTTCTTTCCAGAATACCGAACTCGTCCAACAACTGTATCGAAGTATACTCGTGGAGTTATTGATGAAATTGCTCTTAACAAAGCAACGATCTCCCTGACGATCCGTCTTAAAATACAAAGTGCGAGACTCTGTTGTGAAACAATGGATTCCAAGGAAGAACTTTTGAGCTTGGGATTGCCTCCGATGGATCTAAGTTGCCTCGAACCTTAGGGTGAGCTAGTTATTCCCACTCCTGCCAGGATCGCCAGGGTCGGCGAATGAGCGAGAATAGGAGATACTCCTCTTGCCCATAGGGTGCCGGGGAACGATTGACAGGTCTGGTGATCGTGTACATTTTCACACTGAAACAAACCATCGTCTGTGGACAGCGTGAACTCTGAAGGGGCTAGAAAAATTAGTTCTTTTTCTTGCTCTAATCGCTCCACGATGTATCTAACAAGATGAAATGGAAGATCGAAGGAACACGTTTGTTGTCGGAACGGTATGAGGTTGGAGGCTCGGGATGACATACGTTGAGGATGTTATGACCTTCTGACTCTTTAATCGAATGTTTTCACCAAAAAGTTTTCCTCATCACGATCTATTTTGTATTCGTTCTCATTAGACTTTCGTTGCTGTATTCATTCGGGCCTGCAGAGTTTTCATCCCTATTTTTATGAGACGTCATAAGTTCTGGGATACTGGAGATGGATTTAGAGGCCTTTGTTCCACGAGAATCTCTTACCCCACAATTCACCAACTCGATGGCTACCTTTGCTGCTCACTTTGCTCATCAAGACGAGAGACTCAGCTTCACGTCTTGTAGTGAGCAGCTTTTTCATGACGAGAAGAGGAGGTACTTCGAGTGCTGAAGATGATTTTACCCTTCGAATTTGAGACTCTCGTCATCATTGAACAGTTTAGATGAAAATCGTTTACTCAAGGCTGGTGCTCTGTGTCCTTCACGACAGCATGAAACCTGGATGAGGTGATACCGACATGACATGACATGCCAACAATACAACAATTTTAGATATCAGAATTAGGCTCTGATCACTCGAATGCGAGCTTGGAGCCATTATGGGTCATAGACAAACGCATGGTCCACAAATCTCAGAACAAATTGGAAGCTTCTTTGCAAGTTCGAGGACGAAGCGTGCAGCCTTGCCTGTACATGACGTGGGCCATGTAGCGACACGTTTGCCGGGGTGAGATTCGAACATGTCCTCGTACTTATACCACAAGGCGTTGAGATATTATCCGCTGCTCGCACATCGTCAAGAGTTCTGTGTTTGAATTCGCTACCAAAACAGAGTATTATAGACCAGACAAGATGTGATGAGCATCTTTGCATACACCTGAGGCCAAATACTGTGGCTCAATCCCGAGACTTGGATGTGAACGATGACTCTGCCAGCTCATCTCCCTAGAGCTTCATACGTTTCCAGCCAGAAGATTTGCTTGAAAAGCAAGTATCGCGGAACAAAAGCTCGGGGCATGAAATTGCTTCTAGAAGCAGGACAGGAGACATAACGTGGAAAACTGGTTCTTTACTACAAAAAGCTCAACATCTTTTCGTGTATAGTGTAGCACAACCTCGGTGCAGTGTGCAGCTGTAAGAGATTGTAAATGTCTTGCCTTTCTCAAGTGTACTGGTCGTCAATATGCCTCCCAGTTCTGTTCTACCTAACCTGAAAACTACATGTGAGGTCTTCACGGCTGACAAAAAACGAGCCGAGTGAATCGAGTTTTGTGCCTTGAAAATGTATTGAAGGACACAGGACTGTAATCTCGACGTCGGCGAAAGAATGCTAGGGATAAAGAAGATCCATACCTCTCAATTAAATATTCGAGTTAACCCACAAACATGTCTATGGCCTCAAATACCGCTGTGGCTGCAGTCCGTGGGAGGCGTCCCATGTCTGCTCTTATCAGTACAGGAGCCATATACCATGAAGTTGTGGCGCATGGTGTTCCGCAGCTTCCCACCAATTTACTTCATGATTGCTCGTGCAAGAGCTGATGTCCTCGTTGGACGCCACACAGGCCCCGATCGAGAAGTCTTTCTAATTCACAGCGAATGGGGTGGACTGCTACTTGATCGGCACCGCCCCACCTCGTGTTGCCCAGGAACTAGCTTCAAACACACTGGCCTGCACCGTCATAGGTTGAGATTTCAGATAAGAGTCGGTCAGAAGGTCGTCGATGTACTTGTAAATTCGGATCGCCGAGTCATCCACGAGCCACCTGCACTCATAACACAGTGGTAATTCCATCAGCTTCATGCTCGAAATGAGACGCGCTTGGATCCATCTATCTGCAAAAACAGAATTCCTAGCGTGACTGACCGACTGCGATGCGGAGTGAGAAAGCAAGCACTCACGTAATTTGACGGTGATTTCAGAAAACCGAGTGGGTATGAAAGTCGCCTGTGGGATCGAGCCACAGACTAATACGCCGCTCCCTATTTCCGACACCGATGACGAAGACGTCGGTGTCCAGAAGGTAAGGTAAGCCTGGCCAGTTTCTTCTCCCAGAAATTCGAAGTCGAATTCATCGTGTTCGGGGCCGGAGGAGTAGAGCGGAAGGAAAAGACATAGAGAAAGCACTGGAATCAGTTGTCGAGGTCGAGGCAAGCCCAACTCACTCAACTTCATCTCGGACTCGGACGGCCTTCTTCTGTCGAGTCATCGAGGAGGAAGTCGTATGGGAAGCAATCCCACGTCGAAGGACGACACGGTTCCGCAGATTCGCCGGCCATAAGCTCCAGCTGGAAACCGAAAGGAACTCCATGCGTACGGGAGCTAGTGCCGGTCCGATGTTCTCCCTTCCCCAGTTCGCCATGAACTCGTCGCCACACGAGCACGGAAGAAAGAGATTTCAACACGGCAGTCGTCGTCGTGAAGCGCCTTCTGGCAAGGAGTTGACTCTCATATTCCATGGGTACGCTCGTACGAACGCAGCTGCCGCCCTCTGTACCTTTCTGACATTGCGCATTTCTCTACTCCGGGCTCGGGGGCAGAAACCTGTGCGCCACTCTCGGACCATCGTACTCTGTACTCGACGTACGTGCATGTTTCTCACAGGTCCAGCATGAAAATCAGGAGCAATGAGTGCATGCGGTTCCGTGGAAGTGGATGTCCAAGTCTACGTTTCCCACCGGGGCAGGCATCGACTTTTGCATTTCTGCAGACTTTCAGCAACAGTTCTTGTGTCGATTGAGGCTCCACTGTCACTACATTTTTCTTCTTCCGTCCTTTGCAGAGAAGGGAATTTCTTCAGCCGACGCAATGAGTGGCAAAGTTGATCGGTGCTCACAGATTTCTGCACGAACGATCCTACACTCAACGCGAGGAGTCCATGATAAACATCCATCCTCTGGTGCTGAGGAAATCGTTCATCCGTTAACTAGCCTTTGAGGTTTCATCGTAACGAGATGTAATGGAGCGGATAAAGTATCAAATCTAAAAGCAGCTGCACATGCACACGCAAAGCCAAGCATTGTTCAACCTACGGATTTGTGAAGAAGAAATCCGGAGCTTAAACCGTGCTTGGCTGTAAGTGTGAATGTGCAGCTACTTTTGATATGATACTTTATTATGTATCGTCACACCTCGTTACGATCAAACCTCAAATTCTCGTTACACGTTAAACTATTTTCTGAGGGCCAGAGTATGGATGGAAGAAAGCTGCCGACAAAAGTTGACGGACACGGCTGGAACTGGGAAACGAATGCCATGTGAGTGCACCTTCATGTCATACCGGATCACGCCCGTTAGCTGGATTTTGTAGCAAATTCTATTTGTTTTTTGCCGCTTTAGGCTGTGGGGCCTACTTACTAGCCTTAATAGGAGTAGTTACTAGCGTTATCAGTTGTTTTTATTATATACGCTTTGTGAAAATAATGTATTTTGATACACCTAAAATATGTCTGATTCAATTGTGGTTTAGGAAGGTCTCACAGAAACTCTGGATTATACAATTAACTGCCTCTCGCCTGAACGCGCAGAGTCTGCACTTCATAGCTGCAAGGCTTGCACTCGTACTTATGGATGGCACCACCTTGTTTCATCCACCTCTTCAGAGGATGTGTGTAGCTTGTTTGTAGACCAGATTGAATTCAGTTGAAGTTGATGGTTATTATCAGAATAAGTTTGCGAAAGGTTGATGGTAGATCCGTGGTCAATTTAACCTTCGCAGAAAAAAAAAATTTCTTATCCTTCCATAGCCCATGAATATAGGGGGAGAATTCCAGGGGTGTAACGGCTAAGGCTTGAGAACAATGAACATCATCCAATGAAAGTTCCCGTGGATACGTAACCTTGTTGCGTAAACATTTAGGTTTCAGCCTTTTGAGAGATAATTTAAAAAGACGTGTTGAAACATTTGGTTTGAAATCAATGGAATAGACAACGAGATGGACACCATGGACGAGCATCAAAGCAGAGGACAATGAAAACCTTGATAGTGTGTACTTGCGCGGTATTCTTCGAAATGTCGTTGAATCGTATTGAATTTTGCGTGGCGTACAGAACTTGAATAAATGATGAAACTAGATTCTAAGCTTATAAACTTACTGCAGCTATCTTACACCCTTCTTTCAAGAAGTACCACGGGAGTTGGATACTGTAAATTATCTGTATTTATACAAGAAATGTACTTGAAACTTGGAAATATGAGGCTTTCAGATTTGAAGTACTACTGGTAGGAGACCGGTTCACTTACGATACGCTATGTTGATGTTTCCGTGCTACCTTCATTCCAGTTTAATGTATCAGAATATTTCTAATTTATTTAAAATTACTCAAAAATAAAAGCATTGATCGCTTTGCTGTTTTGTGCGGGCATATCAATACTACTTTATTTCATCAGATGTTAATTGGTGTTGAGTCAATGAATTGACCATATGAAAGGATTGGAGTACTCGATGATAAGGACTAAAACATTAAGGTTATGGCAATAAGAAGAGATGGCCGAGTTTAGTCATTGCAATCGCTGTTTCGCATTGTTATCATTGAAATAATAATTCTTAATAATATACGGTTCTATGCATAGTACTTCAGAGGTATAAATATCTTATTAGAAATCGGCACATTTAAGTAGTTAATTTTAGAAAGTCAACGTGAGAATACACATGAGAAATGTCAATGTTTTTGGTTGTGATGAATGCTCACAGAATATTACAAGAAGTAACATAAATTGTGAATAGTTGCAGAGCGCACTATACAAATGTTCTAATTTATTAAGGGCACTTTTTCAATGATAATCGTTGTATGACCAAAAGAAGCTACTGTTTATGAAGGTTTTGTTCACAGAGGTTTTGACATAGCTTCAGTAAATATTATGATCAATCTTGTAAGGTATCAATCGATTTTGATTTTCTTGTTTTCATCATGAATATGCTTACTCATACGTAAATAAGTGATCATTGAAAATATGTTCACAGCCTATTTTCAGATAAACATGAATTTTCCCTTGAATGTGATTGGTGAGACTTTGTTTATTTTTTTATATTTAACATACTTATCTGTTCAAAGTTGTACTGTTACAGACAAAATTTGTTGTAAATTTGTTTTTTTCATCTGTGTATTTCTGCGATTTTTTTTATTTTTCATTTGAAATGATATGTACCTGTTTATTGGATGTGGTAAAAAATTAATTGTGTGGTTTACTGCTACATGGTGGTGTCCCCATTTCTACAGCAACTAAATGGGGGATAATGGTGCAATATTGCAAGGATTGTGTTCAGAACTTCTCATATTTTTTATCTTCCCAGTGTGCTTAACTTGTGGTGTAAAGTGACTCTGCTCAACCTTGTAGACATGGGTAACTAATTCGTGCTAGTAAACTTCGGAAAAAATCTTCATTGACTATATTCGTCCCTCCACTTATCTCCTCACCACGTTTTGGGCACTTGCTAGGCTAGTCTACGTAGTTTTCACTTCAGCAGTGAATCGACTGGAGAACAAACTTCTTTCCACTGAGGCCAGTTGGCAGAGGGCAAACCGTAATAACTACCGAATGCAATACTTCCCTCGAAAGAAAATGAACGGGACAATCGAATCAACGTACACGAAGATTCCATGCGAATTCTTGAGGTCAAAGGTACTTGGAACGCTTCGCGACCAAGCAGTAACCTTTACCAGATCACAATTATTGAATGAATGATTGTACAGTACATAGATTGAGAGGAATGTCACGGGCAGCAGACTTCCAGATCGTCGCCGGCCAAAGAATAAGCGAACACAAATACATAATACATGACCTACCCTGTAAATAATCTCCAAGGGGGCATCAGATCGACGCTACGGATGAACACCATGAATGGCCACAGTTCATAAGTAGCGTGGACGGTGCTGTCAGTCTCAGGGGGACTAATTCCTTAAAGAGTGTTGTAAGCACACTCTACGGGAGTCGTAGGGTATCGGACATAATCGGTGCAGTAGTCATACACCATGTATTTCTGATGGACCTCCTTGAGCTGGGTCACCTTGACCGCGTTCAGATTTTGGTAATCAGCGGCTTCCCACCAATTGCCCTGGTAGTTCGTCGTGCAAGGGCTGATGTCGTTGTTCGACACTCGGCATGCCTGGAACGAGAAATCCTTGTAGGTGACGACGAAAGGAGAATACTCCCATTTGGTCGGCACCGCCCCACCACGCGTTGCCCACGAGCTTGCATCGAATATACTCGAGGCAATGACCTGCGGTTGATAAGTCGGGTACGAATTCGGCAACACGTTCTCGATGTTCTTGTGAATCCGGATTGGAATATCGTCCACCAACCACCTGAAACAGAAAATTTCGTTCACATCAATTGACAGCAATGGGAACGTGAGAGGAGCCTCGCTCGTATAATTAGTGCCTAGCAGCAATCGCTTGCGACAACTGGTTGTTAAAACTGCTGAATTCTGATCCGTGGGCCACCGAGGAGAGGAAACTCACGTAATTTGCGCGTGGTTCCAGACGACCTGGTAAGTGTGGAAGTCGGCAGTGGGATCGAACCACAGGAAGATGCGCTGCTCCCTTCCTCCTACGCCGTTGGCGAAGACATTGGTGTGGAGAACGTAGGGCTGGCCTGTCTCGTTTCCGAGAAACTCAAAATCGATTTCATCGTGATTCGTTCCGTAGGATGTGAGCTGAAACATGTGACCACGTAAGCGACGTAAGGAACTATATTCATGACGATGACTAATGCTGCGCTGATATCAACAGCGCTTCAATCTCAAGTACACACATCTCTTGCTGTAAGGCATGGTCAGGATACGGAACTTACGTAGAACGAGCACACGGTTCCGGAAGATTCGCCAGCAATCAGCTTCAATTTGACACTGAAAGAACCGTAAAGAAACGAGTTGATGCTCGCAAACTGGCCACCCGCAACCTGAGTCATCGTCAGCTGCACACTATTGGTCGTGTCATCGGGTACAATATGCTCCGGAGTCCAGACTTTTGTAAATTCGTCGTTGAATCCGGCGAGGCAGTATCCGAACAGCAGTACTGCAATTGAGCAGCCTAAGACAGTACGGGAGCCGAAGGTCCCCATCCTCGCAGCAATTGAGCAACCTCAAGTATTCGTCGAACCTCCCAGGACTACAGAGATCTCCTCGTATCAATGAACGAAGCCGGCTGTTCCTCCTACGGAAGCGCTCGCTCCCGATCCAATACTCTCCAATTCTCCGAGAGCCTGCTGTTCGTCCTGTGCTCCCCAGTCAGTGCTGGGTCCGTTATGTTCGGTAGGCGGGACATGGACGAATTTAAAGGGTGAAGCATGCAGACTCCATCGCCAAAGAACTTCCAGATGAAGCTGCCTGGAACGCGGCGTGTCGGAGTAGGTACCTTGACCGAAGCCTGCAAGTAGCTCAGCACTGGCTGGAATCCTGGGATCTTTAGTTGACTCCGGGACGCAGGAGATGATGTGACGATGCAGCAAGCAGTACAGTACAATGTTGGCCTCAGCGGCACACGCAAGAGACAAGTCGCGGTACAGCTGCAAACATTCTAGAATTAAGACCAGGACTCATTCCTTGCCTCCATCTGCCTCCCTCTCCCTCCCTCGCTCAGCCGGGATTGCACCTTTGGCTGCTCGGTACGTAACATCGCATCCCACCACAGGCCTCGATTCCATGAAGCCTGCGGCATAATTGCAGCCAGACAGCGCTGCACGACGATAGACGACGACGACGAGGAAGACTGCGACTGCGACTGCGACGTTTGGTAGGTGGACACGCGCGACGTCGTACATGCAGAGCCCGCTCGGACGGTCGTTGATCGGGCATATTCGCGGCATCGATCTGCTCTCGAGGCGCGTCGCACCGCGTCCGACGACGACGAGGAAGACTGCTACTGCGACTGCGACTGCGACTGCGACGTTCGGTAGGTGGACACGCGCGACGTCGTGCATGCAGAGCCCGCTCGGACAGTCGTCGATTGGGAATATTCGAAGCATCGATCTGCTCTCGTGGAGCGTCGCACCGCGTCCGACGACGACGACGCGCGAGGTTCGTCGCAGAGTCGCGACTCGTGAGGTCTATGTTTGCCTGGGTGCACGTGTTGCATTCGCGAGTTCATTGATTGTTGCGGACCAGTTTTTCCATAATGATGAGGATGGATCGACGAATGCGGGGGAGCGAGGGACGCGTTTAAACAACTGGACTTATTTAGACTTGAACCCGAAGCGACCTGGCCTGCGGACGCACATCTGATTTAGAATTGACTGGCTTTTTTATTTTCTTTCACATGCAGAGAAAGCAAGCACAGCATTCGCTGCGAGATTCTGAGCAGAAACTGTGCGTGAAACCTGGCTGCACAGGGTCGAACGAGGTTTCCTGCAGCAGTCAGTGCTACATTTGGTTTGATCCGGTCCGATTTTAATATAGACTCTCATCATTTATTGGGTTTCAAGCTGAGCCGTTTGAGGAAACCAAAACTTGGACATCGATTCAGATTCGCAGAACTTGCAGAACTTGAGCTCTGTCTAAGTTTTGCAAATACAGCACAATGTGGTTCCGTTCGTCGGCTTATACAACGGTAGAGCCAGTCCAAAATAACTTGCCATCACGTGTGGAGTCGAATAGTCAGCTTCATGAAATCCTATTCCCTACACCACATCCTAGCGGTCGAGATCCTCCTATGGCTGTAAAGGCTCTAGCCTTTTAAAACTACGGGTTGTTCGCAGCCCAAATTATCTGGCCTGGTTGCGTGCGCAAGGACTGTCTACAATGGATGTGTCTTTGTCATGGTCATGTTTATCTATAGCATGTGACCTTTTTTCTTTCAGATCTCATGAAGCCTTGTTTGCATCTCTCAGATTTCATAAACTTCTTCGGCTTCCATCTGTCCATCTGTCAACTCCTTATCACCCAGATCGAGAAGAAAATTCAGGGTAAAGTTCATAGTAAAACTCTATATCAGCTACTACACTAGACTTTTCTACTATGCTGGACTAGTGCACTCTATTGTACATATTTATGATTCATCCTTGTGCTGCTCCTCAAGTTATCTAAGCCGACACACTAGCTCGACGTACTGATCGAGAACCATGGGTCATGTTGCGGGATCACTTCTACATTGGACGGTTTGTTGACATGATGGATGGGTTTCCACTGATGGATGCCTACATGCTGACGAGGAAATATCTTGGATCTTGTGTCCATACTCTACAATAAAGAACAAATTGTCAACCACCCACGAGGTTAAGCGAAATTAATGTTCTGGAAGCTTACCCATATGCAAGACCGAACTTTAAGTCTTGACGTCGACCGGGCTTTGCATGGCTAGACAGCAAAACAAAGAAGGCTTTATACCTCCGAAATACGTGCCTCTCATAGAAAGAATTCCCATGATCGGCTCTTGTGCTTCTCAAGTTCGGCAGTCATTGTCATCATGTACGTAGAGACGATATTTGCCCAAAAGTCCCCTCTATCTTCTTTGGTCTTTAGTCTCATATTTATCATCTTTATAGGTCACACGATTGTATAGTTTGATCCATCCGTCGCAGTTTTAACAATGGTCGTTTGCTACACACAAATCTGTTTATGGTTGTTAAATTTACGTATTTTCTTGATGTTCATTGGTGCTGTTGGTTTCTGGAGAATCTCGCATTCCTTTTTGAGGTAAGACCAGCAATAAGTTTTTAGTTTTGTTGGACAGGTATTGATTGCATTCTCCCCTGCGCCCCTCTCGAATTTGTGGCTTGAGTCGTGCATGTGAAATTTAATGTTCTTCACATTTTACCTTCAGATAATCAATATTAGCATGTTTTTTTTCCTAGTTTACACCAGTGCTATGTTCGTCATTTTTCTCACTTTAAGTGCAAGACTAATCAAGTTTGCGCGACGATGGTTTGTTGCTTTTCCACTCACGTCTAGATTCGATTGTGCCCACTAAGTTTATTTTTCCTGCTTTCAGCTACCCTTACCTTGTCTACTCTATCAGCTGCAGAAATTGGAAATTGTAGGAAGACTTTTTGCCACTTTATATTGAATGTAGTAATGAGATAAGAAAAGATTATTTTTCATCGCGCGGTTTCACTAGTCTTTTGTACACCATGCACCATCTCTCGAAGTCTACAAACGGTACAGAATCGTCATCTTTCGATCATCTTGGGAGAAACATCGGACGAACCTCGTAGACATCAGCTGGCCCACAGAAAGACCACACAAAGTTTCCAGACGAGATATATGTTGGGGTTCAAGACTTGGATGGGGGTAACCAAGCTGAACTCTTGATCAGCCGTCCACACTTTTATTGCTCGATTATCGAATGCTCACGTCACAATGTCACAATGCTCATGTCACAATCAGCTAAACGTACACTTTCAAATCCCCCCACGGAGAATTTTTTTACTCTCAGTCTAAACTATAATATCATCGCAGTAATGTCGAGAACTACGAAACCAAATCTACACGGTTTAATAAGGACATCGGACTTGAAAATTCGTCCTCTGCCAAAGAATCTTAGAGACTAATGTGCGTCTCGCTTGAAAATTATCAATTCTACTCTACTCTGCTTCAATCATTCGTCGGCCAACGACATTCACAGAGAGTTGTAGCTGCATTCCACCGGAGCGGTCGGGTATCTGGTCCGATCTGTGCAGTAGTCGTACACCATATAGTTTTGGTGCACATTCTTGAGCTGACTCGCGCGGGTCGGATTCAGGGACTGGTTTTCAGCGCTCTCCCACCAGTTTCCTTCGTAATTCCGAGTGCAGGAGTTAACGTCGTTGTTGAGGACCTTGCAGGCTTGGAAAGAGAAATCTCTGTAATTCACTTCAAAGGGTGCGTGTTCCCATTTGGCGGGCACGGCCCCACCTCGCGTTGCCCAAGTGCTGGCGTCGAAAATGCTCATGGCCACCACCTGAGGTTGCTTCGTTGGGTACGAATTGGGCAACACACTTTCGATGTTCTTGTAGACACGGATTGGCGTATCGTCCACCAACCATCTGCAATCACACCAAAGATTGACTCAGCCAATGTACAGCATGTGCTTGCCTCATCAAACATAATCATATCATTATCTGTGCTCGAGGATTCACAGTCTGGTTCGGAATCTACGTGCATTTACCCCCTTTTTGATGTGGCAGGGATGTTCATGATTCCAGGTGCTACCCTGTTCGAGATGGTTATACTCACGTGATTTGCTTATGATTCCAGACAACGGAGTATGTGTGGAAGTCTGCGGTCGGGTCGAACCACAGGAATATGCGCTGCTCGCGGCTGCCCACGCCGTTGGCGAAAACATTGGTGTGCAGCACGTAAGGCTGGCCGGTCTCATTTCCAAGGAACTCGAAGTCGATTTCGTCGTGATTCGCGCCGTAAGAAGTGAGCTGGAGATTTCCAATTTGTGATACCACGTCAGAAGCTGAAGACAATGCCCACAAGAGCAATGTGCGGATGGATAGACAGACAGAGTACAAAGCATATCAAAGTATTTCTGGTGGGATGGGAAGATCTCTTACATAGAAGGAGCAGACTGTTCCGGCAGATTCACCGGCGATCAGCTTCAGCTTGATGATGAAAGATCCATACAAGTACGAATTGATGGTCGCGAACTGAGCCCCTGCGACCTCCGTCAGCATCAACTTGACTCCATTCGAGGCGTCATCGGGGACGACGTGTTCCGGTGTCCAGACCTTCGTGAACTCATCGTTGAAAGCGGCGAGACACGAACCGAAAAGCAGGACGGCAATCGAACAGGCCAGAAACAAACGGGGCGACCCAAACAGGCCCATCGCCATAACTTTCCTTCGCGTATACAGCTCGATTCAGGAATTTCAGGAGTACGACCTTCAGTAGATCCACCAGGAAATGCGGCAATGCTGTCGAAAAGAAAGTGATCAACTTTTCTGTTGTGAGGGGAGGGGAGAGGAGAGGATTCTGCTCTGGAACCCGGATTCAGAGAGCAGAAGGCGGATTCAGATCGATGAGATTCTCAGTCAGCGACAGTCGCTTATAAAGCTCGAGCGAGAAGCCGATGCTCAAGACAAGCAGCAGCAGCAGGTGCCAGAATGAATGACGCGGCGTGTCGGAGTGGACGGTTTCGTACACACGCAGGCAGCAGCACACTGATAGCTGGATCCGGGAGGCAGAGGAGAGAGTCGCAGCAGGACAAAAGTTGACCCCGATCCTAATAATTGCTCCGGACGTAGAGCACAGTTCTCTATCCAGAAAAGTACATTACGCACCTCTACAGCTCTACGTACCCGCAAAAGCATCAGATATTTTTTATTGCCGTTACATCGGACGAGGAGGAGGAGGAGGAGGAGGTCATCGGATCTCGATCTCCATGGCGCTCTTTCTGGAGTCCGTAAAGGTGAACGGAGTTCGAACGTGCATCACGAAGGAAAGGCTACTATAGATCGTCGAGAATCCAGGAGCACGCATGAGCTTTGGTTCGTTCGCTCGCTCGCTCGCTTGCTTCGCACAACAGCCTTCTTCTCTGATTCGACGTTTCCAACTTCACTTTCCCTTTTGTGCTACGCATTTGCCCTTGCACCTTTGAGAGATTTAGCCCCACCTTTATGATAGACGTAAAAATTTTTAATCGAACTCGATTATTCCCCACTAGATTGTACGGAGTAACCTTTAACCTGTTGCAATAGGAGGGCATCTATATGCTGCATTGGACATTTTTCCTCATAGTTATGTCGGTACGAGCATGTGCGCGTTTCTTCAAGGGGCCATGAATTTGGTGTCACACGTGATGAATTAAGTGTTAAGTGACTTTAATGTGGAAAAGATTGATTTGCCGTATGGTGTGTCTGTTAAGGTATGCATAGATGAAAGAACTCATATCTATCGAAAGGAATTTAGTTATAATGTGAGACATTATTATCTCCATTCGATCAGGTTAGTCTTACCTATTCAATAGTTGTTGCTTTTGAGATGACTGAGGTTGTAATGCTTTATAACTTTGAATGTACCATCCACACGGATGGTACATTTAGAGTTTGTGAGGCGTCCGCAACTCCTTGCCATAAGGGAGGTGATTTTGTAAGTGTGGTGTTCTAAAGTGAAGCATGGATGATTGAAATCGGCTTGCATTAATTTTAAGCAAATGGAATGAAATACTGGAAAAGTGTAATGCTTCAATATACATTGTCATGCACATCACTTTCTGATAATAGTACATAAACCAAAAATTCTAGATAGTTGACAAAAAAAAATTATGAGAGCACGATTGTTTGTAAAGATGTCATACTCGCACACTAGGGTCATGAAGGTTCTCATGTCATCAATGACTCATGCAAAGTTCAGAGCAAAACAATGTCCACGCAACAATATTTGACCTACGTTGTACCTCAGATGTATTCATCTAACATGTTTGCCCTTATGAAATTCTGAGCCTAGCCACATGTTACTCGTCGAGTGCCATCTACAGAAGACTTCATGGTGTATCCCCGCCGATTTTGCTACATTTTCTTGTTGCCAGGTCTTTCACGTGATATAAAGATTAAGATATCTTCCAATTTTTGCCGCTTCGTTGCCCGGTGAGCCTCATCGTTGGAATGCGAAGACGGAAGGCGTGGACCTCGAAGCTCTCAAAGGAAAAGAGCTGCGCATGGAAAATTACAGGATCGGTGGAAATAATCATCGAAAAAGAAACAAGAACAGATTTCCAGAACTCGCCTCCTTTCGCCATATCACTCCTCCCCACCTGCGACAACGATGTTTTGGCAAGAATTGGGACTATTTTTGTGATTAAAAATGCTTTGTGACCAGTCTGAAATAATCATAGTAACTTTGGATGCGAGGATAGGATGAAAGAGATGATATATTTCTGAAATTGGAATCTACTCTATTTCATATTGTTGCCGGAAGGAAGTCATGTGGATGCAATGATACAAATAAAATGATCTAGCATTTGGAAATATAAGAAATAACTTGTTCTCCCATTGTCACATTCAACCCACATGCTTGAATTCTACAGAGGAAGTACTCTACGCTCCATGAGTGCTACGGTATCAGGAGCTGCATTCCTCGCATCGGTCATCAGTGTGCAAAAATTAGCCTGCTCTAATTCCCTGACAAGTGGACGGCAATCAGACTTAACACTGCGATTAGTTTCACGCGAGCAGCCTCGACCGTCGGAAATCGCTGTGCTGTGGCTGACAATCCCCAAGCTGGCAACGTTGGAACACGCTCTATGGCGAGAGGCTGGATCGAACAACCGCCACACATTCGATTCCCTCGCGACGGTTCATCAGAATTTGACGACTGGCATTAAGGACGGAACTTCTCTTCTCTTCCTCCTGTCCTGGACCAAACCCGTAGATCGAATTCGTGCAGCATCGGACGATCTGATGATTAAGCTTTGGCCTCAAGCATACGTTAATGGGGGGAATACGGTATCTGGGCCCTCGTAATGAACCCGAGGACAACAACAACGAAGGGCAGCATGCATGGCACCTCGGGATGCCAACCACCGTTGCACAACAAAGAAGGCTGACTTCGTTCCGGAATCTGGGAGCTTTGTCTTGTCTTGACGCCGACGGCCAACGGCCAATGGCCAACGGGAACGAGGGATCCAGCCCGGAGTCCGCGAGAGCCAACTAGGGGGGGGGGGGTCTTGGCGACCGTTCGGGGCTCCTTCCGGCTGGAGGGGAAGGTGCAGCAGCTTCCCGTTGGCCCGAGCCCAAAAGTGCTTCTCCAGCTCATGAGCGTGTGCTCCGCCTCGTCAACACGCCTTCGGTTTCGATCCTCGAAGTCAGCCATGGGGAAGATCTCTGCTCTGGAGGCCACTCTGCTCTCTGCTCTGTTCTGCCTGCTCTGCACAGAGCCTTGACTCGGACGCCCTGTCGCTGAGATTTGTACTGCTTGAGTCCCAACACGAGGTCCGCCAATTTGACCTACAATGTTCTTGTTGGTCTCGTTGGTGAATTCGCTCGATGGGTGTGAGTGAGTAGTGATTACGAGTGCCTTGGAGCGCTCGGTTTAACTTTTCAGTACAGCAATCAGTGTGTGCTCAATGCGCCGTCGTCTCCCGTGCATGATCTCAGATCGCGCCGCCGACAATGCAACAGCATTGAAGGTGTCATCTCTTCTTCCACGCAGTCGATCACTCTCGAGGCTGATAGGACTGTGGAGGATTGATCTAATTGATTGATTCTCTGGATCCGAGAATCCGTTCTTGTCCGAGTAGAGTGTGATGGCCGATGATGATTTCGAGGTTGCAAACCGAACGAAGCTCGTCACGATAGAAGGGGCTTCAAACGTTTTACTGGTGATCGCGAGCCGATCGATTGGGACGGACCTGGCTGCGAAATGTCTCGTAGGAATCAAAACAATCCCTTCAACCGAGTCGATGTCCTCGCCGATCCAGTCTCGTGGTCTTCAGAAAAATTTGGAAGGGAGAGACTGGCCAATGGTAGCCCTGAATCCACATTTTGTCGCCCAGAAAGGTTCCCAATGTCTCCGGGTTTCTTACCCTTTGCGAGACCTCGAGCTTCAGTTCTGTTGAACTTCACGAGTAGGGATGCCTGTTTTAGTGCGGTCTTGAATACACTGAACAGGTCTGTAGCATCAGTGCATAACGAAAATCGATGTAGCTTACAATTCGAACTCTCGTCGGCAGAGAATACACCTCCAGCTCGAGCTGGCAGAATCGAATGAATCAGATAAACAGATGGCAGATTGATTTGCGCTTCTGATTCGAATCTCTGTGGTTTCATATGTTTTGACACAGAGACGTCGGTGACCACCGACTTCCATTACACCCAAAGATTGAAACCTTAGTCACACACTCTGCACATAGCCCCGAATGCATTTGATGGCCGTCGTAGCCGTACCACGGCTGATATTGATTACAGCCGATTGCTTCGTTCGAATTCCCACAGCGTCAGAAAACTCGGACCAGAGTCAACGATCCAACTCAAGGTTCAAAGGTAGAGGGTTAGTGCTCGGGCTTCTGATCTAATGCACGCCATTACTTCTGGAAGAAACCTTTGAACTTCGTTGAGTAATCACAAAGTTTCCATCTTGTAAATAAACATGATTTGTGGAAATACATACGTTATTTCACACCAAACATACACATTTTGTACACATGAGATGTCATGTAAATACAAAATTGAAATTTCTATTATCTTTCTCAAGCATTGTACCCAACTATAATATGGCAAAAATCAATGATTAACTATCTCTAATATTTCATTTCTTTCAACTTTAATTTTTGTAATAGTAAAAAACTTAGATGTATTTTTGTAATTGTAAAAAACTTAGATGTATTGTTGACTATGATTATTTTTTATTTCTCCAAGTTCAATTCCATCTCATATTGGTTACAAAAGCTTGTTAAAATATCAAAGTGTTTTTGTGAACTAGTAGCATCATGTTAATAACGTATATCATCTGCATACAATAGGACTTTGATATAAAGTCTCTAAGTTTCACATTTTCACTTTCGTATTACTCTAATCATCTTTTTTTATTATCTATGAAATTTCCAAATAGAGTAGGAGAGAAGAACAACTTTGAATTATTTCAATGCTACTCAAGATCTGTGTTGGTTGAGAAGCTTTGATCTTGACCCGAACTGAGCTTTACTATGTGAACATTGCTCCAATAAGATTAAGCGGTACTCCAATGTCTCGTAAGCTTTTTGTAAAAGCTTTCTTAGAATTAAAATTAAAATTGCTTTATTGTTACTCTTAGATTTTTCCCATAAAACATGTAGAAACAAAATATGATCAATAGTGTTGTATGTTGGGCAAAAACCAGCTTGGATTTTTGATCTCTTCTGAAAACACTTTTTCCATGTATTCAACCTTTATTGCACCAATTTTCCAAAGAACTTGGCAAAAACACTACCAATCATAATAGTGCAATAGTTCGTAACCACGTCTTTCTTTCCTGATTTGTTAACATAAACAATCTTTCATAATGACCAAGTTCAAGGAAAATCATAGAGGGAAACATCTTCCAAAACTTTGGTGAGAAATGATCCAATACAATCTGCTCCTCATGTGAAAAGTTTAACGTACAAATCATCTAAATCCTCACATTTGACGTTTGATAATCTGCTTAGTACAGTCATCACCTCCTCTTCAAAGAATAAATCAGATACAACTTCGCAATTCGGCATAGAGGTAGCTTCAGGAAAAAAATAAAACTTTTTGGCAAAAATTGACAAAGATTTTGGATACGAAGAAAGTTTTGAAGATGGTGCAGCTAATTTTCTCCAAAAAGACTTCGGATCTTTCATCACCTTCTTAGTCAAAGATTATTTGTTTTGCCTCAAGAAAGTTACTTTCTTAGACTTCACCAAATTTTTGTATATCCTTGTCAAAAAAATTTGATTTTGCAAATCCAAAAATCTATCAACAGATCTCGCCCTTGCTAGCTTGCAATTAGAGACAAACTATCCATTTCAAGGTAGTCCCCTAGGTCTCATGTTCCTATGCCTCAGAAAGAACTTAGACGAAGAGTTTTAAGCATTTCTATAAATTGCAAATTGGCTGTATGTGGATCTTGGCTCCATGCAATGTGAGTCAAAGTATCTTGTAAATGTGTCGCATGAAGATAATTTTTACCAAGAATTAAGCGGAACTTAGTAGAAGATAAAACAGATTGGCGGATTGAATGCGTGAGCGGCTTTGACATTATTACATTCAAATTTAGGATTCAAAACTTCAAATGTAGAGATAAGAGAGCAGTTAAAGATAGAAGGAAAACTATTGTGCTAGCACCGAAAGAGTCGCAACATGTATAAGATTAAAAGTTGGAAAAGCGAGAGTTTCCACTAAAAATCTTCAAGTTACGAGGGACTCCAAAAGTCAAGAATGGCTATGTCAAAGAGTTTGTAAAAATATCACAAGTAAAATCTAGATCACATACTATACTTGATTTCTTCAAAAACAGAAATACTCAAAGAATTATTGAATTGGATGAATTGAGCAAAACGTATCTGGGCATTGAAATCACAAGCTAGAATGATATCAACTTTGCTTTGATATTTGACAACATCTCTAAATAGCTAATGAAATGATTGACTTCAGTTACAAAAATATGTTAAATAGATAGACATGAATAAAGATGGAAAATAAAAAAATCACATAATTTCTCCTTCATGTGATGCCCAACTGAATGAGTTCGCTTTATCACTTTGCCTTACATTCAATGTCTCATGAAATAAATTATTATTGATACAAATCATGGATGGATTACTTAAGGTCATAGCTAAATCTTCACATAGTTTCGATTTGTCACTTTGCCATACATTCACTGTTTCATGAAATCATTGATTATTGATACAAATCGTGGATCGACTACTTAAGGTCATAGCTCGATCTTCGCATCGTTTCGCTTCACTTTCCGTCTCTGAAAAAGCACATTCTCTAACTACTGTCTAGAGCATTAGATTGATAAATAATGACATCAAAATACGTACATTCACTGTTTCATGAAATCATTGATTATTGATACAAATCGTGGATCGACTACTTAAGGTCATAGCTCGATCTTCGCATCGTTTCGCTTCACTTTCCGTCTCTGAAAAAGCACATTCTCTAACTACTGTCTAGAGCATTAGATTGATAAATAATGACATCAAAATACGTGCAACAAAATACGTGGCCGGCAGGATTCGAACCTGCGCGGGCAGAGCCCACATGATTTCTAGTCATGCCCGATAACCACTCCGGCACGGCCACCTGTTCCCAAATAATTCTGGCACGGCTGGAATAATTTTACAAAGTGGTTTTCTTTTATCTTTGTGTGATCTAATATATTATGGATGTAAACAGCAGCAACTTTAACCAAAAATGCTTTGGGTTCAAAATTGATATACTATTTGAACCTCATTAATGTCGCGGTCAAACAATTATTTTGGCGAAAATACCATTCAGGTCATCTTCCATTGTTGGCAGGCATAAGCGACAGGAGAGTTCGTTGTTGGAGTTATGTGATCTTCTCTAAATGTTTTTCATTCGAACTAAACTAGGAGTTGAAGTCCATGGAAATTTACTTATCTAACGTTGTATTTTCCTTCTCATGCTTTCATAGACATCAAAGTAAGCTTGATAATTTTCTTGAATATTTTTGTATAGATAAATCTGTAACTCTCTCTTAACCAAGCTGCCAAAAATTGTTCAACTCTTAGCTTGTACTTATAAAGTTACTGGAGTTAGAGTCAAAAATAAAATTGAAACAATATCTCCAGTTCTGACAAGGTTTTCCTTGTATGTCATGTCAACTTTGCTTTGTCTATAATCTAGAGAATAAAACTGGCAAGTCCGAGACTATATTGCAAACTTTCACTTTGTATCATATTTTGCCTCAAATTTTTAAAGCAGATTGGATCTCTGCATCATAAAAGGTATAATTTTTTAAGTAAATAGATATTAGAAATATGCGTAGGATAAAATAAGTATATCACAAGGATCTCAATTGTATACAAGGATGTACTATGTGTTTAATAAGTATTGATATTAAACGAATTCACAAGCGCTGTTCGTTTTATTATGATTGTTAACATCGGACAAAAGATCCGATGATACTTATGTACTTATACATATATCATGATCTATTGATTTCATCTACAAAGATCATCGTCTCTGGAGAAGGGACTTGGTATCTGACTGTTCCCGATCAAAGTATGCAGTGCAGGGAATGAAATAATCGTAAAGTCCCCGGCCTGAAATATGCACCAAAACATCAAAACATGAATGTGAACAGATGAGAAAGATCCCGAATCGAAGAGAAGCACTATTGACGAAAGGCTTGCAAATAAATCTAGAGGTGAATTGCTCAGAATAGGCTAAACGGAGCGAGGTAATATCAATCATATGCGTATGAGGTATATTGGAGTGTTCTTGGTATACTTGTATGAACCTATCTGTCCATTTGTGACCATTTCAAGTCACAATTTCATGGTCAACCGGTCCATTGGTATATGGGGTGTACTCTTCCAGACTAAAGATGAGCCACCTCCGAATTTACGAATCCATTGTAATAAAAGTGATCATTATATATAATAATCAGTTATACTCACTGAAAGTTGTACCAGGCGGTTACTGTGGCTTGACATTGGAATGGAGAAACATCTTCTTTAACGTCACACTTTCAAACCATCTGTATATGTCAGACTAGCTACTAACCAGTGGAAAGTGATTTGGATAATTCGCCTAACCCTATAAACAGGTAAAAGAGCTTCGGTGATGGGATTAGTTTGAGTACCTCCCTTACGTTATCGATCTGACAAGATCGGCATTGCCCTCCAAACTTCACATTCCTCTTAACTAGGCTTTTTGTTAAGAAGCGACGTTGAATTGCACAATTCTGTTGGTGGCCTGTGAAGTTTAGAACGTTCCTTAAGTAACATTCCTTAACGAACGTTGAGTTTGGAGCCCCAATAACACAATACCCGTCTGCACTGTAAACTTCTTCTCATGTAGACCACGAGAATTGATAGCTACTACAGTATACTCATTCAAATTCATGTTGGCAAATTATTTTGCTTGATAACCTAGTCACGAGATCCATTACCAAGGAATTGTCATTTTGATTTTGTAATCAAAGCTGTTGAGGTTCAAGTTTCAAAATTTAAAGGAAATGGGAGGTTGGTGTGAAGTTGAACACGAGACTGCAAAAATCTCAAAATGTTTTGAAATAGAAGTTTAAGGTTTCGATTTCAAAGACTTCTGTACCGTCTCTAAAAGATTTGCGTAGATGTACCTATGAAGTTGCGTGACAAGCTGTACAAGTGTTGCGTTCGGACGCATAACTTTGGTTTTAATGGTTAGGGTCTATTTATCACTAGATGATTCGAAAGAAAATGTGTAACCTAGGACAAGTTCCACGACTTCTGATAAAATACGTACCATGTAACTATCAATGACACTCCAGTACGATTACAATATCAACTGACTGCAGCAAACTCCGTTTGCAAAGAGACAGAAATTGATCGCACAACAACTATTGTAAATCATCATCTCCTGACTGGAGTTAAAGAAACTCATTGGCTTGTTTACTTGGTTTCCGAGGGTAGATTCGTCAGAGTTGGAACCCGAGGCATGTACAGATCAGTGTTAACTCCTGACTGGAGTTAACCAACTTAATTCAGTAAACATCAACCGGATGTGCAAAGTAAAATACAACTATTTATTTGTACTATGGAAGTTTGTTGCGAAGCTACTTGATTCCATTTATGTGATAAGAAATCCCTTTCGAGTATATAGATGTTGCTTTTGGTTGAAGGTTTGATTGAAAGTCCCTTCAGATTGAAATAAACACTACATTAAGCTCATCGTGCAACGAAGACAAAGAAAACGCCAACTTTGGCAACTTCTACATAAAAGTGTAATTTGCTGCAAGAATTAACAAATCAGTTATAAACTGCCTCTTGAGCGCAGTTGGATATATAATGTCTGAATCGTTGGTATCAGTGCAAATCACCGATATTATAGAAAGATAAATTCTTCGACTCCTTAGATGTTGAAAGGCTAGGAAGCCATCCCAACATCCAAAAAAGAAATCTGCAAACTCGTCATGGCTCAAAGTGCGATCAAACTAGATGGTCTCAGAGGGAGTTTTGTTTAGATGTACAGAAGGTAAGTATAGAGTCTCGCAAACTAGTGAGTTTTCACAAGGTTGCTAAAGTTACACAGAGCAGGTCGCGGTCACATTGATTAGAAGAAAAACAGAGAGAATTTACAGTGCTCAAAGGACTGAAGCTTCTCCAACTTACGATCTAAGAGAAGTCGCGATCTGGTAAGATGAAGGGAGCAATTAGAGACCAGATGTACAGACAAGCTGTGATCCATTGGGTGATGATGCGGACCCACACTGATGGCCAGCCAACATCAACAATGTCCTCCTGGATATTAGAGTTACCCCAGCCTGTCAGCAGCATGGCGGAGTACATACTAGCCAATGCGAAGATCAGGTAGAAAAATGAGTATACGTATGTGACAGGGCGAGGATCATCACGCTTGCTGCCTCTGGTCATTTTCATCTCTCCTTCGTCTTCAGAATCATGGCCACCTTCCATGTCTCGCTCTGTCAACAATGGCTTACTGCCGCTTCCTGTAAATCCAAAGACATGAGATTAGGCAAATCCAAGTACATCGGGACCAACCAAACCCAGACAAATCCAAAAGGGATGGGAATTGCAGAGAATAGGACAGAAAGAAACCTGCTCTTGGAGAAGATGGAGGGGAGAGGAACGTAGATGATGATCCAGCACGAACAGCAGAGTACACGACAGACAAAAGCGTTGTCATCATGCCCATGACTAGGGTGCCAGTAGATACTGCTGCAACATGCTTGTGCAATCCATTGCACTCATAATCACGGGGCTCGCTTGAGAGGGCACTGTAGCTCAGATAAGTGCAGTACAATCCGATAACTGCTGCTGGTAAGAGGCTCCCGTTAACCTGAGTGAAAACAACACGTTAACTTGATCCCAGGGTATGTCAACCTCGCACAAGAGCTATCTGAAGTATGTAAGACTGCTGCAGACAAAATATTTTCTCATAAATGACATAGTGGTCAACTTCAGCAGTTAATCGCTACGTATTAAGTAACTCTCGAATGAATTACATAATCGACAAGAGAAAAAGGATGAGCAAGGTAAAGACATACCTTTGGATGCAGAGATATAATGGCGAAGGAAATCCCAAGAAATACAGTTGTCACAAGGAAGAAAGTGTTGAGCTGACAATCGTGGCCTGATGGAGTAAACCAGTGAAACAAGAAGCCAGATAGAACAAACGAGGCCAGATAGCAACCGACAGATGCGACCAGAAGGGCAACATACCTGCGCAGCAAGCCAATTTAGAATAAGCAGGTAATTGAGAGATGCCAATACAGACGACGCAGGTTCGACCTCAAAGCACCGAGACTTTATACCTCAGACCCTCTTTACGATTCAAATTAACCTGATCACGGCCTGTACAAAGTAGATATTATTGTCATCTTGTTATGTAAAGTCGGAATGTATCAACATTCCGGGCGGCCGTCGAGGTGGACTCCTTGCGGGTCCATCGCGGCTGTCGCGTACCGAGCAACCCGCGGGGCGTGTTCCGGAAACCGAATCTCTCCGTGGTAGGAGGCTACGGTGTAAGCTGGGGTCGAACGGGTGGGTATGCCGAATCCGGTACGGAAATTTGACGTGATGACTGGGGGGGAATGCGGAGGTTTGCGGACGTAGGACAGCCGGCAAAATGCTCGAAACACTCACCAGAACTGTTCATCCTTTGCGACCCATGCAGCATTCCAATTGTGAGTGAAGTCCAACAAGATGATAACCTGCACCAACAAGAAAAGACCTGAACCAAACTTTGATACAACACCTGAAAGGAAAGACCACACAGTATCACCCGTCAGTAGCAGCTAGTTGGAGAACGATATTTAAGAAAAGGCTGGGTGCAATCCTAACGTGGACTTCACCAGCCACAAATCCGAGAAAAATATGTGGTAAACTACAATGTGCGAGTAATACCACACGTAAAAAGCTATTCGTACACACTCCACATGATTACTCATACCAGCAAATTCGGTTCCATTAAAGAGGATAACTAAGCGCTGGATGAAAATGATACAGACCATAGCCATTGACTATTTCGTTGGGCAAGAAGAATGCCATAATCACAAATAGCGTCCACATGATGAATTTGGCCATCCAGCCACCATGGTGCCAAGAATCTCGTTGATCTCGCTGGTCCTTGACACCGATCATTATCACGGCGAAGCATGCGAAGAAAAAAAAGTTCCCAAAGCTCACTCGAAGAACAGCCTGGGTTTCAAACCACTCTTTTCCGGGTGTGTGAACAAAAGTATTGATCCCTGGTTCAAACAAACATCACAAGTATTAATAAACAGCAGATCTGAGAGACTTATCCTTCAGAAACTGACAGCATCCAGGTTTATCAGGAAAGTAGATTTGATATTGTATTTCTGGAGGAGTCCACTGATAAAGAAATCCTACAAGTGTTTTTCTTTCAAGATCCACTCACGTCGTAATTAAGAGATAGCCACATTGTCTATGTAAGGTGAGCACAACATATCCCGAAGGTTCACTATTTAGAGTTCGATAGTGGTCAAGCAGGAACTTAACCGAACCTCAAACTGAATACTACGACCTTAAATTGAAAATACAAGTACGAAACAGACGATGCGAATGAAAAAATCTCATACAAATCTTGCTGCTCAAATTTCACATGATCCAATCGTGTAAGCAAATGACAGCCAACTGGTTGACATACTATCCAAAAAAATCTACGAAGTAGATTAAGAGAGAACAGGCAAGTAGGACATGAAGAAGAAACATCGTCATGGCAAGATGCAGATATTCACATCAAATTACATGGATAAGCCAAGGCGGTAGTAGGTTTAAAGACGTACATGGGATTTCCTCCAACAGTGGCTGTGCGAAATCTCGCAGCAACCAAGCCACCAATAAAGACATAGTGAAGATACCACAGTAAGCGATACGCGCTGAACGTCGAGAAATTCCACTCGCGATGCCCTTGCACGCCTCGCATGCGCACGAGGCGCAGCAAGACGCGGCGCACGAAGCGACCCACATGGTCCTAGATCTTTACGCAACCAACGAAGCCGCTTCCCTTCTCAAATCCTTACAAAGATTGATTTAACAGTTTTAGGTCTTTTTCTGATCCTGCCAATTATCCCACCACCACATTAGCCTGGAAGAAATTTGCATGTAACTATTCAATTTCGTTTGCACGACTCTGCTGACAGAGACTTTGACAGGAACTAGGTTTGAGACGATAGACATCTTCATCTCATTCGTGAACAACTTGATGGTTTACGCAGAACAAACCAGGCTGAAGGCTACATAATTCTCAATCTGGCAAAGGGAATCGGAGCCATAGCAGGTGCTGATCATATGTAGGCAATACGCGGTCGTTATCATACGACGAGAAGAGGTACTCATCCATTGAGGCTTTCATCTCTGAAGAGGAGCAGGGCATAGAACGGCATATTCTCGTTTGCATCAAAACGCTCACGGACCAAACCAAGGGAACCAACGAATAGCCACTAAAAAGGAAAGCAATTCCACTGCACATCGGATCACAAGTGAACAGATAGATTTCGTGTGTCTGCGATGCGATGACACTATGTAAGGATGAACACAATCCTTCCGATTTTCACAACCCGTCAGCAGAAACATTCCTCTCAAACCCTCATTACAATCAGGGCAGAATCGACCGACAGAAACGCATGAAACCTGGTCACGTAAAAATTAGACCCAAAAAGCCTCTTCAACCGAACCACCATCCGCATCAATTGAAGAGGACCAAAAATCCATCGAGGCACACCCTCACCGACAAATTCCCGGAGGCACCGATCCTTCCCAAACCGCTCAACTCAACAGCCTCAATTCAGTCGCACACGCACACTCGAGTAGCGGAATTTCACATGGAATTAAACACAGCGATGGCACGACACAAGTACCTGATCAGATCGTCACTCGAGTAGGCAGAAATGACAGATTCACGAGTCAGCGGCGATGGCAAGGAGGTCGAATGTCCGAAGGAACGAATGGTCTGTCTAGGACGAGGAAGGAGAAGCCGGGCACGAATGTCAAGTAGACTACCCGAGCGTGCACAGCCAGTCAGAATCCGCCACGTCTGATGCCTTCCTGAGCTGATTCACGCGTTCTGCTGTCTTCATCTGCACGCTGGCCATTCTTCGAATCTTCTGCGTTGTCATGTCCCGGACAAGAGTATATTTTAGAGATTAATAATCGATTCCAATCTTCTCGTAATGTAGTCCTTCTTTGAATTTTTGTATGGCGTATTCGCTCCCCTCAATACGCCAATCACAGTATCCTATTGCATTTTAGTATATTTATATAGAAAATTGAAGATTACATTTTCAATCATTGCTATGAAATCAACACATTATTCGCTTGATAGAAGAATGGACTTGGACTTTCCAACCGGTGAGTCCAAATGAGATGAAGAAATGTGAAAAAAAGCCTTCCGGGATGGCATGAGTGACACATGAAGGTGCAATATTGAAAGTATCTTCAAGATTCTCACTAGATACTAATGATGTTTAGCGTTTATTGACATTATTTGTTCATGTTTTCAATGTCACAATTCTCATTATTTTTCCGTACTAATTCGATTATTGCATGGTTAGTTGCTCATTCAAGTTTTATATGATAGCTAATCCCTGATACAAGTAGTATAATATGTTGGATTCTTAATGTCACAATTGCCTCCAATAAGTCATAATTTCTTTCAGTTTTAAAATATCAAATTGGTGTTGAACATGTTATGATAACTAACCAATACAAATATTCAAGTATTGATATCCATTTCTCAAAATAAATGAAAAATTATTCCACTAAATATTAATGATTCAAATTATTGATCTTTGTAGATACATCAACTTTTAAATGATGAATTTTGAGTTACATGAATCTCTTAACATGAACTCCAAACTTGTTGCAACAGAGTGGTCAAGACAGTTTTAAAGCGTGTATTATGGTACAAGCATTCATGAATGCATAAAGACCATGACTTGGTTAATTTTTCTGGTGAACACTTGCAATTGAAATATTTTTTCAAATAAAAATAAAATATTTATTTTTATTGTAATAATAAAATAAACTTATTCGGAATGAATCATAATTCTTGGAGTTGTAATTATATCAAAAGAGTATGATATCAATTTTCAAATGCAATATTTTGTTAGCAAAGTGATTTAAATTATATTTCTAAATTTAATTCTATAAATTTTATAGCGCTTTTAACTTTTTGTGAAATTTTAACAATAAAGAGATATACTTAATATGATCTCTACGTTTTATTTTAGATAATCTTGTGTATTACATGCTACATATTGACACAAACTTAAAAATTTTACATGCTTAATTTTTCTTATTTTCTGATCTCGTCAAAATCAATAAACATATGTTATCTCATATGTTAACCTATTTTATGCATGTGTAATATTAATAAAACTATACATTTTCAAATCTTTAAATTATTGATTGATATTGAAAATTCTTAACATAGTTCTACAAAATCATGCTTTGTCATATCAGTGGTCGAGCTTTTTTATAAAAAATATATATATTATATATTTGACACATGATAAAATTATTTTTAAGCATTTATAATTAATACTTAATTGAAAAATTCTAATAATCACAATTAATCATCAACATAATTTTATTTTTCACTAAATTTGAAGAATTCATACTTTAGTCATAATCATCAATTAAACTATAATTGGAAGCAATTTATGTTGATGATTGATGTTATAATCTACTAAATTATATGATAACAATGAAAATAGATTAAAAATTTTTACTCAAATAAAATAAAATCACCTGAACAAGAAAAAAAATAATCAAGATAATTATAGAAAAATAATCAAATTTTCTCTAAATTTATTTTATCTTTTTCAAATACTTATTAAAACTTGCCGTATGTCAAGACATTTTTAAATTCATTTTTTAAAGGGCAATGAATTTAAAAATATCTTGACATTTTTTATGTAATTCAATCAAATATTTTTTTACATGAAAGAACTATCAACACACTAAAAATTCCCAAGTTTATCAAGATTGAATTAATAATATTTTTTCTTTCTAAATTTAATGAAAAATGTCTATTCAATAAGCTAAAATATTCTTACAATTCAACAAAATTTTGAATTTTTAGATGATTAAAAAAAAAATCTTAATTCAAAATTCAAACAAGTCATAATCCAATTGTCCAATCATTCATTCTTTATAATATTAAAATTAATTTTTTTTATAAATGACATTTTGTCTTAATATTTTTTTGTATGCTTTGTGTCTATTATCATAAAAAAATTTAAATTTAACTTGAATAAAATATTTAAATAGTAAATAATTCATTTATAGGGTGATATTTATTTTAGTGTATATTTATAATAACTTCAGATTTTAAATTTGCCAGATCATTAAAAGGCATTTTTCATAATAATAAAAATGATTATGAAACTTTCAAGTTTTTATTATATAGTTCCAAAGTATGCAATTGATGCAATCATAATTAAGTTTATGTAGAGTGGAGACAATATTTAAAATCATGAAATCTTGTTGAAAAAATAGATAACAAGAAAAAATAGATACATTATTTAGATTTATAATGAATAATTCAATCAAATGTGATGAAAAACTTGTTGATGTTGTTATCTTGAAGTGATAATTGTAAAAATAAAAGAAGTACTGTATAAAGAGAAGTAAATAAAATTATTGTGCATAAAAAGTGAGCAACTAGTTATTACTGAGTTTAGGCTAATTAATTACTCACCTTACTATATTCGGGTGAGGTATAATTAGCCAATTCAACCAAGTATGTAGTTTTTAGGTTAGACTTTCGCCAAAAACTAGAAGCTGGAGATGATCCACACCGGATGGCCATAACGACCCCGACTGTATGCTCTCCGGGTTGACAATATAAGTACACCCGTTCGTCAATCACCGTCACTGTCATCCACTGGGTTTCACAGTCGCCGTCATCCGGTTTCGCGCTTCTCGCCCAAGACGAGACTGTCCGGCTTTTCTTGTGACACATTTCTTGACAATGGCGATGTCGGATCGCGCTAGCTCGGAGTCAGCAAGAATTAAGAAGCGAGAAATCGGAGCGCCCAAAAATCGATTGGATCGTTGAACTGTGTGACCGTTTAGTAAAGTTTGCATTTGTCTGATATTGGGAGCATAGAGAAGAGCATAGGGAGAAGATCAGACTTCCGGGTTGCCAAGAACTGGAGCTGAGTGTTCTAGAATCCATGGACTTGTCAAATCGCGATTCTTATATTAGTTGAAAAGCGTAAGCTTAAATGAAGATAAATAGCAATAATTAGTCGTGAAGGTGGTAGTTACAATGACATCTTGAATTGATGTATTGAGAACAAAAATTTGAAATTTAGAATTCAGGCAAAAGCATTTGAAAGCCAACAAATATTAGAAACAAACGAACCGTCTTTCGAAGAACATGCATTGATATTTAGGATTAACAATGTATTCTCGTCTTCACGAGATCTCTACTAATCTCCTATCCTCGTCGTCTCGGTCTTTTCTTCCATGCAGCAGCAAAGTGTCTCCGAGTCTGATTCACCAGCTTGCGTGTTCCTACTCTCTTGCTTTAAGTCCTCACTATGATTCTACATTCACCACAAGGAAGAGGAGTAGCAGCGCCGATTGTTCATGCATATTCTAGTCTCAATTTGCCCATAATCTATTTGCAGGAGACCGGTCCAAAGTCTACGGCGATTGTGTCCGACATTTGTGTGAACCATCACTCTTGCGTTGAATTCAGTCTAATCTTAACCCGAGAATTCATTCTTTTCACTTATCGGCGCTTAACGAACGAAGCTCGCAAAGCTCGATCCAAACCTCATCCACAACACCGTTCAACTTCAAACTTAGCAAAGTCTTCCTCGATTTCATCATATCATGCTATTGTCATTGGCAAGGGCCCGATCCAAATGCTATTGGATCTTGACTTGGCATAGCTAAGAACTATGCTTGAACATGATGAATAAACCTCGATTTCATGCTATTGTCACCGGAAAGTGTAGATTGAAACTTGTCCAACCACTTGGTTAATAATACCTCACCCTAGTATAATAGAGTATGGGATAATTAGTCTAAACTTAAGAATAACTAGCGGATACCCAAAAAAATGATATCTCATTGTATATGATGATGCATAATCATCTACATATAAGTCTCAATTTATCATTTAATGCAAAATGCGTCAAAAAACCAAAATAATATAATTTACTTAATCGTTTTGAATCATGAGACTTCAAAAGTTGAAAAAGTTAAATAAATGTATATTAAGTTCACATATTGCTTTCACATTTGAAATTTGATGTTACAAATATGTTTTAAAAATTGCCAAAGATGTTTATGCTAAATGATGTTATCATGATTTGAATGTGAACACTGACAATCAAATAACACTAAAAGATGACACACACATTTTGAATATAAGAGATACATAGATTGGTAATATTCTTCTTTTTATATATATATCGATATTCAATAGGTTTAAGAATGTTAGATACTACTCCCACCATACATTTCACTATTAACACATTAACAACACAACATATATACCTAACAAAAACACGGATCATTCTCAACTACTGAATTCTATCCGTATTTCACAAACACAAATATTACAACTATGTTGATGTTTTACTTATATATATACACTCTTTTATCTAACAAATACATAGAGTGTTGATAGGTTGTTGTTAACTTATACATTATTTTTTTTACTTCCCAAGCACGTGGATTGTTGTACTATCGACTATAAATCAATAAAATTTGTAAAAAAATCATAGTAGGTATTCTAACCTTAGAATTAATGGTTCATAAAACAAGTAGTCTTTTTGCATAAAAGTATTCTTATTTATTATTGTAAAGTTTTTTTTGTGTCAAAATCAGTGCACCAGAGAGCCCATATACATCTTCATTATCATATAGTTAGTTCTAAGGAACTAAATATAGTTATAATATTCAAATCAAAGGTATATTGTGCAAATTAAGTAAAGAAATTGAGGAATAAATTTAAATTCAAGATATAAAACTTCAAAATTTGAGGTTCAAGAATAAAAATCAGTGTTTAATGCATTTGAAAAACAAGAAAGTATTGCATATTGAGTAAGAATTAGATTCTCGGGTGAAACAGAAGTATTTAGATCATATTGACACTTCAATAACTTTATATTGAATATTGAGGAAGATTTGAATCGAGTGTGAAACAAAAGTGTTTGTATCATATTAACACTTCAGAAATTTAATTTTTTTAAGACGTCAAAAGCACAGAATTTCATAAAGTTTGACACATTTATTAACAAAAAAACAAGATGAATTTTGATAAAAAGAGCATACAAGGTCATAAAAAATCTGGTCTATCTGAACCACAATCTATGTATCATAATCTAGTTATTGTATCTGTACACATGACAAAACAATAGACGAACTTCATGATGAGACATGAAAAGTATGAGTATTGCGAAATGATCTACAGGTTGAATATCACCACATAAACCATAGTAGTATAATGTGAGAAGTCATGTCTATAGTAGAGAGATGCAGATTAACAACATAATTACACTACAAAAGAAAGAGATTATTGTATGAACTAACATGAGATGTTATTTCACAAGATAGACATGTACACAAAAACATGATATTGAATGATTTGTATGAGAAACACCTCATGTTCTCCTTGTTCAACACATCATTGTGATTTTTTACTGCCATTGAAAAAGACCTTTCCGTAGAGTTGTTGCATGACATGATTGATGGCTTTGGCTACATGACTAAAAATTCGGCATGATCATATTGGCTATTGAATCAGTAAAGTAGAGGGAGAGTTCAGCGCTCGAAGCCTCCCTACCTTCCGTTCACGGTGTGCATACCTACTTCCTCCCGAATAAAAAAGGAAGACAAATGTTGCAGTTTTCTCACCACGTAATTGTCACAACGCACATGGCCTTACTGCTGTAGTCTCAGCAGTCAAAACCGTGACGGTGAGCAACATATTTCACATCTCGTGGCACCACACAGTTCGACTCATTGACATTACGACAAAGCAGCTCGTAGTACAGTTGGAGTTTGGAGGGTTCACGTGGTTATCCATGTGGTACATAGACTCAAACCGTCGAGGAGAGTGGACATTTCAAGCTCGAAAGATCGTCGTTTAGCCCATACGACGGCGGCGCTTTTGGCGTTGTACCCTTTGCGGGCGTGGTTCCCTTCCAGAGGAAACAGATTGCGAAAGGAGTGTGGGAGAATGGCGACTTGTGAGGATGAGACGTCCCGATGGACGGTCGACAGCTGCACGGCGAAGGAGAGTGGTGGTGCACAGACGTCGATCGAAGAAGCTCGGGGAAACCAGAAAGCGAATGGCAACTTAATGGCAGCGGAGAACATCCGACCGCAGTCGAGTCTCGACTCGACTCGACTCGACTCGACTCGATACTCGAGACTGGAGAGGAGTGTTAAAATCCTCTCCAGTTAACCACAGTAGACGAGCTTCGGACGCGTGGCACGGCCGACAAGTCTTACGAGCTCGACACGTGGCTAGTGTGCACTGGCTCCCGTCGTGGTTTAGCTCGATGGTCCCTGCGTGCGCGCCTCATATAAACCTCATGCTGGCGCTGCCCACTTGCCGCTCGCCACGTGAGTGCAGCGTCGCTCTCGTCCACCTCTCGTCGTCGCGCTCCGCGCCTGCCCCACCTCGACCTCGGCTCCTCGGCTCCTCGCCTCAATCCTCTCGCAAGCGCTTACGCTTTCTCGGTCTCGCGCGGGCCTCGATTTTTCTCGCACCAGCGACCGAGCCTGCGGTTCATGTGGTACTGCGCTTTCCTGTCGCCCTCCTCTGCTCAATCATGCCCTTTTCCGCCATGATTTTGTTTCATCGCTAGAATTTTTGTTTTTCTTTTGTTTTGGGTTTGATTTTGCACGGCGCTGCTTTGGAGTCACAATTTGCACATCAGTCGGGCGGCTTTCAGCTGTGGGGGACGGGCGGGTCGCTTCACGGTAATTCTGCCTGGTTTCTCGACCCGCACCGAATTCTTGCCCTGATCCAGTCTTGTGGATGAACTGCACTTGTGCTGATTTGGAGAGTGAATTCATGATGACGGGCGAGTTTCTGTCTCTCGGTTTCATCAGTTGGTAGGGAGGGAGCTTGCTACGTAGGCGAACCGGCTCATTGATCGGCTCGAAAGTGATTGTACATGCTTGAGTTGGAGAATTCAGGGGATTGGTCCGTCGGGGCCAGATCGCAGCTCTGCAGTGACCCCGCTTGATGATGTTTACTTGCTGCTCTGTGCTAGCATTCACTTTCCGTCTTCCGGTCTTCTGATGGTTTGAACGAGTTAGAGACGCGGTGAATGGCCTCTGCTTTCATTTCCTTTCGTGGCCCTGGAGAGGAGCAGGAGGAGGTGGTGATTTCCGGTCTGTCCGCTCCGCTTTTATTGCTGCCGCTGCAGTACTGGAGAGTTGAAGGAGCTGTTCCCAGGACATATTCTAGTTCAGTCTGATCCCCCCTTTATTTTAGACTGTCCAGAGAGCGAAGAGAGCGAGCTTTGTCCTTGGAGAAAGACAAATTTGGTGGACCTTCTCGTTCACTTCCACTCTCTGTACAGTGACCTTTGCACGATATCGATTGGTGTTGATCGTACTACTCGTTGTCGTAATTCATAAGAATCGTCTTGGCGTACGTTTTACGTCGTCTGTTCAAAAACTTCCATGTCACTGTTTTATTTCCTTGAGTGAAACTTGTTGGTCTCAATAGCTCCATTCGACTTTCTAATCACTGTGTCGTACATGTCACCGGGGCCTTCGCATAATAAGAAATCTGAACAATGTCGTCCTGTCTTTCAGGCATCCAAAGAGATAATCTAAACCAATATATGAAGTTTACATCGTCTGGATTTTCCGTTGTGAAGATATTTGCGCAAGCTCCAACGGTTCCAATACGGCCCTCCGTTTCTACCTCTGGGAGTTGCAAAACCCAGTTCCAGTGTCACATGCTGTGGTTAGAAATATTATCGCTTGTTACTGTTCAGTACTAGTGGCTGTTTTGGTCACAAACAGTACGATTGCCATGTATGCGACGCATTCTACACGAAGTAAGCGTAATATTCGGTCGAAGAGCTCGCCGCTTCCTTCTAGATTTTGTCTCGTAAACTTGTCGAGGCCATCGAGTCGGTCGCTGGGCAACTCTGCCCAGGTTCAATTTCTTTGATCCGCACGGAGTTGCGCACACTGGCATCGGTCACCCGTTCGGAGCTTTTAGTTGCAAGCAAAGCGTTCAGAGTTTGTGAAGAGAATTATCTCACCTGACATGCCGGATTGAATCACAAGATTATTCTATTTACGTGTAATAGGCGCTGCAACCTTTGACGGCTGATAATTTCAGGGCTTTTTACTGTCGGCTTTCCGTCGTGGACCATGCTGTAGTTCCGGAGCGAAGTCAGCAGCCAGTTTACTTTAGGCTTGTAGAGATTCTGGAAGTGATGTTTGCTGATCGTCTGTGTTATGTTATCGCAGATCCAGAACGATTTTGAGAGCAGACATTAGAAGGTAATGGCGCCGTTTTTGTTGCTGTTAAATGCGACCAAAGTAATAGGTGCAGCAGGAATTATAGCTGTTGCTGTCGACAGTGTCGCTTATCGTCGTTATCGAAAGCGGAATTTAACTCCATTCGAAAATCCACTCGACGAGACCGAAGAAATTCTTGCAAGATTTGAAATTGAAGAAGATGGTAAGCTGAATCTGTTCATTATCATGCTTTTAAATTGTTTGCTGGGTTTCTGTGTACATTCAAGCTACGACGTCAAGTATGATTGAAAAGGACACCAAAACATGCTGGTATGTGTGAGGGACTTGACGTTTCTAAGCTAGCACTCCCCAGCTACAGGAGAGGCGTGAGAAGGCCTTGGCGTTTAGTATAATTGTGCAGATGGAATGAGATGGTCTCTAGGATAGACTTTAAAGAACCAAATTTCTATGTGGATCTTCCTGGAGGTCATGATTCATTCTCAATGACCAGCGAAAGAAAGTCTCATTCCCATCGTTCACTCTTGATTATCTTAAATTTGTTTACTCTTATAATAATGTGTTCAAATTGTCTACTCGTACGTAATAGTTTTTGTCTTTTGTCTCGATTGTAGGCTCTAATTTCTTGTATCAACCTGTACAATTATTTTCTAGGCGCTTCACAGCATTTTTTAAGTCACCGCCTTTCAGGACTTAACTGCGGATAGTAGCGTCCTGATCGCGGGTTCAACATCTTGAGAATGTAACGTGTACTCTGTGTTGGCTATGACGTTCCACAGTGGAGGACGGAGGTTTTTTTTTTGCTCTAGCCACAGCACCAGCACATGTTGAGGATAAACTGAAAGATGCATGGCTAGAGTTCGCTGAGCAAAGTGACGGCAAGCAATCTAGCGCCACTGGACATCCCGAAATTCGAGATGAAAAGGCTGAATCAGTTGGAATTTCACTGGTAGAGGAGCTGCAAGCTGCAAAATTAAATGAGGCCAGGGATGAACGCGCAAAGGAGGATGCTGAGGTAGTGAAGGGGGAGAGCAAGCCAGAGTCATCGGAAGAGGGGGATGAAAGCGAGAAATTAGTGGAGACGTCGAAGGCTGATAAAACTGTTAGCCCCGAGACTCCTACTGGGGCCGCTCTCTCCGAGTGGGAAGTTGTTAGCGAAGGTTCAGAAAAAGGGAGATACAGTCGTTCACCTTCAGCAGAAAGAGAAGAGAAACTAGATATCAGCACAGGCAAGGATCAAGATGAACGAGCATCAAGTGCACCTGAGATGCAGCTGGAAGATGCCCCTCCCCCCTTCCCAGCAGATATGGAATCTCTTCCCAGTCAGTCAGATATTCTCAAGCGCCGGGCTAAAGGCAGTACTTCATCTCCGACTCTCGTTAACCTGCCCCAAAAGACTAAGCAACTTGCAAAGGTGGCTATGGAGGCTATGATTCGCGGTATACAGAAAATCACTGAAGAGGAAGAAACTGCAAATGTGGCTGCGTGGCAAAATGCTTTTCACCCGTGAGTACCACTGAGGCTTTCGTTGTCTTATTCTATTTATGTTTTCTATCAGCAAATTTTGTGGACTCGCGGTCTCAGACTCTGCACGAGACTGTCTTGAGAACGGAGCGATTACCCGTGCTTATTATCCTGATGTATCACCAGCAGAACCTGATGAGACTATTAACCCTCCTACATTAGCCATTGATTGTTACTTCCCGCTAAGCTGACTAGTGGGTTCTGAGTAGCAACTCTAAGATGAGGTAAGTGTTGGGCAAAACACTAAGATCAAATTCTAGATAACACTCCAAACATTGAATGGTACAACTCAAAATTTATCTAGACTGCTAATTCAACAATCAAGGAAAGATCGTTGGCAGAATGTGTATTTCACCCACTGTCCCAGCAAAGTATACAGAATTGATGGCTCAAATTTTAAGCTTAATTTTAAGCCTAAACGGAATACCTAATCTTAAATTGGGTGAGGTAAATGGGTGAAGTAAATCAGTGCTTAGCTATTCTAAGGATTGGTAACTAACTTCTACTGTATAACAAGTATTATACTGCTAAATATAGGTAAGAAATGACTCTGAGAATAACTATTACATCAGATTGAGTGTCCTAGTCGATTTTGTGAGCTAATTTTCGTGGCGTGTAGTACATCAGTGTCTTTGATGTAATATCAACTGTAAGAGGTTTTTGGGGATTGTATTTTGCCTTCTCCGTTTGGTGGCTTGTCTACGCGTGGTCCTCTGTTAGTCCCATTTTAGTAGGAAATGTGGGCTTTGGTCCATGTTTTCTGCTTGCCATCAATCTGAACACCACAAAATATAAATGCTTTTAGCTTCTGTGAAGACATCTTTGCCGGCTTTTCAGTGGTCAAAACAGGCCTCATATATTGCCTTTGTTTGCTTTATCGTCAGAGGAATCAAATCAATCAATGTCTCTCTAAACTTCGGCAGAAAAGGTCAGGATCGTTAAATAATTTGGCATAAAAGTCGACTCTTCAGCCGTTGTTGATATACTTGTTACCCTATATCTCAAGGGAGGAGAGACTGCGATTTTGGACTGAACCTGACACGGAGCTCAAGCTTGCGAAAGATGCAAACGTCAGTGTGTTTCGAATGGGAGTTGATTGGAGCAGGATAATGCCAGTTGAGCCACTCAACGGAATGACCAGTGCTGTGAGTAATCTAAACCGAACAACGCGAGATCACAAAAGTTTTTCCCTTTTCTCAGTCATCTGACAGTGTACATTTCATGACTCAAATAATGGTGAGACATCACCGTACTGTGAGTCGAAAGGAGCACTCAGAAGAACTCATTTGGTTCTACGGACAGGTGAATTGGGGAGCTGTTAAAAGATACAGGCAAATTATCGAGAGAGTTCGTGATCACGGCATGAAAGTTATGCTTACTTTGTTCCATCATTCTCTCCCAATCTGGGCGGCTAAGTATGGAGGGTGGAAGGAGCCGAAGACCGTCAAGTATTTCGTTGATTTTACCAGGTTGGCTTTCTTCTCATGACGCATACGCAAGTCGGAAGTATCAAGGACAAATTTTACAAGTACTAGCTGACCAGCAGTGTACATTGCAGTACACTGCTCTGGGTTTTGCTGACATATTTCTCTCATAGTTCCACAGTTTCAGCTTTCCGTTCTGATCGGGCGTGAACTTAGCGCTACCTAGACACCCTGATTTGTGCTACACATACTGTCTTCTTTTTGTTAGAATGTGAAAAGCACCTTCGTTTAAATTTTGACGAACAAGAAAGTGATACACTTTGACAGATCTAGGTGAGATGGATGTGCTCTACTGGAAGAAATTATTACACGCTACGCATCATGGCACACTGGTTTGAGCCTTCGTACCTACCGTGGGTGTATTTTGCAGGCTTGTCGTTGACCAATACGCAGATTTGGTGGACTATTGGATTACATTCAATGAGCCCCACGTGTTCACTATGCTCACATACTGTGCCGGTGCCTGGCCTGGTGGTGATCCCAACTTGCTAGAGACGGCAACTGCTGTTTTTCCCAAGGGGGTGTTCAAGGTTGTAATGGCTGCAATGGCCGATGCTCATATTCAAGCTTACGATATCATTCATGCGAACAGGTGTCTCTTTCATCTTACTTACATTTATTGCAAAAGCAGTAGTAAGAATTATTTTTTCGTTTTCTACAATGTTACTCCTTTAGTAGTGGATGTTACTCTGTCTACATCTCTTGGGAGCAGGTCATTTACTGAAATTTAGTATGCCAAGAAATTCTTCTTCCAGAGCGGCCTTTTTTATCATTCACTCGTATAATATAACTTTGCTTCAGGCCTGATATTTGGAGAGAAAGTTAATTGTCACTGATTCAACAACGTGCTCATGTTACGATGCTCACAGTAAGAAGATATCAAAGAGGACTAAAGTCGGCGTCGCCCACCATGTCTCTTTTATGAGACCATACGGTCTCTTCGATGTACCATTGGTCATGTTTAGTGATCACTTTACGCGATTTGCTTACGTTGATGATGTTTGCAAGAAGTTGGACTATCTGGGCATAAACTACTATGGCCAGGTAAATATTCTGAACTGAAGTCGAGTGAAAATACAACATAAGAAGAAGTCCTGCGGACTCTGGAGTTTTATTGCAGAGGTTTCATGGTCGAAGTAGATAAGATTGGATACGAAGCTTCAAATGTCCCATTTGTAACAGTTTTTGGGATTTTTTGCAGGAGGTTATATCAGCACCTGGACTGAAGCTTGTGGAAAATGACGAGTACAGTGAGTCAGGACGGGGTGTCTATCCTGATGGGTTGTATCGCATTCTCATTGATTTTCACAACCGCTACAAGAAGTACAACATTCCTTACATCATTACTGAAAATGGAGTGTCAGACTCGAGCGATTATATCCGTCGGCCATATATTATAGAGCATTTGTTGGCACTCCGTGCTGCCATGAGTCAGGTATCTACCCTGTAAATTAGTGAATTCCTCTTTGAATTGAGGTGGCTGATGTAAGATTTGGAAGGATTTTATCGACCGAGAAGACTCCACTCGACCAGCCTTAGCACTAAAGATTCACAGAGCTGGCTGAACACCCTAGATCCAGGACATTTTTCTTTTTCCAATGTTTTCACAGCCTTGATTTTAATTATCCTCCTCTACCTATTTCAGGGTGTACCTGTTCGAGGGTATTGCTTCTGGACCACCTCGGACAACTGGGAGTGGGCAGATGGTTATGGCCCAAAGTTTGGACTGGTTGCTGTAGACCGGCATCACAATCTCGAACGAATTCCAAGGCAGTCATACTATCTTTTCTCCGAGGTAATTTGTGCCGAAGAAATTATTGGATACACAGCTTCTATCGCAAGCATAAAGCACCTTCGGTTTTCGTCTAAGGATTTCCAGCCTCTGAATAATGTTGTTTGTTTTCTCAATTGCAGATTGCGAAAACAGGCTATGTAACGAAGGAACAGAGAGAAAAAGCATGGAGAGAACTGCAAGAAGTCGCTGAAGAAGGGAAAAAAAGACCGTTTTGTCGGTCTGTGGATGAAAAGGGTCTCATGTATTCAGGTATGTGCTTATTTCATTGGACCTTGTGAGTATTTCATTGTCTAAGCACATTCTACTTCGATCGGTTCAGAGGAACTGCAAATGAACCTTGTCTAGGGGAGCATACTACAACCTAAGTCCAACTTCACTCTCAATATGGCCCGATCTTGCCCGTCTTCTTCCTGCAACCTCCCTCATTTCTTCTTCCTCCTTTCTCTCTAGCAACGCCCATTCAGGGTGCCGGGTCCGCGGTCTTAGACTGTAAGTTAACCTGATTGGCATTCGACATCCTTAAATCTGCAAAAGAGTATCGTGCAACTTTGGAATACGTGAAACTTGTAAGTATGTGAGACATCCTGGATACAACAATGTTCGTGCTCATAATGGGCATGTTGCACTCCGATCACACACTAGGTATAGACCTAGTGTTCAATGCCTGCTTCCACATATATCTTACATCCATTTTAACAGGCTCATCTACACCTCTGCCTTGTACTATACTTCATTTTGCTTGACTTGAAGTGAAAGATAAAACTCAAGTCAAGAAGCAAAATTAAGTTATCTCTTTACTGACTACCTTTCCGCATTGATACTTCCTCATCCACACAGAGTTCTCTTATTTATGTCTGTCCTTCACTGTTGTTTTGGGCTGGACATTTATCTGCACTTTGGAGTACTTCTGTCCGTATGCTAAGCACACACCGCCATTTTTTTATTTTTGTTTTTTTCAGCTTAGTTTTCGCTTTCTTTAGTTTATGATTCTCCTTACGTCAATTTTTCATATTTGCTAATCAAAATCTTCATGCATTTTTGTTGATAATCACTTATGGATTTTGAATGAGGTTGGTCCTTGTTGGACATGTATTCAGACATCTCGAATAAACTCAACTTGTTCAGTACTTACAATGTTCAGAAATTTTATAAATTTTAGATACAAGATGAATCACAGGAAAGATTGACGAGAATATTAACCTTTGCTTCTGTATGTGGATACATAGGGGGCTTGGACATACCAATTGAAAGGCCATTCGTGTCAAGGGACTGGAGGTTTGGTCACTACGAAATGGATGGTCTTCAAGATCCAGTCAGCAGATTCTTTAGGTTTATAGTTTCTGGGGCTTTTCTTGGTCTTCGACAGGCTCCCAGAAAAGCCAGGGGAGGCATTCCAAAATCTAAAGAACCAACGGGAATGGACTATAAAGGCGTGCCAGATGTAAGATTTGCTGAAATGCAGGAGAGAGCTACAGCAGCAGCCTGAACGTAAGCGGTCGGCGAGTTGATTAGGTTGTAAAAAACGATGAATAGGTTTGATCTTGTACCAGAGGAGGCTTTAAACTTGTAAATATAGAGCAAGAAAGGAAAGCCTTTGGTGTGAAAAGTCAAACTTTAACCTTCCAGAGGTTTTGTGTGAAATCTTGGAGTTCAAAACAGACTGTAAAACACTGAGCTGCATTTGCACCATCAGATACTATCATGGTTGTTGGGATGGTTCTGTCCTTGAATCTCAAAAAATTTGCCAGTGATGTTTCTCTTCGCGTTTAGGGTATTCATGGATTAGCTTTATACTTCTAAAAACTTTATGTTCTTTCCATTTCCCATATTCATCCTGCATGTGTACGATGTGTCCATAGCGTTACAACAGAGGCAGGTCCCGAGCGAACTAAGCGAACTACACCAGGCAAGGGAGATGAACTGATTTTGACACATGTGATCTTGTTAGTCGAAGCTAATTTATAGTATGTTATCACTCCAGACATCTTCTGCATTTTCTGATACTGGTTCGGTTGCATTAGTTTTCACAATAACTAATAAAATTTCTGTATCATCACCTCCAGTGTACACATCCCCAATTTTCCAGCGTCGGTTTTACGCCATCCTTAACCATTTCTGGAAGTACTGATGCAGTGAGATCTGGTAACTAGATGCGGAGGAGAGAGGACTCACAAACACACAGGAGGTAAGAGGTTCTTCCAGTCTCTCAAATGAAAGGACAACGCACTATTGCGAATCATTTCGCCAAAGTGGCGTCTACGCTCTTGCGAATATCACTAGTATCGAAGTGAAGAGACTGATATGACTTGAATGTAAATTGCCTACTAAGTCACCACAATACAGTACGGTTACTCATGTTTCTTGCCGTAGCAAATATTCTCTTTCGATGCATCTTTTATTGCTAAACCGTCCTCTCGTTTGCAAGGGTACTAACACATGATGTATACATTCATATTTCCTCCATCGCAGATGAGGCCAAATGTAACGACTATCATCAGAGGAGAATCTTAACAGAATTAGATCTGTTATTAGATATTGAATTGTTGAGGGTCAACTATTCACTCCAATTGAGCTGAATTAAGAGCGGGGGATGTGGTTTCACCACTCCATTTTTCACATATAACCTGAATATCAATCACTGTCATTCGTACTGATTAACCAGTATTGCCATATTGCTATAGTGGAGAATATACCAGCTCAGTTAAATAATATTTTGTATACGTTTACGAGAGCATATACCTGCATTCTATATTTTTTCTAAAGAACAGTTCGGAATATGAAGAATGGTAGGAAAAACTTGCTAACACTCATTTTTCTAATTTATCAAAACTATAAAAATTTGTTAGATTGCTTAGATATTTTCAAGTTTGTCTTAGAATTTGTAAAAAAAAACTTCTAAGATAAAGTTTCAAAATATGTAAGCAATCTAACAAAATATGGTTAAATTTAATGCGAGGTTTGAGAAATAAATGTACTACTTGAACTATTGATGTAAATATGACAAATTTCCAAAGTATTGGAAGGTTTTGAAGTGGCAATCAAGGCGACGTTAAAGGATGGTTTTTGCCTTGGCAGAAATGATAGTATCTTTAATTCAAAAGCGTGGCCAACTTTTTACAAAAATGAGATAAGAGGAATGAACACGCAAAGATTACCCGGCGAACGTGCAGTCATGAAGATACGTCGCGTCTCAGCAGACTCCTCTCTTCAACAACTAAATTAGTGAATATCTGACTGATTATGATTTCGTTAATTAAAGGATGAACATTAAAGGTAGACTTTGATGTACTTCCAACAACTCTTGTGCACTTTTGGATTGCAAAAAATCTAAGACATTAGAATAAACATTGGATTTTTCATGTGCTATCAAGCTCGCTTTGCTAGTAATAGATCTCGTCCGGATATTTTATGTTTAATACTTCCTTTATCAGGAAAAGTGATAATTTTTTGTCTGTTCGAAGTAGGCGGAGCATGTATCCCAAGTATATGACAAACTGTGGGTTTGCTCTTTATTCGTTTCTAGTCAATCCCTGTCGTGGAGTCCTTTGACGGTTTCAATCTTAACCGACTTCATATCATTGATGTTAAAAGGCCCCTAGCGAGTGAATATCTGCCTTTATATCCTTCTGATTACGACCGTTAACCTCAGGCCATTCAAGGAAAGTATCGGCGAAAATATTGTGAGTATGCCCTTTTTCAGACCGGAGTGTAGCATTGACAATGACCCCGAGAATGATTAAACGACTGTGAAAATTTCCATCTTTAACTGCATTTCCATCTTGTCATCTTTAACTCCTCTTATGGACCATGGAAGAGTTGCAGTATCATACAGTCATTTCCATCATGTCATTTTAACTCCTCTTGTAGACCATGGAAGAGTTGCAGATCATCAAAAGTACAATCCGGAACTCCTACTTGAATCTGTTATTTTAAATGCATGTTCTCTATGTTCCGTCTGAACTCGTTTGTAATTTGTGTAGCATATGCACACTTTTAACTCAAAGGAACAATCTCATTTTCTGCAATTCTTCCTTGACATCTTTCGCCTTTATCATTACAATGATTTCTTCAACACAAATGAAAACATCAAGTTAAATTAATTTATATTTATGAAATAACAATTGCACAATGATAACATATACATCAACAAGTTCGGACTGTAAAAACATTCAAACAAAATACTCTTACCTTTGTCTGTTAAATATGATTGCAGTATCAAATTCTGATTTGTGATATGTAACAATAAAGTTACAAACACATCTTCTTTTCAAAGTTTATCTTTCTTAATTGTGGCCTACTACTGTCATCTATACCGAGAGATGAATAGATGCCTTTCAAGAATATCGTGTCTGGAATTTGAGAAGTATGGTTGAATGATCCAAAAGCACACCAATAAGTTATCGTTTTTATCTCAACAATTTTCGGGCCTGGTCTATCATTGGTTCGTCTTTTTCAAAAGCTTGTTTCAAATTCTAAATTTCTTTTGCCTTCATAATCCACAAAATCATCTACCCTTAGACTTGGAATACATATTTACTCCACAAGAGAATGATGCATTTCCCAATCCCATTGCAAATCATCTGCATAAAATATTCATGTAGGAGGTGATTGAACAGGATTTATACTATCCATTGTGACACAAGTGTTACTTTTTTGTTGAAGAAAAAGAACCAAGATCAAACTCTGATTGAATAAACGTGGCCAATGATGTTGTCTCCGCAAATGATAGAGACCTCTCCTTCCCTTAAGGTACTAGCTGCGTCGAAGTAAATCCATGTCTAAAACCTAACATAAGCTATCTCCTAAACAAAAAACTCATAATCAGCCTATTCATCAGCCTAAACCCTCATCTTCGAATCAAACAAGAAAAATCATAGATAATTTGAACTTCATCAAATCTACTCAAAAGAAAGTGAAGTACTTTGAACTTCATCGAATCAACCAACAAAAAATTGAAATAGTTTGAAATTGAAAAATTTAATAGTTTGATAATTTTTGTACCTAAACACAATTAAAGTCCGTACCTGAACACTTGAGAAGCTTGCTCCCCTCCAATGATGAATTCTTATCAGTTGGTGGCTTCTTGGCAGGGCTTGTCAATGATATTCTCTGACTACAAGCTTCGAAGAGAGCTTGGCAAGCAAAAGCAATGCGCAAGATCAAATTTGGCATCAAATTAGATGTTTTGGTAAGTAGAGTTTGATCACAAGACATCGAGTTTGAAACATTCCGCACAAACGGTTGATCGTCTTTGGAAGAAACCTTGCCACAAATCCATAAATTCAATGAACATTGAAACATGAGAAATGAACAAAATTTTTGTTTCAATATGTCGCGAGTACACATCGTGCTGATTCTTAAGCATTTTATCAAGGTGAGAGGAAATGATCATTTATTTATATCAGCCTCTGATCTGATCAATCTTTGTATCTGATTCTGAAACACAAGATAAATAAACTATTTGAAATAATAAATAGTCCATGATGATATATTCCCTCAGCCATGTACATTTGTTGTCGAAATTGATCATATGAAGAAGATATGATGACACCCAATCAGACCATTCAGATGAGATGCATTCTCATACGCATTTAATGCATGTACTTCTTGAAACATCGACACTTGAGTCATTATTGATATGCTCAAACAACTAGTTACGGCTGATCAGAAACTATTGTACTACTCACTCTCAAAACTCGTCTTCTTTAGCTATGGTAGTCTCAACAACAACAAGACAGTCACAAGCGTCTTTGTTGTTCGCAACACTCCTACAGCGTGATAACACACTGAGTAGAATTGAAAGAGCTGTGACTTGGAGGTGTCAGGAGATCCAGAATGCAAACTGTAAAATGCGCAAACAAGTCAAGGGTCAGAGCTCCAACGTCGGTTCTCTTTGTCTGCACTTTCCATAAGCGATAAAAGTATAACTAAACTGACTTTGTTCTCATTCCTTGTCACAATCCGACTTAGTGACCTGAAAATTAAACATAAACAACGTCCAACATCAAAGACATCAAACACACAATTTCATGAAAAAGCTTCAAAGAGAGCTTCGAAAGAAGACTCGTTCTCATGATTTAAAACTTTGATTTGAAGTCTCCACGAGATGCTTTCTGTTCGCATGCGGGTGGAATTGACTGTCAGCGAGCCAGATATGGTAAACACCGCGTATTCAAAACCCGCACTCGAGAAGGTTTCTTGTTCTTTGCATACAGGTTCTTGGCTTGCTTGCGAACTGGAGAGTTTTGTGATGTTTCAGCAAAAAAATTATACGAGTAAGAGAGCGCGCGAAATGCTAAACCCTGGATTCGGTGACGATGACCTGTCAAACATTGTACCCTTGCCATCAGTCCGGGTTGATCTAGCCAAAAGTCTAACAAACCAATGGATGAAACATGCATGGAAGCTGAACACTAATGAAAGCGGAAAGACTCACGGAAAGGTACATGAGGGAAGGTGTGAGATATGGTTCGACTAGCAATTCAATTGGATTGCCAGTACATTAATGACAATGAGAAAGTACTTCTAGAACGGTAGAACTTGCTAGACATGTACGATGCGAAGACCGCGAGATGTATAGATAACACATCAATAAAAAAGGATAAAAATATGAAAATGGAGAGTAACACATTTGTGGTATTAAAAACGGCATCATAGTGAACTGAAGAGTGAAATAGTGAATGAAAGTACCTCGATGTCAAATGAAAGGGTCTTCCAAGACTAACGAACAATACTAGTCAAAGAAGAAAGCTACCATATATAAGATTAGAACCACCAAATGACCAGACAAGACAAAAATGAAAAGCATTGGTAGTACTGACATAAAACTTATAAGGAATTATCTCCCTCCTTACTGTACAATCATACAGGAAAAGGTTTAAGTACGTCGTAAACATAATCCCATTGAGAAGGCACACTAAGAAAGCAGTATACAGATTGAAGTGAAAGAGTGAGAGACAAAAAAGCAAGGGTCCACGGCAAACATGTCTACCATACAAACTGAAGGTCAGTTGCTATGGAGTACAATAAAAATTTGCTTAAGTTCTCATTATGATCTAGTAATCTAGTGTGGAGTTAACCGAGATGCATAGTTAAGGTTTTTATGAGCAAAATTTCAATCTTTGATCAAACTCAAATCCTCAATCTTTGAATAGTGTTTTATTGATCGAAATGAGCTTGCAACGATCTGATGAGCGTAGAAAAGTCGAATAGCCTTGAGTACCGGCAAAATCCGCATTCAATGCGTAATATTGCTTGTTATTCTGGATTGGATTCGAAGACAATTGGGAAACTATATCCAACAAAGACTAAATCGAGGCTGCAGTGGTGAAAATCCATAAGTTTCTCATGCTGAAATCAGTAACGGGAAATTCTTCCCGTTACTGTGTTCCGTGGAAATTCTTCCACGGAACACATTTTGAGACACAGCCACCTGGTTGTGGACGCCAATGACTTTGGGAAGTATGTGCTCGCTGATACTGTACTTGGAAAATCCTTGGAATCGGCGTTGCTCGCTGGTGCATGTCTGCAGAAACGGCAGCAGACGTGTTTCTGGTGGCGAGATTGATGATGCGGTGAGTAGTATGCCAGCTAAGCACCGTGGAATTCAGAATGCATTTTCTGTATTCACTTTCATGTATGTGTACACTCCCGTTCAGCCGATGCATGCCAGTAGATCAAGCCATCAAGCTGCGGTCAACATGGTTATGAAATGGTGATAGGTGATAGGCCATGGTGATAGGCTACGCCCAATATACATAGATACATAAGAAATAGATGTGAACGTCATGTGGAATCAATTACGTTTTGGATGATAGTTCTTCAAGTGCTAAAGAAAAATACAGATTTTAAGCTAGTAGTCAAAACAGAAAAATTAGGTTTTCATTTATAGTTTTTCAAGTGCAAAAAAAATACAGATTTTAGAATTAAGAGTCGAAATAGAATAAGTTACGCTTGATGATAAGATTTTTTTTAGGTTTTTTAAGTTTTCAGTTTTTTTACTGTATGATGCGCGGATTTAACTGGGATGCGGACTTAAGAGAATATTTACTGTATGGAGTGACCAGATAATCCATACAAGTAGCGTCAATGTGAACTGGAAGTTGAAGAAGATGCGCACGAGTTTTAAACAGTTTAGATATTTCTCATTCATATCCCATGGATTTCTGAACCATCTTTCTTGTGGACTCAGGAGAGCCCCATGACCACTCTCCGCCCGTAGATTGCAACATAATTAGGGTCCCCAAGGGAAAAGTTTGTAATAGAAAACACCACTCCTTCACAATAAAATGCGCCTTTGACATTACTAGTCCCCAACTCATACATTTTGATATTAGTAATATTTCAGTACGTGTTGAACCCAAGTGCAGGCCAGAATAGATTCCACACATGTTTGGTAATGGCCCGTCACTCCCTCTATGATACAAGTTAAGGTAGCGAAAAAGATTGACGTTTACCCCGTACATATTCTTTGACCAGCGTTGTTCGTTTACAGATCTGATCCGCTCACGCACATACAGATCTGTGAATACGAACTGTCAATGACACGTTATAAACTGTGAGAAGCTTAAAGACAAAAGTCAGCAAAATGTACTGGCTAACGTGCTCAGCAAACCTAGGGTAACATCAAAGAGCCTTGGCTCAGTACGTGTTTTGTTGCACTCTCTTGACCACCATTCCAAGACAGCATGTTATCTGATGCCCCTACCTTTGAGATACAATCAGTAATTGTCAAGAGATCACGACTGATAGAACTACTATGCAGTCTTTGTACTTCAAAAAACCTCAACGTCGCTCGCAAATGAACGATACCCGGAGAAGGTAGGGGTAGTTACCTTTCTTTTTACCAAATCTACCATCCAGACCTACTACGACGTCGACGAAGGACAGTATCTTCATAGACAGTGAGGAAAGAAGACTGTACATATCAGTTTCAGCTCGCATCGAGAGTTGCTTCAATTGTTAAGTTCCAAGAATCGGACGCAAACTTTACAATGTCCACATTCGGACTTACGAGTAGGATGCCATCCTTGTTGCTAGATTGTCCACATATTAACACTCGGAGCGAATCATTTGCTAGGACTTCATTGTCAAAACCTTAACTAGATCCAAATGTAACACACTCATTATAAAATTCGGACAGTAGCGGATGGATGATCCACTTGCGACCACAAACTAGGTGCCGCCATCACTTCAAAAGCAAGATCCATACACGATCATGAAAAAATATTTTCTTCTTTTGTCATCATCGGTTAGATTTGATCGTGGAAAAAGATGGCGCAGCGAATGACATAATCGTCTACCGTCAACTTCCCGAAGCAAAATCCGTAAACACCAACCTTGAAATCTTCATCTACTTCCGTTTCTATGTGGTTGGCACCAGAAAAGATCAAGCAAATAGCGAATGAGGAATAGCAGAAGATCAAAATGGGTCTAGCAAATAAATGACGTCATTACCACGGCATGGACGGCTCGCGCAAGCTCACCTCCAGTACCAAAGCGAGGTCAGTCGCCAGTCCCTGAGCAAGTTCTTCCTCCAATCCAAAGGCGAGACATCCATGCAAGCTTGTATCTATGTGGAAGACACCAGCAAAGACTAAAAGAAAAATGATGGACAAATACTTTCAGAAAGAACAAAAGATCAACGCAAACCTCCCCAGCGTGACTTGCCTACCGACCCAGTGTCTTTGTAGATGGCACCAGCCTACCTCAAGCATATGGCCCTGTACGACGAACGTCGAGGTCAAATGCAAGGTCGGAATGTGACTTTGGGAAAAGAACATCCGGAACCTGTACTTACGACCGAAGAAAGAGTCAGAACTCTTATCATATTGGGTAGAAGGAGCCAACAGTCTAGATGCTAAACAAAATTAACATCAATTCAAAGCGGCTTGCCTACAGATTCATTGCCATCCTCCATACCAGCCCACAAACTTGTTGGATGCAAGCTCAAAAGAATGCCCAGATTGATCCTTCTTTTGCTGCATTGTATACAGGATTCGAAGCTATTGCTTAGGCTAAGCTAGAAAAGGTCCATGTTGTTCATTCTCGACCAGATACAGCAACCTAAGAAAGTCCTTTCCAAAAACCTAAAACTAAACCAAAAATTTCCGCTACAGATCACAAAAAACAGTACAGGCGCCGACCAGGAAATGCTACAAGCCAACAAGAGGGCACAAACTGCGAACTCAAGAGAGGTATTACTCATCGTTGATCCATGGTAAAAAGTATATCGTTGATCGTATAAACTAAAATTCCTTGTAAGCGAGATAGCACTTAAGCTGTAGGAAGAGGAGATTGCAGAGTCTACAGCTTGCAAAAACGCACACACGAAAACTTAACACTTTGCCTTCTTTGGAGTGCACCAGTTGAAAGGTAATCCCAAAAAGGTGAATATATATATGATTTAATATACAACAAGTAAACAGCTCACTGTAGCAATTCGGTTTCCCGCAACTCTCCAACCGGTTGGTTACTGGCAAAAAGTGGTTCTCTTCTGGCTGAATAAGAACCAGAATCCACAGTCGATGATCTAAAACTCAGGGCACCGGAGTTGAAAGTACTCGGGTTCGGCGCTACATATCCTCTAGTCGGTGATCTGAACCTCCTAGGCTCTGACACAGCAGCTCTTTCCTCTCCTCTTTCCCCAAAACTGAGCCTTACAGTTTCCACTTTCCTATAACCTGGCCCACCGAAGGGATATTCCGTTGTAATTATGGTTCCAGGCTCTCTTCTCCTGGTGAAGAACTGCCAGAGACCCAGCAGCACGAGGGCAGCCAATAGGATCGGACTGCTCCAAAACTTGGAGCTGAAATCGGTAGGTTTGGCGACAGGCAGATTGGATCGAAACATGGCGACGTATCCATGACCAAAACCAACCACAACCAGTTTATCCCTGTTGCTTGCCATAACTGGCCAACGGCTTTTTGCTATAGGTGTTTTGAGAAAAGATTGAGCGATTTCACTCAAAGATACACTAAAAAGAGGTCTAGGGCCGCCAACCCAAAAGTTGGCATAGTTGAAGCCCATATGTAAAGTTGTATTATACACAAGGACATGATCGGGAGCAGCGGCCAGCAGATAACCTTTCAACGCCTGAGGGAAAAACGGTCCTGGAACTTCTACTTTCCTCCTTTTCTTGACCTGGCACTCACTGTGAAGCATATCCCCTGTAAGTGCAACGTACACCAGATCCCCATCTGCGGTAAACCCATTTGCCTTGGAGCGGCCAGCAACATCGAATGCATAGGCCATAACTGTGGAAGTATTCAAACCTTCGCAAGGGCTGCTGCGCACCTGCATTGTTCTCAAATCTAATGAACCCACGCCACTATCTGTGAGGAACACCAACCGCTGCGCGCTGGGAGTTCGCATAAATTCTAAGGGGAGGCTCGGCGAATCTGCAGTTCCATACAAAGTACCATTGTCCCTAAAGAGCTGGATTCTACCCGACTGATCCGACACTAAAGTGTATCGCATCTTTCCTACTTTGTACATTTTCAAATTTGTCACAGATTGATCATTGATGACATCGCCATCGCTTTCTCCCTTCACAGAGCCAGGAGCTGAAAAGCCGGTTGGCTGACCGGGCATTGCAGAATCCAATCTAGGACGTAGTGTTCGCTGGGGAGGTGGGATCAACGGATGAACATATTCAATGGTTAATATGGTGGTATCATCTTGCCCCTGATCTACAGCTTCCCAAATCCGGTGCACCAGAACTGAACCATCGGCATGTCCAGTCACCAGAATGGTTTCGTTCTTCAAAACGACATAAGATAGCATAGTAGTGATAGGTGCTAATGACAAAGTCATGTAATCAAGGAGCAGATCTCCAAGCCACATGAAGACGTAAAGCCGCCCGGTCATATCTCCAACAATGACATAGCGACTGATCCCGTCTTCTCCCTCCTGGGGCAGAACGTGTAGGCATGAGACCTCCCCATCAACCTTCACGGCAGAAAGGAAACTGAAGTGCTCTGCCCACGCAGGTTTATATCTGGCAACAGTCATTCCTCCGGATCCACTTCCAAAGCTCTCTGCTGTGACCGCTGTCTTTTTGGTAACAGCTGAACGCTCAAACGTTTGATCCAACTCTGCCCCAGTGGGCTCTCCGTTAGTTATTGTCGTGAGCGGACGTTCCGGCGTAGGCTCTTCTAATACCTTCGCAGGAATATCTTCAACTCCCAAGTCCGCCAGAACTGCTGTGTGTTCCCTCGCCAAATCAATCTTTTCTGGATCCGTACAAGGGGACTCCAGACTCCGACTGCTTCTTAACGCTTGAAGAAAGTCCGCTAACTGATCTATTTGTGATTGCTGAACGTTCACCAACTGCTGTAATGCTTTTACGAGATTTCTGCTCCGTCCATCCGTATCCTCTACTGGTGTTTCGACAGGCGAACCCATAGGTTGACCTTTTTCTGGGCACATATCAACCCCGTAGTTCTCCAGATCTCCAGAGTGGGTAGTACGCTCCCTTGGAAACAAGTAGGGGTCCAGCTTTTCAGGACACATGTCTGCCCCCAGATCTTCATCATGTAAGCATGCAGTTTTCGATATGACTGGAACTGGACCAAGATGTACCTTCTCAAGAGGTTTGCAATCAGGACACATGTCCGTTCCCAGCTCCTCTCCCAAGTCCAGTGAAGGTTGTTCGCTGCTGACTGATCCTGCCGCCAGAAGGCAGAGCAGGCTCACTGCTACAGCAAGTCTGGAAATAATCATTTTGAACTCTGTGATTGACTCCCTTCTTTGACCATTGAACAACGCATAACCTATCTTTGAAGCGACTCGCAAACGGCTGAAAGAGCATAGCTGACGATAAAGAAAGACAAATTACGAGAAAAATGGAGCCATGATTGCAAACTGGTTCTTCAACTAAGAGACTTCAACTGGTAAAGGACCCTCACCTGAGAGCTGGCATGGTTTTCCTCAGATCCCAAACAACTACAAGATTACAAAAGTCAATTTAGAGATACTGGACACGCATTCAGAAATCCCGCAGTGTAGTTGAAACAGCGATATAACTGCTGAAAACAACAAGCCTAAATTCTCGTACAGTCCATGACAAATGCCATACTTCTTGAACTACATCAGGATCTCGTTCAGTCACTCAAATCACCTGCTTGTGCTTACCGGAAGTCCTTCTGGAAGAGATCGATCCAGAGATGGTATTACCCTTGCGGTTCCGAGATATCTCGCCTCGAGGTGATGCGTTCTGAACGATTCCGGACGTCAGGCAGAAATTTTTGAACATGGCCGCGCGTATGACAAGAAATTGCTGACAAGAATCGTGAGAGCATGGTCATGTTTCTTACGTCTAGAATCGGAGTATAACATGTAGTTGTCGGAACATTTCGGTCCCATATGTAGATATCCTCGTCATCGCCTCCGGATGAAAAAAACATTGGCGCTAAAACCCTCGAGTCCAAGCCGCTTACCTACAGCCATAAGAAGCAATCAGAGACCTGGAAAAACTTGGAGCTCAATAGCCGAGACCATGTAAGGTGACAGAAACCTGCACCAAAACCAAGACCTTTGACTGTCCTTGCAGCAGTGGATCACAGTCGTGACAATCTCAAATTGGTGTGTACAGCTGCTTCGAATGTATGCTAAATGGAATTTAATACGTGATAGGAGATCCAAATCAAGCTTAGCTTGGAAATACGTGAACTTCATCTCATTGATCTCTGTCCCTTGAAGCTCAAATTGGTGCCCTCAGCTACCCAAACTAAGCTTGTCCGAGTACCCAAATGCTCCATCAGCTTGTCCCTGTTAGACTGAAATCCCACGGCATTCAATGCCTGAAGCTGATTCACCCAAAAAAGAGAGCTGGACGGGGATGCAGGTAAGGATAACTGCAAAGCTGAAATGTAACGACACGGATATATAATCAAAACCCACTTACCCTTCTTTCAAGCATCCGCCCACTTTCCAGGACAGTTTCTTCCGAGCTGCCGCCATTTTCACTGCCATTGAAATAAGCACACCTCCGGCAAGTAAGATCACGGACCGATCCCAGATAACTACGATCAGCTGAGTTCCTCAGCGTGCATGATATGAAAATTTTTTCTTTTTTGTTTGCGATCAAAACTGCAGTCCTGCTGACCTAGGAGAGGTACCTGGCGAGTTTTGCAGGATTCCACGACATGATGGACCCGTCTTCGTCACTTGCAGCAAAAAGTCGGGGCGCATACTCCTCGCTACATACAGAATGATTCCCCAATACATACAATTCCCCTTCAGGACTGTCGGGCAGGACTCTATCACCTTTCACTCCTCCTCAGAAGTCGCAAAATCTACCACCAAGATCTCCGGAAAGCCTCACGACCTGAAACAAGGATCGGATGCTCCAGCTACCGGTCCGACAGCGATGATCGGCACCGACCCCGCTTGCGCCGATCGTCGCCATTTCTTGAGCGCAAATTTCCGCCTCCGCGTCCTGCCCGTCGAAGCCGTATCACCCTCCTGTAGCCTAGATCTAAAAATTCACCGATCAATCGAAAGATCGCGCACTAGGTCGCCAATTCGTGCGTCCTCGGCACTCCGAGCTCCGAATTTCGGGGTCCAAATCCGAATCCGAATCCGCTTCCGCTGCTCGCGCGCTCGGTGCCAGCGCCGCCCCGCGCCCTCGACACCGCAGGGATCTGAGAAATGCGCAATTGCGATCCTTCTATCGGCACCTCGTGCCGGCCCTGCTCGTTCGTCAGTGCGAAGACGGCCTGTCGGACGTCCAGTCTACTAGGCTACACACGCGCCGACGCAGTTCTGTTCACGCACGAGGTGCCTCTGTGTCCGTGTCCTACCCCGGCTGCTACTGTACTGCGGTACAGGGGCGCCCTCCGTTGGGACAGTGCGCGCGGTCGATCGATCGGTCGCTCCTCCTTCTCCTTCTTCTTCTTCTTCGACCCATCGCGCTTCGGCTTCGGCTTCGCATTCGAATCCTTCGAGTTCGTGGCGAGGTTTCGGAATGTCCTCCGGGATGACGTGGGCTCCTGCGACATGCCATTTGCCGCCTCCTTCGCCGACTACGTCCGCACATTTACGATGTTGTTGGCTTTCTTTCCGTGCATAGTTAATTTCGGCCCCCATTGTCCCACATTCGTCGTTTCACGACTATTGACTATTCCTGCATGCCCTTGTGGCCACTCTTCGTATGCCACGTTTGTGTTTGTGTATGCTGCGTACTTCTCGACCGGAGGGCGTGTGTATAGTTCGCGCTATTTATATTATTTTTTTCTCTCTTTCGCAATGAGCTCGTGACTGTTCACATTGGAGAATTTCATCCGCTTTGAACAGTTACACTTTTCATGTCATTGTAATTTCACTCTTTAAATTTTGATTTCCCCTCCTTTCCTTCCCAAATTTCTTATGGAGTCATACTTGCTAGCTTCATACGTTTACCGCTACTTTCATGGAATTTCGAAAAACTTTTGGAGTCACTTTCTGCTACTTGGTTTTGCTGCATTGTCCCAGCCATTTGGTTAATGATCCTCCATAGGAATCTACACATGTCACACATACTAATCGAGACATCATATTCAGAAAGAAACTCACTCCATGTTACTTTAAAATGTTGCTACACACAAATCATAATTATGTGGGATTTGGATTAAATTTATGGAAAAATGGAAAACTCATTATGGAAAAATGTGATGTGATGGTTTTTTAATTCAGTTGGCGTTCGAAGCATTCTAGTTAGTACTTCTTTTTAGATCAAATTAGATCACTGTGTTGACCTATTTTTATGCTGGAATTGGGAATTATTTATAGGTAGAGAAAAAATTATGCAGTATAAGACAAATCACTGCATCTAGTCAAACTCAATCATCCCACTTCTGGACATGTATAACCTAAAGATGCTAGAAAATCAAGTCTACCTAAACTAACCTCTACATTTTAATCATCATAGTTTCATCAATCTTCATTGTATGATGATTAAGTATCCACACCAATATAATATTATAAGTTACCATAACCTATATTAATAAGCATGTTGCTATTTGCTTATTGTGTGTATCTGTAAATTTATTAATAATAATGAAAATGTTGTCACAAGTATACTCTCTTTTAGGTTAAATGAACTCATCATTTGAGTCATATAGAGACTTTGTGAAATAAAGTCAAGAATACATAATTTGCAAAATGCAAAAAATACTATTTGATATCAAACAAATCACTAGACAATAAAGTATTGGATGAATTTATGAAATCATAAAAATTCAAACCGTTATCTTTGTCTTTTGTATATATAAAATTTTTGAATTTCAAAGTATTAATTTGCTATTAATATTAGTTTAGAAATGTATGCAAGCTAGTTCATTGTGTTTACAAAATAATCATAAATATAATTAGGTGTTAGATCACATAACATGAGTCAAAGAATTATTGTTAGTATTCAATTCAAGTCTTTGTAAGTCTAATGAGTTTGACAATCTAACGCTTGTTAATAAGCTAATGCTAGAAATAGAAATGTCAAAAGTCCTTATGACAAAATGTTTATGAACATAAACTTTTTGATGTTAGGATTCAACTCATATCTTGGTTAACTTTGAATAGCTTATATTCGATTAATTAAGTGAATGTACTGTGATAATGTAAGATAATTAACCAAAGCTTTAAATCATACATACTAGAGATTATATAGATAAATCTGGTTTGTTTTTGTGATCATAATTCAAAGTGATGACACATATATTTTATATTGTTGGTTTTTTGTTTGTATTTACTTTTTTCAAAATTCTAACATGTGAGAAGAATTACATTGTGTTTTTGTAAACTAAGTTCATAATGCTTGTCATGAAGATATATTAGTATTAATAATGTTGAATTTTCTTGTACTACGAATTTCAAATTACAATGTTGTTTTGATAAAAGAAATTTTCTTTAACAACTATATCAACTATGTGCAATGCTATTCTGATTAACATAGACTATCTCTTTCTATACATATCAAATTTCACTTGGACTTGTATCAAATAGTATCAACAAAAAGTAGTATAGAGTATACATAATTTTACTTAAGCAATGATATTTTCAATGATGTATGAAAGTAAATATTTCGTATGAAAATAATATCGATATACATTGCAAATTACCAAAGTAAAAACCTATTTAAACTTTGTTCAAGAATAGAAAAATCACGTCAGAATTGTATTGATTATCCACCGTAATTAAAGAGCATTTATGAGTTATTAATTATACATCATACTAGTTCCACAAACAAGATTGAAGAGAACATACAAGAAATTTAGATAGAAAGGTATATATCATCTTTTTGTTTTGTAAAATTATAGTTCTAGTAAACTATGAATAATGTTGACATGTTGGTAGAAAAGCATGCAAATGACTATCAAACTAACCCACATGATGTATAACTTTTTTCGCTTATTGTGTAGCTTCATTTAAACATTGTATTTTTATTGCTTTACAAAAAACACCGTCAAGCACTTAATTTAAAAAAAATCAAGTTAGATTATAAGACATCATGTATATACATCTAATTGTTTATTTGATCTTGATAGTTGAAATGTTATAATAGTATGTTAATATGTAGAATATGCATCTCATAACGACATTATGAAACTCTTTACCTTACTTTGTACTTTTTTTTTGGTTACACGTTGAGATTGTTTCATATTATATATTCATTGTTTTTCACATCCTTGTGGCCTAGATATGGTTGGATTGCATGACTTATCACTCATAAATTTTAATATATGGTAGATCACACATATGTGAAATTAAAGAAATGGAAATAATAAGCTCATCTACTTGTTATGATTCTAACGGGTTACATATGACCAAGCATGATTGAAATAGACGACCTTATATGTAGGTGCCTAAATTATCTAAACGCGCAGTCATTTATGCGCCTAAATTAAAGTGTGCAAAATTTGACGCCTAAATGAACTAAGAACGCAGCAACCAATGAGGAAATGACGAGTTTACTTGTTGCAACGGATTTTTGAGTCCAAGTCTGAATATATACAATAGTTTTCGTTTGTCCCTACACCTCATTCTCTAGTTAGAATTACTCTAATTGAAATGTCCTGTTTTTTTTACTTCACGTCTCTCAGATATTTTCAATTTGCCCTCCTTTGTCAATAAATATACCTGCCTTCTAAGAGAGCGATGACATAAGTGAGTGAAAATCCAAGTCGATGTCGAACACAATACGCGCAACTTCTCGGGAATGGGAAGATAATTTTTGCCGTTTTGTCATTTACGGTTTTTTTCTTTCATGTGTCGGTCATTCATTGTTTGTGTGTATGTACTTGCTCTCTATATTAAGCTCTCTCGTGGGCATTTTCATTAGCTCTCGATCCAGCAACACATCATAGCACTTTATCTCTTGATATACGCTTCCGAATTTTTATTTGCGACTATCATTCGATTGCTAATTTGCATGATTGTGCACTTCCGATGTTTGATCGCCACACATGTGAAGTTATGTTCACAATGATGAGCAAATTTTTTACTATAGTTTGTCTTGATTGGACAAATTGTCTTCTTGGTTTGAAGACTGACGTGACTTGCAATATGGCTAGACGGATTACGTGAGTTGCTACACGCCTTGCCGACGTGATGCACAAGGATTGTTTTTTTAATTCGGATTTGGTGCGGAGTGCATCAACTAGATATTGTTATGGAAGAAGTACTGAACAATGTCATCAAAGAACAATTTTTTCAGTGATGATTGGATTCATTACTCACTTGACACGATAGCAGAATTTGATCGCGGAAATGCAAACTACATGTCATCATGTTGTTAATTGTTGGCTTTTGATCGGAAAAAGTTATCATTTGATTCAAAATTTTCTCAACTCAGTTACTTGTTCATATCAACTCAAAGCAACCAGCTTCCGGTCCATCTCGACTCATGTGGGTTGCACTTATTCCTATTCATCATTCCATCACACAAATAGCAATCGCTTTTCGTACTATTCAAGTATTAACTACTCTTGTATTTCAGCAACAAAATGTCTTGGATAATCTTATAGCAACTTTTATTATCGACGACGTTCATATGATCAGATCAACATCATAGTACGGATAAGTACAAAACTCTAATCCGTGCTCATAGATATAAACAAGTGATTAATAACGTAATCGATTCGCTTTCCAATAGCTTAAGTTTCAAGTATGACTTATCTTCATTTGGTGCTTGATTTCCGAATTAAATAGAATATTGTGGTGTAATTGTAACGCTTTTTCCTTGAACTAGTTGGTAGAGTCTGATTTTCAATTTTGCGTTGGGAACAAGATTTGTTTAACAAAAGATTACGAAATTTTGGATTAAAAATATCTATGCACACAAAACAGTTTTTTTCATAGAACAGTTCGGGCATTGATAAATGCTTAGTAAGAATTTTGTATTGAAAATCTTGTATTAGAATTAGTCATGAAGTCAAAAAAATTATTTTTTTACTATGTTTTGTTCTATGAATAATTCTTGTTGATATATATTTTGTAAAAATTTTATATTGAAAATGATCGGAGTATTTTTTTTTAGACTAAACTTATCTAAATTAATTTTTCAATAAACTAAAATAGTCTAATTAATTGTTTAGAAACCTAAATTAACATTAAAAAAAACTAAATTAAACATATTTAGACCAATGACTATTATAACCATGGCTGCCTATGACCCTTACAAAGTACCAGAGTTAGATGGCAAAGAGTACCCATCAAGTTTAAGGGGTATGAAATCATTGGGGAAGAAGCACCAAGGATATCACAACTTGAGACATGGTACACTGCATATTATACATCCCAACAGTAGAGGTTAAAGACAGTGAATCATATATCATTTGTGGAGCATCAGCAGAAACTAACGTTGTTGCATGGAGGAGATAGAACTTCCCGGCGTGGAACATGTGATTTGATCACTCGGGCTGAAATCAGCAGACCTGACCGGACATGGGTTAGATTTGGACTCGAAGCACGCGTCCGTTTGGTAACTTTTCAACCTGAGTTGAGGCGATGCGGGCGCCAGCTGAAGCGGGTCCGAGAGAACAACGAGGGATCCGTTTCCCACTCGGGCTGTACTCCATGTTGTCCACTTGTTTAACCCGGGTTGGTTCCCACAGCGGATGGAAATTCCTCCGCTAAGGACGACACGTGGACTGCACGGGTCGGAGCTGGAATCCCAGTCACGAGGCATGGACGGAACAGCGAAGCCACGCTGCGGAGCGCAGAGTCCCGTCAGGCTGGTGCAATTCCACGCCGACAAGCTGGATCGCCAACAGAGTGGCATGTCGCCTTTGTGCGCAGCGACGACAGGTCTGATATGAAATTGTGGCCTTCGAGGAAGAAGTGCAACGAGCTTTCTCAAGAGCAGAGGTCTCTGGAGGAGTGACTGCGCCGCCCCGCCTTGCGTGATTGGATTTTACAGCAGATCCGTTTGTCGTAAGTAAGGATTGTCGAGTGTTGATGGAATTCGGTCGAAACTGTCACAAATAATAAATTTTCCTCCCTTCTGTAAATTTATTTCTCCGATTCTGAATTTCTTCGTTTTGTTTCTCACTTAGCTCGGAGAATATTTCGTGAGCTTCCGAAACCAAAATGTGCAGTTTTTTTTTGTAAATTTTTTTCATGGGGACACGTAATGTAGCAAAGAGCAAAAAGGATTACACTGGGCTGTCATGTGCCCTTGGGCGTTTATTTACTGCGGAAGTTGCTCCTGCAGCGATCATGGACGAAAAAATTCGGTTTTGTTGAGGATTTTGGATGATACAGCTCTTGGAGGCAGTAAAAGAACTTGGTCGCTTAATGTCGCAGCTGATAGTCTCGAGCGGTCACAGCTGTCTCCAGTTTATTGCTTAACTATATAACTGTACAAAATATAGATATAATTTTATACTCTGAGAAATTCATAAGAAATTTGTGTCAGGAATTCGGCTGGGCTTGGGTTCTGATGCCATTGACGAGGCTCCGATCATTTCTGTGCTTCCTTCTGTCTTGCGGAACTGAGCCCTTGTTTCATAGTGATTTGATTTTTGGAGCATTTGAGCAACATTTAGCTCTGATTGCAGAAAGTTCTTAGGATAGTGGGCGGGACTGCTTGGATTTGAATGTGTCCTAAGTTCACTGGAAAATTTATTCAGACGTGACGACTTACCTTTCAGGTCGGATAGTTCTAAATGCACATATCAATGCTTACCGCGAACCATTTAAGTCCTTAGTGATCATGTATGTTGCAAATGGGCAGAATATTTGTCTCCACGTAACCTAGGCCTTTGTAATATTCATTGGGGTATTTCTTACTAATTGCAGAAGATTATGGCAAGACCGAAGGTAGCTTTGATAGGTGATGGAGAAGGGGACTTTGCAGCTCTTCGAACACACATCGCTTCAAGAATTCTCGATAAAGGCTTCAATGTTGCTGAAGTGGACGTGCGTTCCGTGACCTTCCACCTCTTGAACTCTCAATTTTGTTCTAATTTACGCAAGCCAGCATCCATATTCCAGCTCGAGCTCAGCTGTGGTTGGTCATTCCCGATGCAGTCTTTTGCTCGTCGAAGTAGTCGCTTCACATTTGCGTGTGAAGCAACTATTAATTTTAGTCAGCGAAACCATGTATCTCTGAAGCTATTCGACTGAATTTAGAAGACTACATGTAGACGACTGAATGTAGATTCGAATTGCGTCACATTCCTTGAAACACAGGGCGAACTTTCTTTCTGGTTCCTGAATGTACTATGTAATTATCACTGGGCAGTTTTTAAGCTCGCTGACACTGTTCTACTCATGGTTTGATGTTGCAGGTTACACAATCCTCGGACTTGTCTGATGAGTCGGTTGCCACCGCAAGTGAACAAGCCATTAAAGGTAAGAACTCCACCCATATGCCCAAAAAGCCTCAGAAATTATATTTGGCAATAAACATAGCTGTCGAGCGTCATGTATCATTTGGTTCGTTGTGCCGTCTGTTTGACCAAAGTGCTTCTCCTTGCTCTATTAACACGTTGTTGTTTGTAAACTTGGAAGCTTGCGTGTTGATCGTCCAGAAAACTCTATATTCCCTTGATATTTGAGTTTGTACATTAACGCTGAGGCTTGCAGTGTTCTGTATCTTGCTCTGTGTGAAATAAACAAATAAACATATAAATGTGTGAATGATGTACTCAGTTGGTATTTATCCAAAAAAAATTCTCCCTTACTGCCTACTTTCTATTATGAGGTCTACTTCTAACCATTCTAAGAAATGTGAGAAATATATGGAATATGTACGTACGAACTGATGGAATGTTTCTGTCCAATTAATGTGATGCCTACAGATGCAGGCGTGATCCTGGTGGCAGTCTCCAATACAAGAATATCCGAATGTCTTAGATCAGTCACGATATCTGGTACGTGACATCGATACCCTCTGATGTAGACCATGTACATTATTCTGAAAGAGTTTGATTTGTTGTTGCCACTTGGTACTTTTATGATGAGCTTGGGTTCAGAAGGGACTGAATGTCCTTGGCAATTTGCAAGAGTACCTACAAACCTATGCAGCTTGTACTTGTCGGTTATTTCTATTTCTGAAGGGCCGCGGGAGGCTACGTATGTATAAATGTTTCGTTGATTAACTCTTTGATCGAAGGAGTTCTTTGTTCGACCAAAGAAAAGCGACAATGTGTGTGCTGGTAAACTGTAGCATCAATATTGTTCCCTTTCTGATAGCCTTATTGTATGTTTCGAACTTGGGTGTTGATCATGACAGAATTGTCCGATGGAGCGGTTGTCCTCATTTGTTCACCTGTTACGCCTCGTGAACTTATGACGGTTGAGAAGAGTTTTTCAGGTATATAGGCCTCGGAGAGGTGCAGTGCCATATGCTTCGGCCTTTTGCATATCTTGGTGTAAATGGCCGAAGCTACCTTTTTCTATTATCTCATGAGAACATTTTGTTATGTGGGTTTAGCTCTTTCAAAGATGTAAGCTTTGATAGTACGTAGGTCTGAAGATTTCCGTCAGAATCTACAACAGGAGTAATCTGTGCAACTTGAGGTAATTGTTAGCAAAAGTAGGTACAGTGGTCTGTTCAGTCATCAAAACGGATTCCATTCTTCGATTGCAGTTGAGAGAGAAGATATGCAGTTGGTGGATGCACCTCTCACGCGAACTTTCGATGGTACACTTATGGTAGGTGCTTATGTTGATGGCCTCAAACCGTTTTCAGAGATGCTTTCGTTATCCATATGAAATTATTGATTTTCGTTTGTACATAGAGTTGATCTCAAGGACGGTGATGCGTGCCATGTGAAAAGTTCATTATGCCATGATGAGAAGGCATTTTCCTCTTCAGCAATTTTGTATCTGAGGTGCTACCTGCAGAAGGGTAGACACTTTTATCAAGGTGTGCAAATTAGAATCTCCGTCGTTCAGCACGCAGGATGTCTTTACTGGATCGCGTAGTGGATCATATCGACTTCTTCTGAGTTTGTAATGACAGATGGTAGCGTCGGGGGCAGCTGATGCAGTTACAAAATGTCGGGATGTACTTCATGGTAAGATACGAGGCCTTTGTCTCCTTTGAACTCAAGAATGCTTGTTGGAACAACTGTTTTTAATCTTTAGAACACATGTTGAAGCGTTTTAGGTTGTCATTTCAAAGTAATGCACTGAGGATTTGTTTGGTCCTTCTTTTTTCAAATAGATATATTTCGTGACCTGTAAGTATCGTGGATTTTGTAGCTATCGATGACAACTTCTTAGATATCGAAGGCGGTTTGGGCACAAGCAGGTACGAAAACTAAAACCGACTGGGTGTGATCATGACCCTGAAATAATTCACATCGTTCCCTATTGACCTAAGAGTTGTTCAACAAGCCCTTGTTTTAGAGCAAGATGTGTTTGATCCTCTCAAGTATTGGGAATGCGATGCATTAGTTCCAATCCTAATCTAGGGTAAGTTAGCCTCACCAACCAACCAACCAATCGTTTTACTGCAGAATGATGTTGATGATAACATGAGTCTGAACCACTACTTAAACTTTGTGAACATCACGAACCGCCCAGCCAGGCACTTTGTCTATGCTCTTAAAACTCTGAACAGGCCAATAATCAAGAGTATAACAATGTGAGTTGAGAAAATGAGTGAGATTAACTGGTAGACGTTCAATAAGTGAATTACCATTTATTTATACCATAACCAGGAAATTGATATCTATAACACTCTTTTACATGAATGGAAGGTGTAGAACGAACTTTGACACATGTGACTCTCTGTCTTTAATGTCACTACTCTTAACGACCAAACTTGTCGTTCTCCGTAAATGTAGCAAACTTCGAATGGTGGACGATCTCCTGTTTGGAGTGCACTTAGCAGCAGCTGCAGAATCGATGGCTCTTGGAGCATGTGCAGGACTGGAAACTCAGATCCTTTACGACATAATCTCAAACGCAGCTGGAAGTTCGAGGTCAGACTAAAGATGCTTATTTGGTTACGGGTACATCTACCAACATGATGCAACTTATGTCTTCTCTGTGAAAAATTAGACAGATTATCAAGTTTTGAGAGTACTCTAAGCTTTTATTGTTTCAAGGTGCAGGGTTTTTGCAAATCTGGTTCCTCACATGCTCAAGGCGAAAGACGGACCAATTGCCAAGCTTGATCAAGTTTACAATCAGCTTGTACGAAATAAGCATGTTGTTTTCTTGATATTATTGTCCGATTGAAGATTAAAAATGTGTTCCTGAATTCACAAACCTTAGGCTGCTAAGAATATTTCATTTGGTTCATAGCATTTTTAACAAGAAAAATGCATGGGTCACAACTCACTCGCACTAGTTTTTGAACGTCGAGCATCATAGTCTCAGTGAGCTGAAAAAGAGCGTGCATCTTATCAGGGTTTTATACTGGACGAGGCAAAAGGCCTCAAATTTCCACTGCCTCTGACGGCCGTAGCTCATCAACAAGTTGTGAATGGTAAGTCCTGCTCTCTTTCTTTCACTTGAAACTGGCATCGCAGAGGAAACTGATGTCTTTGAATTTCTGATAAGCCTGGGTCAGGAAATCAAATGCATTCATTACGACCATTTTAGTTTCTTACTTTCACAAAAATTACAGATGGTATTTTATCGCAGATTTTCACTTTGAGGGGCTTTCATTGACCCATTAGTCGGTTGGGACAGGAAGTTTGACACGATTCATCTCTTATTTTCTGCAGGCTGCGCATCTGGTTACAAGAATGAGAAATGTTCTTCACTTTTCAAGGTTTTGACTCAAGCTTCTCTTTGACAAATTCAATTTTGAATGTCTCACTCGCAGACTTCTAACTTATAATTCGCTACCATAATTTTTTTATCAGTGTCTGTAAAATGATGGAGTGACATTCCACTAGAGAAGTAAATTTCGTTCTGATATTAACTTCTGCACATTATGAAAACCAGATCTGGGAAAAAATAATAGCTTCCAGCACAGCATCCTCTTCTTCTGTGGGAAATGTGGGTACGATGGATGAGCTCGCAAAGGTCGCCTTGAAAGTTGATTCTGTAGCTTTCATTGGACTCGGAGCTATGGGCTTTGGAATGGCATCACATCTTGTGAAGGAAGGCTTCACAGTTCGCGGATATGATGTAAGTTGCAAGTCTTGCCAACCCTGCGGCCAACGTGTTCTTCTGCAATACCAGTTGGAATTGCCAGTGCTTCAAGTTGAACAAATGTCAAGCGGAACTGAATGCTTAGATCGACTGATATATATTTACTGCTTACTAACTGACCCAGTTTTGTAAATGCTTCTTCATCAAATAAGAGCACTGTGTTCGCAGCTTGGGTTCACCTCTACTTAGTACCTGTAAAATTTACTTAAACGAACCAGGGCCTCTGGACGTAGAGATTGAGCTTCGTAAACCTACAAGATAGAAGGAAATTGGAATGCACGTTTCTAAGTCGTGATGTTTTGCAGGTATATGAGCCCTCAATGGAACGGTTCGTGAAAGCTGGTGGAATACCAAGCAAAAGCCCCGAAGATTGCGCAAAAGGTATTCCCTTGCATTGAAGGACATTTTGGTCAAAAGGCGTATTTGCCATTGAATGAAAGAATCACTCATTGCACACGAAAGAGCCCGGAACGTTTTGTTAAGAAAGAAGAGCGAGAGATGTATACGCGAGGATACTTTCAAGCGTGATTGATCAAAGAAAGGAATACTCACATTGGTGGAAGGGAAACCTTTTGGATGAAATGCCTAGCGATGCATACGTACGTTAAGCATTTTTAAAAATGACGTCCAATGTTTCAGTCAGCGTAAACAAGCCAATGATAATGTTTGACGCATCAGTTTCTGAAAAATCATTTACAGGTGCCAAAGTTATTATCTTGATGGTGACGAACGAAGATCAAGCGGAGAGTGTATTATACGGTCAGCAAGGAGCAGTACAAGGTACAATCACTTCATCAAGCCGATATATCTTTCTTCAAGTTGGAACATCGACATGTCAGCGTACTTGGCAGCAGGAAGCACCTCCTGAGATTGTTGTAGACTCCGTCGATAGAGTGTATTTAATTGATAAATTTGCCTCGTTATTGTACTTCTTGCAGGAATTGCTGAAGGTTGCACAGTCGTGTTATGCTCTACCGTCTCGCCTGCTTTTGTCATGAGACTTGAAACCCGCTTGGCAGGTATCAACTTTCACTCTTATTTAGACGTATCTGTCATGAGAGGCAGAGGCATAGAGAACAAGTTAGTAAGAGAGTGAGCACAGAGTGAGGACCGACTTGCAGTGAATGTACTCACTACAAGAGTAGTTGGTGGGGATCGGTGTTAAACAGATGATAACCTGCGTAAGTCTACATGCCTAGCATATATTATAAATACACAACGACTTGCAACTCTTACTTTGGTTGAAGCAGCTAGCTATCGCTCTTGATCTCTGACAGCTTCCAAATGAATTCCTTTGCGAACAGTTTCCATCCTCTTACAAGCCACTGTTCCAACCAATCCCATCCCACAAGGGAACTTACCAAAACCATACTATTAGCCGATACTAGCGCTTTCTCAAGTACTCAATGAATCTCTTTGAGGAGCATACAGTTCTGAAGAGTATTTTCCATGTGGTGGTAGGGTCAAAACCCTCACTCTTTGGGAGATTGAATAATAGGTGTTCTCCTAGGCCATAACAAAGTGAGTGATTGTTGTCTTATGGCAGCTGAAGGTCGGGATTTGCAACTCGTAGATGCTCCAGTCTCAGGGGGTGTTGCAAAAGCTGCAGATGGCACTTTGACGGTACGCTTTTAATCTTGGTACTCTCTGTGTTTGTTTCAGACACAAGTTCCAGAAGTCTAACTAGTGGTACACATGCACCCTTTTTCGGCAGATAATGGCTTCTGGGTCGGAAGAGGCTTTCAAGCGTGCAGGGTCTTGTTTACTTGGTAAGTAGGTCTTGCAAACACTTGCTGGCTAGCTCACTCTCGTCAATACTTTGGAAAGGCTCTCTCTAACCTTCTTGTGAGTTTTTTACCCATAAACAATATCGAAAATTTAAGGCGCTGCTGGGCTAGTTAAGGAGCTCCTGTCTAAACTAATTAATGCATGTTTCAGCTATGGGTGCGAATGTCTATGTCCTGAAAGGTGGAGCTGGACTCGGCAGGTAACGATACATCATTGTACATAAATCAATTTTCCCTCCACTGAGCTCCAATATGAAAATATGACCGTAAGACCAACGTGTGCTTATCAGTAGTTGCTTACTAATTGGAAGCTGAGCGTCAAGTTATTGTGAGATTACAAGAACGTTCGAAGAAATATTTTTCTCAAGCACGCTGTATTTTACTGTGTTCGCATCTTGCTCATGGGTTGGGTTGCATTGAAGGCTGTTTACATGTTTCTGATGTTGCTTTCTTCTGTATCCATGGTATGTGCTTACAGCTCTGTTAAGATGGTGAACCAGTTACTTGCTGGGGTTCACATTGCAGTTTCTGCAGAGGCTATGGCTTTTGGTGTACGTCTAGGTCTTGAGAGTCGTTCACTTTATGACTTCATAGAGAAATCGAATGGATGCTCTTGGTAAGTATAATATGGGATAACACAAAGAGGGAGCAGTTTGAGTTGGTGGAAATGGTGTGAAAAGTGCCACATCGAGTCCTTACCCTGATAATGTCCTTCAAGGTTTACTTTAGCACGTGGGTTGGTTTTCTCCTACTCTGAGAGAATGAATGATAAGTAGTGAACAACTTTTTTATAAACTTTATCATAGCTACGTCTGTCAATGCTTTCATGGTTTGAACTTTGACTTGATCAGCTAACTATGTCCATATTTGATTTTCCGATACAGGATGTTTACAAATCGTGTGCCCCACATGCTGAGTTCAGACTATACGCCATTATCGGCAGTGGACATTTTTGTCAAGGACTTGGTATTTACTCACACTCCGAAACTCATGATGGCATCCATGTCAGCATGTACACGACTCGATGAGCCCTGAATGTAGACAACCATAAATGTTTGGTTTCGGTCATCCTAGTTGTTTCGAGTAGGGTTGTATCCTACTGCCTTAACATATTTTATCTGCAGGGAATCGTATTCAGTGAGGGGAAAAGACTATGTGTTCCTCTTCCAGTGGCGTCGACTGCTCTTCAACAGTATTTACTGAGTAAGTGTATAGATATACGACGATTCTCATGCTTTCAGCAAGTAACGCTGCCAAGATCAAGGATTGCGTGTTAGCATACATTGTTAGAATTAGCATTTTGTGATTTCTCCAGCCCAGTAATTCCGCTGCTGATGAACATCTTTTCAGTCTCGAAGTTGTTGTATAGGTTCGTCCTTCAAAGTTTCTGGCATAACATCAGTTTTATATCATGTTGCAGTTGTTACAACTTTTCACTGCTCTCTGCCTACCTCTCTTTGGATTCTATTTCAGCATCGATTTCCTGAGAACAAAGTCAAACAAAAAACTAATGTTTTTCTTTTGTCTTTGAAGAGACTTCTTCTCTTCTTGTATAGCTTGTTCCCACTGTTTCCAGTCTGGTCTATTTGCTGCCTCAGCAGATGAAGAAGGTTCATCATCCTTTAAAGTAGATATAGCTTCCTCCATGGCAATACCATTCTGAATGGGGTAGAGGCAACCTTTGTAACACTCGATCTCTGTAGTTGAAATGATTGCCGGTTGGATCTTTTGGGAGCAACTTCATCTGTAGAATAACCATCCTCTATAATTCGTTGAGGTTTTCCATGCTTCCTGTCCTCCTAACATAGACAAGATGACCAAAGTTTGATATCAGGTAGTCCATCTACCTCCTCTGGTTTATCTACCTCGTCTTTTCCGTGCACTTTATCAGGTATCTCTTAACTTTCATCGTCAAAAACAGCAATCATCTGAGTTTCCTGAAAATCATGTGCTTAGGATGATGATCCACGTCTATGATCACCAACACCTGGAAATGGTAGTACCATAGGTACAACAACAGGTGTAGCAACTATAGCAGGTTCTGCACTGCTAGTTCTTTCATTCTAATCCTCCAAGTATTCTCCTCATTACACAATACATCTCTACTGTTAATTATTGGTTTCTGAATTGAAGGGGTTTTATATTTTCAACCCTTCTTCCTAGCCAATGTTGATGAATCCTAACGCTTTCATTCGTAGTTTCGTCTTCTGCTCTTGGTATGTAAGCTGGACATCCAAACATTCTCAACATGGTAAAATCAGGTTCCTTATCACTCCGTGCTTCTCTTATGTGAGATGTAGTTAGCTGTCTTCAAACCTGCAAGTCAAAGCTGCTAGCCAAAATTGCATCTTGAGATTAGCTTGAGCAATCATATCTGTAGCTTGTTAAATCTCTCCACAACTCCATATGTAAAAGCATGAATGACAAGTGCCATGTTTTGATAGGAAGTAAGAATTACATGATGGATGTGAGAGCTAGAGACATTTCAGTACATAATGGATTTATAGAGAGATTGAAGAAGACACTAAAAGACAAACTATAAGTATGATTGCTAAAGCTTGTCTCAAGATGCACTTTTAGGGAGTAAATGAAAACCTAGGAATGAGTTTCAAGATTCATCTCTGTCCATTTCAATTACAAGTTTTGCAGCATTCAACGTGGCCAACTGTTTCAAAAATATGAGATAACTGCTACCACGTCTTTGTTTACCTGATCCAGAGTCTTCACCAACAGCATCTTGGTCATCATGTGCTGCAATCCGAACATCTTATCTTCAAAACACTCCTCAGGTTTTTGACAAAACTTCTAGGAGCCATAGAGCCTCAAACCTCTTCAACCTCAAGTGCTCGTTTTCTGTATTTTAGAGTGTTATGCTTCATCATTCTATCAAGGTCAACAGCACAGTCTGTCCCATAACCTTTTGATATCTCAATTTTGTTGTAGCAATTGACTAGGATGTACTCAAGATGTATCAGGAGTACCTCATGATTCTCTTGGTGCACCCATAGCTTGATACCATTCCTTTGCCCTCGGGTGAGCAACATTAAGATCAAAAAACCTAGATAGCACTCCCCACTCTCAATTGATACCAACACCAAATTCAACTAAAGTGTTAACTTTATCCCTACCTTCTCAGCAGTCCGACAATCTGATGACCATTGCCTAAGTGTGTATTGTGACCTTTACAAACAGGCTAGCAAGATATATACATAGTTTATGGCTCAACCTTGATCCTGGTGCACTAACTTGAAAATTTGATTTTAATGTTTCTGGTGAGGTGACTGTGACTGAACCCTTTTTGAACCCCTAAATCTAAAGACAGGGAGAAACTGACTTTTAACTTAACAATTTCATCATGCTACAGCCAAAGTGTTGTTTATGTAATGAACGGATCATACACTAGAGCTACAGATAAGACATTTGAAGAAGAGTAGAGTCTTCCAAATGGCTGTTACTAGAGGAAGGCAGCACATGCATGATACAAATACTTTTCATTCGAGTTATTTGAAGGGAACACCATATTATGGATTGGTGTACACACATCGAGTGGAGCTACATCTGCAAAGTTTCAGTGAATTAAATTGGTCTGGTGATACAGTCACCAGAAGGTGCACATGTAGCATGTCTTTTTTCAATAGTGGTGGTTTGATAGCAGGAAGAGGCAAGAAGGAAAGCTGCGTAGCTTTGTGCTCAACAAAGGCAGAGTACAAAGCTCTAGGTGGAGCAGTATGTGAAGCTACTTGGCTAAAAACGTTTTTTATCTGAACTTGGTGAAGACTGTGAAACCTATAGTAACCATGTGTGACAACCAGAGTGCAATCTGAATTGCACTGTGGTTATCACACAAGCCTATTTTACACGCTAGGATAGAACATGTATTTGCATTTTAAGAGAAAATTAAGTGCAAGTGAAGTATGTTAGTACTGAAGTCCAATCTGCAGATAGTCTTATGAAGGCACTAATCAGAATAAAGTCTGGGTGTTAGAGACGCTCTAGGAGGATTATAATGCTTATATTATCTATCGTGTAAGCAATGAAGGAGGGTGTTGAATTTCCTGCTTAAATCGAGAACTGTTTAGCTATAGTTTAATGAACTAGTTTAACTTAGTGTTCTAATTAGGTTTACCTAATTTCGAATTAGAGTTAGGACTGCTTCTCTGACAAATTTAGTATATTCTCTATAAGTCAGTGAGTGTGAGTTCTCACCTGTGCCTAAATCAGAAACTGCAGTATGTCATCTCACATCTTGGATTATATGTTAATCTTGAATTTTGTGTGTTTGGAGCAGGTGCTGCAGCAGGGTGGGGTCGGTTGGATGACTCTGCTGTAGTGAAGGTCTATTATCAGTGCTTGTTATCATTGAAGAGCTTTCCATTTCACAGTGCTTCTCGGAAAACCTTTGTAACTAGAACTCAATGAAAAGTCCCCATATATTGCAACTGATGGAACATGGTGGACAGAAATCTCCTCTATCAGCATACTAGCTTCCAAGTTTTGAGATTTTTCCGCTATGGTGGTCGTGATGCGTACAGGTTTTCGAGAAAATGACTGGTATAACTATACAATCCAAGACTTTTTCTAGTGAACCAGCGATTGGCAAAGGTGCCGACATTCCTGTTATACCCAAGGATGCTACACTCAACTCCCTTCCACCTGAGTGGTCCGAGGATCCACTGGATGAAATTAAACGTGTAGAGAAAGAAGGTCGTGCCAAGGTTCTTGTTGTGCTCGATGACGATCCAACTGGGACCCAAACTGTGCATGACGTGAATGTGCTTACTGATTGGTGGGTAATGAACCTTTGAAAACTGAAATATTTCCTCATCCTGTTACAAAAGAAATAAGTTTAAGCTCTATCTCAGATGCTTTAAAACTGCATAGTTGGTTGGATCTTAAAATTGTTCCGAGTTTACTCGTAAGTTTTGTGGTCAGACTTAATAATGTCTCGTATGAATTCACAGGAGTGTCGATGTTCTGAAGGAAGAGTTTGATAAGAAGCCAGCTTGCTTTTTCATCCTTACAAATTCACGGGCCTTGAACCATGAAGAGGTAATGACTAGTAAGTAGTTGAATAAGTATAAGTATAAGTGGATTATATCACCGTAAATGAGATACACTACCATGAGATATTCAAGCGTTTCTATCTAGTCGAACGTCGGAGCCGAGTGTATTGTAGCGACTGTTTCTTAGATCCAGCCTGAAGTTTGTCTCCTAAGTTATGTGAATCCTTTATGTAGTTCCAGATTTCCAGTCCTTGCCATTTTTTCAACAGTCTCTGTACGGGGCATCTCTATATTTAGCACCTACATTTGCTGTCTTGCCATGGCTCATGGGATGTCGTGATAGGAGATACTTTGTTGTCATTCTTTGATTGAGATCGTCTCCGGAAAATCTTGTGCAGACATCTTGTGCTTCTTGTCTAACTTGGTGATCCTTGTTTGGACTCAGGCCGCTGAGTTAACAGTTGAAATTTGCAAACAAGTTGTAGCTGCTGCATCAGCTGCTGGAGATATTGGTTACACAATTGTACTCAGGGGTGATTCAACTTTACGAGGACATTTTCCTCAGGCATGAATTTCCGATAAACTTAATCCTCCTTAGTGACAGTAAATACTTTCAGGATAAATTGCGCAAAGGTGTTGAACGTGGATCATAGCCTCTTCCTACATATAGTTCTTGTCTTGATAACAATGTCGTCATCATTCTTAAGCAGGAGCCAAATGCTGCTGCCAGTGTCATTGGCGAATCGGATGCTTGGATAATTTGTCCATTCTTCCTTCAAGGTGGACGATATACCATTAATGATATTCACTACGTCGCTGATGAGAACATGTGAGTTGAAAGCTTATATTCAACTAGTTACTTTGATTAATCTGGCAACGATATTGTTGGGGTGATTGATATCTTTGGATTAAGATTTCCTCATACTCCTTCATCTTCATTTTTAGTTTCTTCAAGTTTATGGAAGTAAAAACAACGTGATTTGCCATTATACTTGTCGTATTTTACACGGTGGATACTGAGTGGAATTTTATTCTCCTACAGGTTGGTCCCAGCTGGAAGCACTGAGTTTGCAAAAGACGCTGTTTTTGGCTATAAGTCCTCTAACCTGCTTGAGGCACGTAACTTACAATCTCCTATACTCATCAATGGTGGTAATAATGATGAGGTTATACGATAAATCATATGAGTTTTGTTGCACATGTGTAGTTCTTTTGTTTTCTTCCTACTTAGCATTCGCATGTGCCAAAGACTATGGGAAGAACTTCCAGCTCTGTTGTCTTAGAGATCAGTAAGGCCTATAAGAATTGAGTATCTATTGTTCAATGATGATCAACTTATCATCATCATGAACTTTAACGGTAGTTGTGCGTGTTGTCCACAATTGCAAACCATGTCACTACTACATTTCACAAAGTATGATCTATAAGAGTATCTACATGCTTAAAATTCCTTCTATGTCCTGACCGTGAACATCCAAATGCAGTGGGTTGAAGAAAAAACAGAGGGTAGGGTGGCAGCGAAAGACGTCGCTTCTATCTCGATTGATACAATCCGAAAGGGAGGACCGGCTGCAGTTTGCCAAACCTTATGCTCTTTGAAGAAGGTCAGCTGACAGATCAGATGACAAAAGCACTTCTGTCTTGAATGTTTTTTATAAGGAAAATCTGCTCAAAGGTTTTTCTCTCTCCATTGCTTCGCAGGGCACGGTATGTGTTGTTAACGCTGCGAGTGAGAGGGATGTCGAGGTCTTCGCAGCCGGTATGATGCGTGTAAGTTATCTTCCTGGGAATGAAGAGCTTTTAACTGATAAGCACTTTCAGAATATCGACTAGAAAACTTCTGGCAATGTAAACGTACACTGTTTTTTAGGTATGTATGAGGGTGGCACTAGCATCTCTTGGCATCTGTTTTGGGAGTATACAGGGCTGTACCGGGTTTTGGCTTTATAACAACCTTTCGTATAGAATTTGCAGTTTTGTCCAGAAATTTAACTCTATATCGCCTGTGTCATAACATCTAGGCGGAAGCTATGGGAAAGCAGTTCTTGTGCCGAACTGCTGCTGCCTTTGTGTCTGCCCGTATAGGTCTCAGACCGACAGTACCACTTACTCCTAAGGACCTGGGATCACTAAATACCACCGGTGGACTCATTGTTGTGGGATCTTACGTTCCAAAGACCACTAAACAGGTATCTGATTCTCAAGCCTTTTGCACCCAAAAGCTCTGAAGCATCTGTATGCAGCGAAGTTTGTTCCCGGTACAAACTCTATACGAGGACTCTTTTCTTATCTCAACTTCTCTGTTCATGCTGTTCATGACGGGAGCAGGTTGAAGAGGCGCGAGCAAGTTGTAAGGATCTTGTATGGATCAACGTAAGTTTCACCTCAGCTGCGTTCTTGTTGGTTTTTTATCACGGTTTAGTTTGCAGTCCTGTCAGTTCTCTAGAATGTCAAATTCGCGCAAATCTACTCATTGAACTGTCGTGAGATTTTTCTGAGACGAAATTTTTAATCCTTGTGTCTAGGTTGACGTTGCTTCTGTAACATCAGACACTTTGACAAGAGAAGTTGAGATAGAACAGGCAGCACTTTCAGCAACTCAAGCACTAACTGCAGGGATGGATACGGTCATCATGACAAGCCGGGATCTCGTCACAGGATCAAGTAAGTTGTCATGATAAAAAATGAGTCAGCTTTCGAAAATGAAATATTTGTATTATTCTTAGCAGTCTGTTGCTCGACAGCATTTCCATCCAGAGTAGGCGATAGAGTGAGTCATAAAGTTTTTGTAGCTCTTATTTATGAAGAGAATGTGGGTGACTAAAACTACCCCTGGCTTGAAATTTTCCGAGGAAGACAGTGACTCTCAGCTTCTGCGAGCGTTAAAATGTGAACTGTATATTTGCTCGTTCATAGCACTTTCGGTGTTCTCTCCCTCTCCAGTCTGCATATTTCTGACCAACATAGTAAACCTCTTGCAATTCTCCCAATATCCACATTCTCCGGGCTCACTTCGTTCAGTGTTTAAAGCCGCATCTTACTGAGCTTGATTGATCTGGCAGGCAAAGAAGAAAGTTTGAAAATTGGACTGAGCGTCAGCAGTGCTCTTGTGGAAGTTGTGAAGCGAATCTCAGTCAGACCACGTTATATACTTGCAAAGGTATGTACGTTATCTGATGTCTATCAAAAGACAACTCGACACACCTTCTGGCATACAGTTTGAAAGTGCTGAAGGTTCTCATCGTTTGTTTGTTTTGTTTTGTTTTGTCGTCACGCCATATAAGTGAATTATCAACCATTCATAACCCAAGTTGAGGTCGTTCATTCTTGTAGGGAGGAATTACATCGTCTGATGTCGCAACAAAGGGAATGGATGTTAGAAAGGCTCTAGTGGTTGGTCAAGCCTTGCCAGGTGTGCCTCTCTGGCAGTTCGGACCAGGCAGTAGACATCCGGGTCTGCCATACATTGTTTTCCCAGGTAAATGCGTCCCTTCTCTTGTGAAGACAAGTAATTGTTTGACTGCTTCCATTCAAGACTTTCATACAAGAAACCTGAGTTTTAGCAGGATTGTCCGCCAACCGACCTTTCTCAGCAGCTGGATGATAATATGAGTTTGAAGAAGTTTGATAGATAAGCTTTTGAGCCCAAGCTTTCAACGATCCGTCTGCATTTGCAGGAAACGTCGGGGGTACAGATGCTCTTGCCAAAGTCGTCCAGCAGTGGTCGAAACCACCTTCGAATGCTACAAAGGATATGCTCCAGGTTAATACATCGTTCAGACTTTTGTGACACGCTTGTATATAGTGCTTGAAGTGAAATTGCAGTTGAACCTGTCCTTCTCAGAACTGATGATCTCAATCATTTGGCAATGCAGGAAGCTAAGAGAGGAGGTTATGCGATAGGAGCTTTCAATGTATATAACATGGAAGGCATCCTTGCCGTAGTAGCAGCTGCTGAAGCTGAAAAGAGCCCTGTCATTCTTCAGGTACAATCAATCTGATCACCCTCCCTCAGTTTGTTGTATTTTTACTTCCTCTGTTGTTGAAAGAAAGCGTTTAGAAAATTTCGTCCGGAGAATCATCATCAGTGGAAAGGAAACGGTGAATTTGAGACAACTGGCTTCACGGGAACAAGAGAATTGCAGGTTCCGAAGGAGGCGAGCAAATCTAGCACCCAACTTTGCGATTGTCTAGCAACTTATCGCTCCTTAGTTTCACACCGAGCCCTCCCGCAGATTAATAATTGTCTCATGATTTGATGCTGTGCTTTTCCTTCGATATTGCAATCCTAACCTTGAGGCTGCGATCACGAATTCCGTATCCCAGATTCATCCAGCATCGCTGCGAAGTGGAGGATTGCCCTTAGTCGCTGCCTGTCTCTCTGCAGCCAAGTCTTCCACGGTACGTCGATTTCACCTTTATCAGCGAGTGAGATGTGTCACGCATTCATATTCTCTGGACAGTGACTTTATACCAGATCTATGAAAAGCGTGGACCAGCAATGACGTAAGGTTGAGCTAGGCTCGATGACTTGAAAACGATTTTCACAGACGAGAGCAGCGCAGATCCTCCGCTGGATGCTGACTACTACGTCTGGTTGCAGGTACCAGTCAGTGTCCATCTTGACCATGGAGACCAGAAACAAGACACTCTGCAAGCCATCTGTTCGGTACGCTTTTCAGCCCACCATGTTGTCACTACATTCAGGGAAACATTTTATGAAGTTATTGGTTTGAAAGAACAGAGCTCAGAAGATGCCAGTGAGATTCGGAAGATCTACTTGTAATGGGAGATATGGCCGAGTTGTGTGGTGAATCTAGATTGCGTGATATGTCTGTGCCATCAATGACTGCAGACTGATGGCTTCTCTGAGCTATTAGTTCAGATCGCAGCCTGAATGAATGATTCAGAACCGAATGGCACTCACTGATATCTCTCGCTATTACCATGAATTCGAAGGGTTTCAACTCGATCATGGTGGATGGCTCCAAGTTATCTTTCCACGACAACATTCAGTTCACCAGAACATTGGCACGGGCAGCCCATGCGAAAGGAATGCTGGTTGAAGCAGAACTCGGTCGACTGTCTGGCACGGAAGATGGCCTCACAGTGGAAGAATACGAGGCTCTCTTGACAGACACGAAACAGGTCAGGCAGCGCACTCATGTCCCTTTTACGAATCCGAAAAGTGAATCTTCTAATATTTGCGTCCACACACAACATCTTGCGCTTTATCGTGCTAAAACTTCGACCGAACCTTCATTGCTTCGGCGGATCGGATTCTGCAGGCAGAGGAGTTTCTTGGGGAGACAAAAGTGGATGCTCTCGCTGTGTGTATAGGGAATGTTCACGGCAAGTATCCAGCCAGTGGCCCGAAATTGAAGCTAGATCTTCTGCAGGTATGGTATCCTCCCCCCGTCACCCAAGCTGGATATGAATATGGATACGAGATGCTCTGCAAGAGTCAAAACGAGCAGACGTGATGATAAATTTGGCCAAATGCGACTCGACTCGGAATAGAAAAAAAGATTTGGATGCAGTCGTGATCTAACACGAGAGTGGGATGGCAGGATCTGAATCTGGTCGCCGAGAGGCACAACGCCGTTCTGGTCCTTCACGGAGCCTCAGGAGTACCAGATCGAGATGTCAAGGTAAGAAGATGCACTCTCCGCTCCACTCATCCTGGTTCATTGTCTGCGCTCGATCATTGTCTGCGCTCGATCGCTCGATCGTCTGGGGGATATGCTTTCGAAGACGCACATATGCGAAATCGAAGTCGCTCGAGGCCGAGGCCGAGGCCGGGCGGCGACGCATGCGGCCCTCCAAAGCTTCATGCAGAGCTTCGACGGTCGTGGAACTGCGAGGCTCCACGATTCGGAGGGAGTACGTAGAAGCCCTAATGTCTGCTCGCTTCGAGGTGCTCGGGGCGCCGGCCGAGGTGTGCTCGGGGGTCACCCGTATGTCGCTCGTCCTTTCAGACGCAATTGTTTAGCGCAGGGGCGAAATTCTCGTGCTTTTGCCGAGCACTATTCTATTGGCTCGCACTGTAGGAAGCGCGATGGACGTGGACATGTTCGCGCGAGAGGCTGATGTCATGGGTCGTACACGGATTTGTCTCCGAATTGCTTGATACAGGAGGGCATCTATGTCATCGAAGTAAAGCTTAGATCGATAAGTATCTCCAAGTCTCATGGAGATACTCGTCTTCCTCCTGCTCCTCCGAAAGGAAGGACATGCGACCGCGCCAGGTGGCCCGGCCCGTGCTGTCCTCGAATCGCGTAAAAGGTTCGCTTACGCTATTGAGGCCGGAGCCGTAAAGCTCGGAGGGAGCGAGCGAGGGAGTTGGTGATTCTTTGTTTGGTTTTGGGCCTGTCGATTGATTGTTGAAGGTTCAGAGTCTGACGCACGGAGGAGCATGCATGAAGAAGCTGAGTGTTGTCTCGCATTTTGCGCAGGCATGCATCGACCGTGGAGTCGTCAAGTTCAATGTCAACACGGAGGTCCGAGAAGCGTACATGGACATTTTCAAGACGCAGCACAAGGACCTGGTGGACGTGCTGCGCTCCTCCAAGCAAGCCATGGAAAAAGTAATCGTCGCGAAGCTCCGCTTGTTCGGCTCCTCCGGCAAAGCTACTTAGGTAGATGCCGTGCACTGCTTTGCCTCGCTCGGTCTGGACGAGAAATTCGCCCACACCCCTCGCCCGCTCGTCAAGAAGAAGAAAAGCCAGGCGTCACCCGACTCCTCTCCATAGTCTCGGACAAGAGCTAGGCTTCGTCGTAGACCTGAACTGTATATGGCTGTAAATCTTAGTTCTCATGCCGCAAACATATGATTAAATTGAATCCACAATGCCTCGGAGTCCAGTCACAAGGGTTTGCAAGTTCTGCGCTGGGAATCGAGAAGTTACCGGATTCGATTGCGCCTCTGTGCTGTCCGCCGAGGAGTTTAACGCGGAGATTAATGGCGTCTCAAGTAAGATTTGACTGATAAGAGGGAATCCTGCCGATCGTGAACTGGACTGGGCCAAACCCACTCGGCCGCCGACATTACGAGCCTTATCCCGCTTTTCCCGACCTAAAGCTGTTTCCCGACTTTCTGGATGGCAATGCTCCCTGAAACATCCAACTTGGCGGTGCCGTTTCTCATTCTGACAAATAACAGTAATCTGCACAAAGAGATGTCCGCGCAGCTGCGCATGAAGACGTTTTCTAACCTCTCCGAAGGACTCTCTGCTGCCCTTGAGGAATATAAACAACAGCAATCTTGACTCGGAAAGCTTCGTCTGTCGAACTCTTTTCTGCGCATGGGTGGAATCGTACGTGGAATCAATTCCCAGCTGCGGCGAGTAGATAAAGTTTGTGCCGGGGAGTGAAAAAAAGAAAAGTAGAGATTAGGAAGAAGTACAAATCCAGACTGGGAAATGGAGAAAGTGTCGCCGAGAATGAAACAGTGAAAGGAAGGTGCAACGAGCAGCGAAAAAGTCATGTCTGACAAGCGTCGACGAGTTTCCGTCACCACGAAGAATGCGGTGAGAGCGAGAGGATGTAGTGCCTTTATGTCACTTGCATCTGCAGGTGGGCATTTCGCTCGCTAGGGCAGGTGGCGATGACCACCGTGGACCGGTTCAGTGCTGGTCTTACCGAACAACCGCGTTGAACATGTCTCCAGGTAAAACCTTCGCGGCCAAGTCAGTCGTGGTTTTCAATTTCCCTCTTTTGGTTGCGAGGGCCGATTCCTTCCAAGAAAATCATCGTCAGCAACAAACAAATAAACAAACATCCAGCGGGACACTGGAAAACCATCCAGACATCCGACCCATCGACTTGCAATTTCCAAGCTCATCCGTATTCTCCCTTAAACCCCTTCGCCTCCAGCTTCAAAGATCGGCACTGCATCCCGATGATTGCGGTCCGAGAGCACGGCAGAGATCTTTGAATCAGAGCTTGCCAAGTTTGCTTATTACCTTATTAGCTTTGCTGCAAGCTCATGGACTTAGCACTAACCCCAAAAAAACTGGTGCCTCTCCACAAGTAAGCCTCAGGAAGTACAGTACAGAACTGCAGGTTCATGTACCTGGAAAAAGAGCTCTTGAAGAAGAAGGCATGAGATGAAGGGAAGAAGGAAGCAGGGCAGGTGGGTTCTGGATGCAGCGGAAAAAACCCCAGAAGCCCCCATAGCTCAAGAGGGTGTTTCCATCATATGATGGCTGCAGTGCGTTCGTTGAATTGGGCCACGGGACGAAAGAAAATCGGGACTCGAGTCAGCATCAGAAACAGTGGACATTGAAAAGCCATTGAAAAGCCATTGAAAAGCCGGCGGAGCTCTTCTCCAGCACAGCACAGCACAGCAGAAGAAGAAAGAAGGAAGGGAGGAAGGAAGGAAAGAGGAGGAGGAGGAGGAGGATGAAAAGCACCAGAGTCCGGCCATCATCGGCCATCGGCATGGGGATTGTGTGAGTTTGAGTGTAATGGAAGTATCATCGAGCGAGCAGGGGCAGACCGCAGGAGAAGGCCAGAGCACTGACCAGACCGCAAGATTATTCCATCTGCTTCAAATCTTCGTCTCAATTTCAAACAAGGAGGAGAAACCTAAAGACACCAATGATTGCATCGCGGCCCATCATATCTTCTTACTTCATTCATATTCCGGTGCCATTTGTTGCCTCCTCTGTGGGCCACCTGGTGCCGTGAGATCTGGGCCAGCGGTTTCTCATTTTGGTCCAAGCGAAATCCAACTGAAGAATCCCGACTGCCACTTGCATTGCATTTCGATTCATTTCACCTCATTTCACCTCATCTCACCTCATCTCATCTCTCCATTTTCATTTTCAGGCGCAACGAGCATGAATGGTCTCGTTATGGTGTCTGCATTTTACCCCGCAGTAACGTGTGCCACGGGCCGGACGGAACGCTGAAGGCATTGCCGGTTCGCAGCAATGGACATCGTACAGAGACATTGAGTGAATTTGAAAACAGTCCAGGACATGACAGCTTTTCGGACTGTGACTGGAAACTTGAACGTTGCAATTATTCCGCTATGATGGAAAAAACATACTCTTACCATCATTCACTCGATTGCCGACTATGAATTGAAACGATGCACGTGGTTATGCTTTTGTGAGCTCTCCTTGTTCCAACACAAAATTCGTCTCCAAATCAATGAGGAATTTGACCAACAATAACAGCCGCTTTTTTTCGTGGAAACCCTTCAAACTCAACCTCTTCACAAAATGAACACCATATAGAATTTAGGAAGAAAATGAAGTCAAAAGCTCCATCCAATAAACGAGTCCGATCTAAGAGAAACGGACAGATCTAAATTGTCGCACTATGAAAATACTTTGTTAATTTTGAGTTGAATCGGTGGGAAAAAAAACATAGAGTTTATAAGTGTTCATCCATCTTGTGTATGATTAATTGTACACTATACAATCTGGTTTGCACATCATCCATATGCCGCAACCAACCATGGATCTATCTATATTCATGAGATAATAACAAAATATTGAGAGTGACTGGCTGGCATAAAATGCTATGGGTGTCTTCTATTCCATCGATAATAAACATAGCCCTCCACATCACATTGGCGAAGAAGTTTGTCTTTCTCCCACATCTTCTACCACACTCAAAATCGATAATGTTAATAGCAATGGTAAATGGTACTGTACACTATATGCTACCAATTTAATTCACGCGAGTTAGTAATGTAATGAAGATGTAACCCACCAAAGTATATGTATGATATGCATGTGTGACAAAAATCAAGGTGAAAAAGGAAGCAAACTCAAGTAGTACACAATGTAAGTTAAATGGGAAGCCACCATTACGATAGCCAAAGAAAGTGTGTGTGTGTGTGGTAACAACTAGATATATGATTAATGAAGATGATGTGAGATGGATGCAGGAGGAAACCAAATGAAACTTGCAACATTCCTCGCTGCATATGCACAAACCATGACGAGCTAACGCGGTGTAGAATGCAACATAACGAGGAAGATAATCCAGCAATTGCACTTGACAGCAATGCTTCAACGTTCGAGTCCACGAGATGGCCCGAAGAGATCTGCAGCACGGAGCTCCTGGAAGTGGACTTGAGCACAAAGATAAAACGAAAAGACTTTGCTCTACAGCACAATGAAAGCCGTCGACTTAAGTTCAAGATGAGGACCTCCAAGTTTGCTTCTTGGATCCGTGAGTTCAAACTTAGGCTCGTAATTTGAACGAAGAGATTATGATTAAACGTCCGAAATAAATGAATTCAAACCGTAGCACTTACGCTCGCACCTGAATGTTAAATCTGTAATGTTTATGTGTAATGTTAGATGTGAATGCTGTTGTCGTATGATGCTTGAGGAGTTGTAAAGGTTCAGATGGTGAAAGATCGAGGCAGACAATTCTCATTGTGAAGTCAACACATTTCAACAAAATGTGTTCATCAAATCATAAATTTCCACTCGAGGAATGATACTGAGTATGGTCCCAAAAGGATGACATGGATTCGATGCTTTATTGCGGGAGTGCAACGAGTAACTTCAATGTCATTATATGAGTTATATATCAAAAATAAAACAAGTGTATATTCTATTCAGTGCAGGAGCATACCGCTTCAGTACGCACTATTTTCCATTAAAATTAGTGATCATATCTTTTTGGCTCAACATGTTGTGAATTGTCATTTGGCACAAGTTTTGAATATTTTTTAATTTATCTTTCAAAATGAAAATCTAAACTTTACTTTTAAATAATTCAAACAACTTTCTAAGATCTACAATTTTTTCTTCACCCTCTTCTTGAACTTTGAAGCAAAGCAGTTGATCTTCTATATAGACAACTTGATTATAAAGTGATTCAACTTCCTTAATTGCAACCGTGTTTCTTAGACCTGAATATGATTCTTGAGAGATAAGAATGTTATCATCATTATCATTGTCCAGATTCTCTTTAACAATCTTCATTGTATCTAAAAGTTCTTGAATGTACTCCACAATTGCAACTACAAATACTTCGTATTGTTCATAGTCAATATGAACAAATTCTTCAAACTCTTATTGCCCAACACTAAGATTTAAAAGTGCAGAAATTTATGCAATTTAAATCACCAAATCTTTCATCTTGTTCACATCCTCTTTGTCGATTCCTTCTACAATTATTAGTTCCGCCTTCACAAATGCATTCTTTTATAGAGCTTGATGACATTGATTTCCAAGCTTCTTTGACTTATCTTGCATAATCAAGCATATGAGTTGTACCCATATATGCAACTCCAGTAGCACCATTTTGTAATCTCAATAGTTTAGGATGTAATTCACTTTGTTCGGTGCTCAATCTAGTGGTATCTTTATGGGAATTTTATTTATCGCTGTAGGTTTTTTATTTAAGATCACTGCAGTTCCTTTTCGGGCGGCCGTTAGACGGCCTATGGGTACCGATAGATCTGCTCCCGCTTATTCAACACTTTTCTTGTAGATTTTATAAAAGCATTTGTGTTTCTTAGCTTCCATATGATATATCATCGTTGAGACTAATTGAGACATTTGTCGTTTGATTTCCTTCGACAATGCAGCAAAATGAGACGATTAGGAAATGCTTATTGTAAGGTACACACAGTACTTCCAGGAGTCAAGTTGTGTATTTAGGCATAAGACTACTTTACATGCTTTATTGATGAAATTATAGTTCCATTAAGAGGAAAAAAATGCTATCAAGGAAGGTATAATGTATTGTGTGTTATACGGAAAATAATAGACCCATAAGTGATTTTACGATTACATAGTGTAAACCTAACCAACAAAATTATGAATTTATAATGTGAACGTGAACTTGATGAGACTTGTGATGAATATGAATGGAATAAGACGTAAATGCACACCAAATTTTTTTTCTAAATGTTTCAAATACAAAATATCTATGTTCAGTATTCAACAAGAAATTGAATATATTTCAATCTATATATCATTTGATTTTGTAAACTTTAAAACTGACATTTTTTTATTTGCACAATGAATTCATTTTTGTTAACGTGTGTGTTTTATTATTCAAAGATAAAGTATTCATCAGCATGGCTATCATTTACTTAGTTTTTACATTTTTTTTTGTAAATATAGCCTTGACATAGCAAATTAAAAAACTAATAAGTATGTTCATCAACAAAAAAAGTTTTAATACATATGATAAAATCTTACATGTAATGAAGTCCAAATAGATAATTGTAAAAATTTGACTATAAGTAATAAATAGTTAGCTATTTAATTATCAATGAAATAACTTTTATGGAAAATTAATTTTAAATTATCAATTTTTTTGTACAAAAATGTTGTAAAACTATACAAAATTCCAATTTTTGGTTTTCATTTTATTCACCTATTTACCCTAAGTATTAATCATGCGAAGATATAATTAATAAGTTATAATATAGAAGTTATTGATTGTCTATACATAAAAACTTCACATAATTCATTTCGCTTCTTTCTCACACTTTAAAAATCTTAGAAGTTTCATGTAATGATGAATCATTTATAGAAATTTTTTAAAAAACCGTTTTTTTAACTAGTTCAGATAAAAAAATTCCATGTAAAAAATACTAAATATTTTTAGATTTCAATCTGAAATCGTAATTTATATATAAAAATATGTCTTTTGTTGAAACTTAGTATTCTTTGCAAGTATATGCAGATGATGATCTCATGTTTGTTTGCTATGCCTATAATTTTTGATTAAATAGGTGTTCTGTCAAAAAAATCTGTAATATACAAATAGTTTTGCAAAGTTTTTCTGAATTTTTTCTATTAACGATTTTCTGGCATAAAGATAGTTATTAAATAACATATATATATATATATATATATATATATATATCTTCAAATTGCGATGGATTTTTCTTTATGTTTTTTATTCGATAAAATTTTATTTTTTAAGTGAATTATTGGCAAAAATATTTTTTTAACTACGGGTATATATATTATATGTTGTTAAATGTATTTGATGTTTTTACATGACTAAAAAGTGAATGAAGGTGATTGAATTGTAGACAAATTTTTTAAATTTAGTGGTTTTGTGTTGAAAGTATAATAAATATCCTCTAGTAGTTATGACTACTACAGGATAACACCTACGGACAGTGTTCGATTTAGAATTAATCGCTATATTTTTGGATACTATGTAATATGATTTTGATGAGTTCAGGATGATATGGAAAAGATGTATCGAGTCAATTGGGAGCAAGTCAGAGTAGCACATGCAAAATGTACCCCATGAAGCACGCTTGATATTACGCTAGCGTCATGAATAATGAGGCTGGACTGAAACTTTGATTTATAACAGTTATGTAAGAAGTTGTCAAGAGGTCTTGGATTTGGTTGGGGCGTCCAATGGAACAGAGCAATGCAGTAGCAATTCATTGACCATTCTCGCTTTTGCCTCTTCAAAAGATTGCATGTATCACAGCCTTCCAAGTCTTTGGGAAACTCAATTATGAAGCTGTGGCGGCTTCATACGACTTCTTCGCAGAGACTCGAAGAACGAATAAGGACTCGCTTTGCACCAGGGCTATGGAGGATAAATGCCCTTTACAATTCTTCACCTCGTCTCAAAACTGCCATTAGATTCTGCCCTACTCCCTTTATAGGTAAAACATAAATTATTAATGATTCAATGTTTAGAAAACTTATTTTTCTAATAATAATTGTGAATGTCATGTGTGAATTCGTCTTTAGTTTTCGTAATCACCCCTCCCAGTTTCTATTTCCTTTCAGTTGCACTGGGTCAGGTACTCGGTTGACTTTTGGTACCCCATCCGGTGGATTTCCACATCTTCACTTATCACTTATATTTGACGAGTTTTCTCTTCCCTTGATTCCGCACTTATTTCTTTAATCTTCTTCACAGGTCCAGAAGTCCCGAGGGCATCATTAATTGTAAACCTAGCGTCGAGAGATACGTTCTTCTGCATTGTACGACCGTGACAAAGGACCCTCTTTTGAGTATATTTTGAGGACATAATAACAAAAAAGGATTAGGCATACGAGAAACGCAATTTTCTTGGAGGACGAGCCTTTTTTGGTGCCCGGAAAGCGGCCGGAATAAAACATAAATCAATGGAAGGCCGATAGCGCCGAGACCGGGTAACGCCTCGGCGATCGATTTGTCTTTGTCTCAGCTGGCGATTTCGGCTTCAAGTCAGTTCCGAGCACCGGCCGAGGGAGGAGGGAGGAGATATCGGTGACACTTGAGAGAATGTTCGGACTTTAAGCACCACTTGCCTTACACAAAAGTACATACGCGTCACCCGCTTCTATCTATCCGCCGATGGACTTACAACCAAGACGAAGACCAAGACAAAGACAAAGACAGAGACGCGTGTCTCAGGTTGAAAGACGACGACGACGACGACGACCGGAGCGGCTGAAGAACGGAACGACGTCCACGTACGACGAGAAACTTTGAACGTTCAGACGGTGCCAGAGAGACCCCGCCAAAGCTTCCGTCGTCGGCGTAGAAAATGCGCAGAATTAATAATGCGTTTCCACTCTGAAATCCGGGGCTCGAGAGGTGCGCATGGTGCCGGAGAAACCGAGATATGAACGCAGGTCGAGCCATTCATTCAGTCCATTTAATTAGTCGATTTATTTAGACTTGGGACGTGGTGGAAAATTGATATCGAGGGTTGAGGGTGTGGATGGACAATGCGGATGGCAATGGATAGCAGACAAGAGAAGGAAGCTCACGGGAGCAGGGAGCGGAGCGCCGTATGGAGGTGCATGTACACAGAGGACCGTATGGAGGATTTTATGATACAAGGGTGAGGATCGGGGGATATGATTGCGCATATATTTTGGACGACACGGGCAACAGAGTGAATCTCTGTTTATGTCAAGACAATCATATCTCGCTCACAGGCTCGCGAATACTTCTAGCGTACAGGACGGGCGCACAGAATTAGCGTCGTCCCGAAGGACGCGACTTGCGAGCCCTGCATCGGAGCCAAGTGCTAATTCTAATTGGCTCGCGACTTACCGACCTGCCGCTTTGGGGCGGGGGGCGCCTCCCGAAACTGGCTCGTCGTGTCGGAAAGAAACGGCAGAGGGCAGGGCAGGGCATGACGGGGCGTGTTGTTGTTGTTGTTGTTGTTTTTTTTTTTATTTTTAACCCGGGGCCAACCGAATTGTATAGGGCTGCGGTTAACCGGGTAGCCCCGGACTTGACCGCGGGTCAAGCGCGGAAACTTACTGCGTTACGCCCTGGCTTCAAATTTCAAGATTGCGGCTGTGGCCAGAAGGCGATTCTTTCAGCAGCAGCGGCTTGCCCCTTTTTGAAATGATCCAGCTGCGGCTGCCGCTGTCCGTAGCCCACTGGGCGCTCCCCTTTCCCTTCACTGGCCCTTCCCCGCCCTTCTTCCTGCCCCTGCCCCTCCCCCTGCCCCCAGCCCCCAGCCCCCTGCCTTGCCTCGGCCCGGTCCGGGACCTTCGTCGTCGTACTCCAGGGGCAGAACGCCAACGAGCTGCCGAGGCCCAGGCCCAGCAGGCAGAGAGAGAGAGAGAGAGAGAGAGAGGGAGTGGGGAAAAGCAGCAGCGAGCGTGAAAGAGCTCGCTCTGTACCGCAATCCACTACACTGGCACTAGCGCGACAACCTCCGCCCCTGCAGCTGCTGCTGGACTCGGGGAGCTGGCAAGATATGAATCCTCCCGTGGCTCAGATCGTCTCTATCTTCGTCTGCGAGCCGTGAGCCGAGCGAGCCTCTGAGAGAGAGAGAGAGAGAGAGAGAGCTGCTGCTGCTGCTGCCTGCCGTCGCGCCTGTTTCGCATCACCTTCTTCCTTCCTTGCTGCACTGCCTGCACTGCCCGCACCGCACCCCCGCGCATTTGATACTACTTATTGCGCAGCAAGTGCGCGCCAACTTCCGTCGATCACATCTTTTGCCACCGCAAGCTTCCTTCCTTCCGTCTGTCTCTAAAGTTTCCTCTCTCTCCAAGATCCTGCGAGAGACACAGAGAGTGAGGGCGATAGCGAGAAAGCGCGCGCCTATGCCTTGCCTGCCTGCCTGCCTGGCTCTGTCTGTTGTCCGTCTTGGGAGCAGTTGCTTGCTTGGGAGTCGGGGCTTCGTTAGTGTGAGCTGCTGCGCCGACACACGCACTTCTCGCGAACATTAGCCCGCAGAGATCATCTCGGGGAAGCCAGTGTCGAAGCTCGGGCTCTCGTTCGTCCGCGCTCCGATACCTGAGGAAGTGGCGCTCGTGCTCTCCTGGACAGTGTGCTTCATGTGCGAGCCGAGGGTTTACTAGTTCGTGGATCGGATTGACTCGCAGCTTGATGCGAGCTTCGTAGCTTCTCTTGGAAGAGTCCTGTGCCCGTCGGGTCGAAGCTCTTGCGCTCTGGCTCTTCCGCAGAGAGTCTCGCTATATTCGCAGGAATGTGCCTCGTAAAACTGTCGCACTTGCTCTCCAGAGTGCACTCACAACAACATCTCTGATTCACGATCTCTCGTGCGATTTGCGGACTCTTTCATCCCTGCACTGCTTACGTTGTACACGAGGGAAGGCGTTTTTGTTCTGGCTTCGATATCCTGACTTCCGTGCGGTGCTCCATGGCTTACGAGGTGGCCCGGGTTCATGGGCTGATCCGGTCCCATATTCAGGACGGTGAGAAAGAAGGGCCTGCTGAAGCGTGGCCTCTCCCTTCCTCCGCTCCTCGATTTAAACACCAGATGCCAAGACTCTCTCCCGATACTCCCTTCCTTCACGACTTCCCCTTGGAGCTGAACCAGTGGTCGGAATCGTCACACAGTTCTTCTCTAGGTTCGTCGACTGAGACAGAAACAGAAAGCGATGAGGAGGATGATTTTATAGCGGGTTTAGCAGAGCAGATAGCTCATTCAATGTTGGACGAAGAGGAAGTAGTAACTGCGACAGATGTTACGAAGCCCGTGTCGGGAGCAATGTCCAGTGGAATACCCGTCTTCCCTAGCGGGGTGAATGCGACCTCACAGAAGGTATCGTACATCATTCTTGGGACTCGTTGAATGTTAGATTCTGTCACTCACCCGCAACCGAGTCGCGAATGCCTTTCTTGCGTGCAATGTTATCGCTGTCGGCCCGTAATGCTGTCTGTTTACATGCGTAGTATTGTGCTAGCACTTTTGAGTCGAAGTGCTTCGTGCTTTGTATCGTGGTCGCCAAGAAGTTAAGGCTTAATTTTCTCATTCCAATGCGGATTAAATTTGAACTTTTGAGGGGTCCAGTGTTGTATCGACAAAACCTTGCCGCCACGGAAACTCACCTCCTCCTCCCGAGGACCAGCCTTGGAGCCTCACTTCTGTCCTGACTCTAATCTGGCGTCTCAGTTTAGCCTCCCTCTAGTTAGATTTTAGAAATTTGAAGGAACGGGTGTGCTAGAACGCGTGATGCTTCTCGCGGCCCCGTATCTCACACGCGATAACAGTATGGACGGGGGTTCTTGGTGATTCGGCCTCGGATCCTACTCCAGCGGCTCGTAGAAATGTAGATTCTTAGAAGTCGAGCTGCATCTGTGGAAGAACCCTGCATTCTGATCGTTCAAAATTTTTTCGTCGTGCTGCAGGCCGGAGTTTCTCCGCAGTCGAGCTGGTCCACCAATAGCTGGTCTGCCAGCTGGTCTGAGTCGGTTTCAAGTTCCAAGCAGTCCTCGGAGGTGTCGTCTCCCCCTTCCACGCCCTCAACCTCGAAAACTGATGCGTGGGAATTGCTGAACGAGGCAGCCGGTGAAGTAGGAAGACTGAAGATCAGCGAGGACAGAAAACCCAACCCGTACCCTGTGAAGCAAATGAAGCAGACAGCGGGATCTGTCACCAGCACCCAGAGGCAATTCGTCCCGCCTCTCCAACCACCGGCTTACAATTGCTGGAAACAATCCAACCAGACCGTCCAGCCCTTGCTGAGTTCCCCAGTCTGCAATGTGGGGTCGCCTCTGGCGACGCCAGTGGTTTCCAAGGATCGTATGCCTTCTGGTACACCGGCCAACGTGAACAGAAGTTGGAACCGGCCGAGAGATGAAGATCGCAAGGCGGCGAACACCACGCAGGTCAGCTCTCAGCGTTTTGCACTCGATTATCAATTAGTTCCGTGCGGAGTGCATTAAGCCCTCGAGCGTCGTTCCCCGTGTGTTGCCGTCCGTCGGCACTTCCGAGCTCTATCCGAAGGACATGAAAGCTGACAGATGTTTTGTAAATTTGGCAATGTGTGCAGGCGCAGCACAGGCTTCCAAGAAATGATGGCGCCGGATGGAACCAACGACAGAACAGGCCCAATAATCCCCACAAAGGGGCCCAACAGAAAGCTGGAAGGCAGAACCACAATCTCGGGGGCCAGCCCCGCATCGGAGGAAAGGCCATGGAATGGAGCAATGGAGGGCAGCAATGGGCCGGAGGCCAGGGTGTGAACGGTGGCTCTGGAATGCGAGCAGTGTTCCTAGGGTCCGCGGGCTCCGGTCGCGAATCGGGTGGAACTGGAGTGTTCCTCCCACGTTGCATCGGTGGTGCATCCGACCACCGGCGCAAGCCAGGTGAGAATCAGCTCGACCCTAGACTGACGGTTCCTGCTAAATTCTCGCACTTCATCTTGATTATGCTTTAAGCCGTGGAAAGATGGACGGAAAATGTGGGCATTCTGCAAAGGTCGCCTGTGGCTCGACACGCGACGAAAGCAAACAGCTGTATATTCATTAGACCACTGTAAACTTTATGCCGCTAGGGTTTCACGTCCCTGACAGAATCTGTGTCCGCCTCGTTTGCAGCTTGCTCTACTGTCCTCCTGCCCTCCAGAATTGTTCAAGTATTGAATCTGAATGTGGAGGACATGCGGAGCCATCCCGCGCCGCTGCCGGCCGCGGCCGTGCACAGTCGCTCAGGTGGGAATCCCATCTCGGCCCAATTTGTGTGGTGTGGTTGTATGACGGAGGCAGTTGCGACTTTCAATTACGCCCCATGTCACGTCGTGCACGGGTTTAGTGCGAGTTTGCTCAAGTCATACTCTGAGTACTTCGAGGGAGGAATCTAGGCCCACTGTTCTGACCTCCCCGCCGTAATGTTCGTTCGTCTGTACAGAGTATGCCAGAGTACATCCTCCTCACATGTACATGATGGAGTTGACGTCCGGAGCGCCCAAGCCCGAAGCTGGAGTGCTTCCGACGTATCCAAGAAAGTTCCAGTCGTCGCAAACTCGTCAGCCGAGTGACTTGTCAGCCGAGTTTAGTCTACCGACGGAGTGGACATACTGATCTCCTACGGGGTGCGGACCGTGTTATCGTTTCCAGCGTAGGAGGATTCACAATTTTGAGCGAACGCCGTGACTGTCGATGCACCTATTTTGTTCAAAACGCAGCAATGGGTAGATATTGGGCAAAGTAGAGTTGTTGCACTGAACCTGGCATGGGTGCATTCTCCCATGACACGAGTGGACGAAGGAAGGCCCGGCAAGGGGCCTTCGAGTGAAGGCTGTACATTAGTCCTGCAGAAGTGTTGAAGGTACGTTTGATTGTCATCACGGCCCTGACCGCCAGGGAGGGAAAGGAAAGGAAGGAAGGAAGGAAGGAAGGAGAGGAGAGTAGAGGAGGAGCCCAGTCTGTAAATTATTTGATTGTGGTAAGCTCGCGGCGTGGAGCGTAGTTGGCTCCACGAAGCGTCAGAGCTACTTAGATAGTATCCAACGAATGTCCCTTGTCAAGGGAATGAGGAGCGCAATAATTTGGACATGTTTTGAGTAGTGTATCCCTAGAGAAACTCTCCAGCAAGGAGAGAGCTACTTGCTACAGCGATATCAGGCTACTGGAAACTGCAAACTGTAATAACGCAAAGGATCCCAGCAGAGATTTTGCTGCACATCCTGCCAATGATCTTTGACATATGTAAGCACCAATAAGTGGAGCCTGTTTGTGGCACTCTGAACAAAAGCGTCTAGGGTTTCCTGGACCATTCGCACATCATATCTCGCCTCCTCTCCTCGTGTCGATGTTTGCCGATGTCTCGCCTCCTCTTCCGCGTGTATGCCACTACCTACAGTCTCGACCGTGCGGCCGTGCGCACCCACAAAGGATATGGCCGCCGGACCGGCGATCATCTCTTTCGCTCGCTCTCACCGTATTGCCAGCCGGGACGCGACGTGCTCCCACATGCAGGACGTGAATGATTGATTGGGAGCCCGTAGGCAGACAGCTAGTCGTGAGGGCGCCCTCAGAAGCACGTACAGCTCTGATGAGTCTGTCAACGATGCGTGGAAATGGGTTTGACCTAGCATCGTGCACGATGAGAAAGAGTCGTGGGGCAAAACATCTGTCGGATATGGCGAAGAGAGACGGGGAGCGCTCGTCGACCAGAGGTGGGGCGAAGTGACGTCGCATGCGAGCAAGCTCGATGTGCCGGGCGATCATTCCGAATCCCCCTGACGAAATAGTCGCGGAGTTTGAACATCCCCCACCCTGCCACAACCTGCGGCTGCAGCAACCGCCGGCAGGCGGACATGTAAGCAGCCATGGTGCCCACTGCAGTCGTTCGACCTCGGTCCCGAAATTCGCTGCCATCCCAGCCCAGCTCAGCTCTGAGCCTCAGCCCGACACAGAGGCCGGTCGTATCGCATCCGTATACTCCATCTTTTGGCCTTCTCTGTTCCGCACCTCTGCCCCCGTCCCTGTCGCTGGGCGTGACGGGCCAAAGCAAGAGACGGTCGCGCCGATGGCAGACGCACTCGAGGATACGTGTGGCGCAAGGGCGGGAAAGCGTGCTTCAAGAGCGACAAGACAAGGCGAGGAAAAGTCGTCAACATTCACTCGAATGAGCCCCACATTCTGTCAGGCCGGGGGCAGAGCGGGGGCAGGGCGGGCGCGGGGACGGGGACGGGGACGGGACGCGAGTGGGGGGAGGGAGGGACTCCTAGCGGGGAGGGGCAGAGGGAGGGCAGGCCCGTCACAAGGGGGCAGGGCAAGGCAAGGCAGGAGAGGGCCTCCCGGCCCTGGCCGGTCGACGACGACCGTCGGCACCGGAGGGGCGGCAGGCATTGAACGCCCGAGCGGTGGCAGCAGTCATGGCGCTGCTGTTCGCCCGGCCGTACAGTCAAAACTCGAAGACCGCAAACTGGAGATGAGTAAATGGAAGGCAGCTGCCACGTAATTAAGCCTCGACCGATACAGTAAATGTCCGGTAACTTGTGCGTTTTGACGCGTGTCGTGCGATGCCGTTACTTTAACAACCTTCGGCTCTCGACAAGATGGCCTAGCCTCCCGCGGCCCCCCGCCCCACCCCCAGCCCCCAGCCCCCAGCCCCCTATCCCCTACCCCTCCCGCTCCCGCTCCTCCTCTTCCCCAGCCCCTTCTGTTCGCTACCGTTCCCCACCTCCGCTCGATGCATGATCCGAAGTGTGACGGCCCTGGCGATGGCGGGCATTGGATGTCCTTCTCAGGGCTGGCCTGGGCCGAGCGTGACATGAATGACTCTCGTTCTGAATCTTCTCCCTCTCTCCAGGAGGCGCACAAGTGACATTCGCGACGCCATTCGGTTTCCATGTCTGCATGGATAAATCTTGCCAAATCTGGCGCGTAAGTAGGTTTCATCTTATCCCCAGACGTGGTGGTCGCTTCTTCTCCAATTCCCTTGCGCGATGCTTATTTTGTGCTGTTCTGACGAGCTTTTTATAACATGGAGTTCGCCTTTGGGACTCTCTGGGTCCTACGCTTTTTCTGTTCCTCTTGCGAGCTAATTTTAAAGCTTCTTTCAAAATCTGTGGATTGGAGGGAGCTCGAGAACTCTTATCGTCAGCGTCGATTGCACATGGAATCGCAAGCCTCTTTTGCCAGCCTTCTCTATTTTTAGACATCGCTGTCTTCCGCATGAATCTCTCGTATTTTCGAACACTATTTGCTCGCAACTCGATCGAGATATCGTTTTTGAGGGCGCTGCCCTACACAGCCGCCGGCGAAATCTCAACCTGGTGGCCATTCCATCCATTTGGATGCGGGACTATTATCGCTTTCGCGGGGAAAGCTATTTCGAAATTTTTTACTTCGCAAAAGACGGAGTTTCAAATTGGACGAGAGTGTCGTCGACTACAACCATGCACACATTCACTTGATCGAATTCGAGGAAAGTTTACGCGTTTTTAGGTTTTCACGTTTTCCATCTCATAGTTGTTTTCTTGCTTCTAGCTTTGAAGTACTCTAATTTACCACCATTACCTTCTCATTGTTTAATAAAGCGGGTGACTAGGCCACACCCGTTTTTGCTAATAGATGAATAGAACTGAGGCAGCAATGCGGGTTTGAACGGGTATTTGCTTTGACACGCAATCAGTTGTTTTCATGTAGCGGGTGTGGCCCCAAGTCTTCTTTTTAATAAATTATGCATTTTGTGAATCTGAGTTTATAAAACATGCAGTGAGCTCCTTTCACATTATCATTAAATGACATGGGTAATTGACAAGGGAGAGCTCATTCATTCAATATATCATTACATTCCTGGAACCATCTGGAAAGACGGGGTACATAATCATTGTATTTATATGGCGGAGTCTAGACTTTTGTTCATGTCTCCTATAGTGTGTTGAAACAGAGTAAGGAAGAACATTTTGCATCGGATAACGATGTGGAAAAGTCTCCTTAGTGTTTTTTTTTTTTGCGAGACAAATGTTGAAAATTCCATTGCAAAAAATAAAAATACATCACCGCTGCGAACCAGGCAAGATGGGAACCCGCCGGCGAACCTATTTTTTGATTTCTTAGTCTCCTAGTTTGAAAAGAACCAAACCCCCGTCAACTTTGGGAAAAACCAAACCATCGCTAAGCTTGAAAATAACCTAACTGCCGCTGAGTTTGGAAAGAACCAAACTGTCTCTCATTTTTTGAAAGAAGCAAAACGCCGCTTTTTACATCGTTCGTGAAAATTTATTAGATAAAATTTTCATCACTATGATTAAAACAATAGACTTGAACTAATATCAATTAATCAAGAATATGATAATATCTTTGTCGTAATCGTTTAGAGTAATTTTTTTCTTGTTCTAATTCCATCCACAATATTGATGATGCAAAAAAATTGTCGAATAAAAAAATGCAATGTTGCTATATCATTCTTGTTGTTTGTATGCAATGTATATGTGTATAAAAATTGTGCCAATAAAGAAATAATTTTTTTGCCAAAGATTCAAATTCATTTTTAATTCAATTATCCAACACATTTGATAGAAGATATGAAACAAGCAGTATGACATATTCTTTAAAAAATATCACATTTCAAGATCTTTGAAATCCACTTCATTATCTTATACATTTCAAGCTTGCACAAGAAATTTCAAACCTCATATGCATACATATAGATTTCAAATTTCATCATCATACAATAAGGTATTTAGAGAATTCACTAGACTTGAATTTCACATCATGCAGATAAAGTAATCTCCAGTATCAAGTTTACAACTTCAATCTATATCATAATTGGTTCGGATTGTCTAGCATGTCAATAAAATGAGCAAATTCAGTTTTTATAATAATAAGTAAACTATTTCAATCAGCGAATTTCATTGCACCATTTGCTACATGCCGCAATCTAATCTAATGCTACATAGACATTATGATATCTGAGATACTGTAAGGGCATTTCTCAAAGATGTGTGAAGGCATTTGGATGCAGCCATTCCATATTAATGGGGTTCTCCCTCCAGACCTCGATGCTTTTGAAAAGGAGATTAACGAATCTTATCAGCTCCAAAACCAATCAAAAGGGAGGAAATTTCTTTAATGTAATGGGGTTGGTTAATTCAATTTAATGTAAGTCTTGAAATATTGTGGGGGGAAAACTTGATAAAGCAAACTCTTGATGGCAGTTCGAACCGGAGTGATCACGGGGTTAGCGGGCAACCTTAGCAGCACCACTTAGCGAGCAATCGCATAGAATTAGGGATTGCATGAGATGCGCGTAATGGCGGCCTCGACAAATCTATGAGCTTGTGGAGGTCAGTCGAATCGATCGATGCTTTTATGACAGGATCTTCACATTTGGCGACGCTATGTCAGTCCGTGTCTTTTGAGGACAGTAGAGGATCATCGTCGCCGAAAATGGATCGGAGAAACCTCGCATACAGGGTCGAGGGACGTGGTGCGTCGAAATAGACTTGCATCATTCCTCTCGAAATGCCTCCGAGAAATAGCTGTTCTACGAGCGGAAATCTTGGCGATGAGTCCAATTTTGGCTTGTTCTACAGATGCTGTTTCCGCTTCGAGCTATCCTTTTGGAAAGAATATCTGAAAATTATTTCCGTCGACAGAATCGTTCTGTTGATTTACCCGATCGCGAAGGATGATGGAATTTCCGGGATTGATTTATGTGTAGAGGAGATTCTCACTGAAAGTCGTGGAATTTGTCCGTTTGTGAGCTCAATTGGCCAATTTGAGGAGTTAAGGAACCTCGGGGCAGTTTGATAAGACTGTCCTGTAGTGTGCAAGGGTGGGGGCGAGCTGATATGATGTGAAGTGTCATCTCCATTGGACCAGCTTACGGCATCGTGATCCAGCACCAAGCCCTTTCGTTCGCGTGGGACAACGATGAAAGAAATAAGTCCAAAACGCGTTCATGGATCGTTAGGGTGTCGGGGCCTGGATGCGTCGTGAGCAAGAATGAGTTCCGATTATATTCGTGCCCTCCTTTTTGTGTCCAAGTATCTTTGGGGAAGTAAAAATAGGATTCAGGCCATTGAAACCTAATGGCCGAATATCGCACATACTCTTTTTGCAGGCTCTCGTCACCACCGACGGTGCCCTTCTTCATATCTCCTGCGCCTAGCAGGACCCTAGAGCTCAATCTGGAGCTCGGAGGATGCCACAGTCCTCTCACGAGATCCCGGACTGGCGGATCATGGAAGGGAAGGAGGGCCAGGCAATGATGATCAACAGTAATTGTCGACTCAAACCTCACACACTATTCTCGGTGACAATAGGGTTTTGTTCTGCCGAAGTGGCTCATGATGCTGATGCCATCGTCCTCCCCGCTGCCTATCAGACACCGAAAACGGCATGTCTCTTTGGATTGTCTAAACCGTTTCTGATTCTAAATGCCCAGATTTTGTCCTCAGTCCTCCGGGCGGACACAGTTTTATTCCGCATAATAATATTGTCATCTTGGGGAGGGTCGGCTGCGTGGATACTCTTGTAGGCTCGACTGATTTCATCCCCAACTGCGCCCTTTCCAAGGACTTTTTCATGAATGCATCAAGAATGGGATATGGCTTTGTTCCCAAGACCTAACTCGACGAGCTCTAACTGCAGCTAAAAGTATCGAGTACGGATTTCTTTGAGTGCTCTATTTCCTTCGATTTCCCAGGATCGGAAAGAGACTTCACCTTTCGTTCACTTCGGCAGTCGCGAGAAAGCCATGGGCTTGAGTTTTAGGGCTGATGATGGTTCCGATGTTGGGTGCGAGCCTTTTTCCTCGCTCCGGTCGTGGCCAATGATGTCTTTGAAAAGATGGCAGATAATATACGAGCGCTGAAAAGGAAAACCGATTTTATCTGGCATCCAGAGATACTACTAAATCGTCCCCTTCCCCTTCAGAGGCTCGGAGAGTCGAGTCGAAGACTACTTTTGTCATGATAGTATGGAATCATGACAACCCAGACATCGCTATTTGACGATGGCATGGTGAGTGGAAGCTAAACACGGAGACGGCAGAGTCGACAGAAATGGTCAAAGCTCAGCGAGAAAGTGCGGATTCTCGTAGATAAAATTCATGTGTTGACGCCGTTGGGTGTTCGGACTCGCTTTCTGTGCGCAGATTCGTCCTTTCTGCAACTGCTTCTTAACTTAGTTGCATCTCTGACACGGCGTATTGAATCGGCGACCGGCGCCGTATACATGGAAAGATTTACACATGCCATGCCGAAGATACAATCGTGGAATCACAAGGGGCCATCCACACGGACTATTGTGGTGAGTAGTCACGATCATTTGGCCTCGCGACTTGATGTGCACCGCTGTCCAGCGATCGCAAGACGACAGTCATGCGGAAGAGGATCTAATTTCATGTCTGAAGCGACTAAATCTGGAGGCAGTACTTTGCTATTTGCAAAGCCCAACATTTATGTTGCCAATGTCGTGCATACCTGATTCACTCCACTCTCGGCTTAAGGCGGAATCGCCACTAGATTCATCCGGATTAGATAGCATCTTTGTCTCGCAAACGTCATGGAACAAGTAGATCTCCACAGCCAATTGCAATGCCTCGCCGGCTTTTCTCCCCGCACAGTACAGTACACTTGACTCGTACAGCCCGTCGTCGCCTTCAAGGCCCCAGATTGCTCGGATGCGATCCGCCGCTCCTTCATTGCCTTGGGCCGACGATCTGCTCGTACCATGTTCGTCCTCCGACCCTAATCCATCTCTTCCTTCCGAACGAGGTTCAGGTCAGGGCAGTGCAGGGCTGGCCAGGTCAGGGTATGGCTATGGCGGGCTGGAGGGCGGCGATAGCTTGGCCCTGGAATCTTGTTGTGTTGGGGGTGAGCTCTTTTGACATTGCCACTCGTCGAGTCCGAGCAGCAGCAGCAGCAGCATCATCAGCATCATCATGATCAGGTAACTCGGAGGGAATTCAGTCTGGAGCTCGGGTCGAGTTGGACTATGCTGCCCATGCTGCCTTCCTTTTCGCGACGGTTTAGGGTTCGACGGACGGCCAGACCTTTCACCCTTCCTCCCTCCTTCTTTGGGGCATCTGCTGCTTGTAGGCCCACCCAGTGCTCCCTTTTTCTGGCTCGTTTCTGTTCTTTCCTTGCTTGATTCAGTCGCCTCCCGCTGATGTCTGATGCCTCTGATTCTGATTTATTATTGGCTCGAAGCAAGTAATTACGGCTCTCCCTTGTGCTACAAATCTGGGGAAAGCATTCACTCCGACCCTTCCGAAAACAGCTGGTGAGCGTTAACACATCCCTTCCATACCCATTAACCAGTGCTTTGAGTGCAACTCCAACAGAAGTTTGTCTATGCAGTTTACTTGCTGCTGACGGCCAGCTAGATTACGGGACAAAGTCTGCACATCAGTTGAGAACAAGGGGCCTCTGTGCAAAGCATTGGTGCCAAAGACAGCGCATGCAAGGTGGAGATATAAGTGTGGACAATTTTGGAAGGTAGAAATTTCTGTAACATGCTTTTTTCGTCGTACTGGCATATTTTAGACATACACTGCAAGCATAACCCTACGAGGTTTCCTTAACCAAGCGTCCAACTGAGGTCGATTAGGTCCCTCATCCACGAGCTATGCTTATCATTTTGACTATCGCGTCGAATATAACTCTGGACTGTGGAAAAGATTTTAACTTCGCGCGCACACAACTGTGCCCTGGGTGAGATTATAGAAGGGATACAAAAATTCTCGAGTCTCCAGTGGTTGGATTCTCGAATGATGACGCTGCTTGTTACTGGCTAGAGTTCTTGCGCTTCAAGGAAGTGGACAATCCTGTACAGTGAGTGAGTGAGTGTACACGGCTGACTTGTGAGACCCCAGGGGTCTGGGAGTGCGAGTACATGCTGGGAAGTGGCCGAGAGGATAATCTTAAATTCGGCGGTTTGGTTCACGTTTCTTGTTGGCTCGGAGAAGAACTGGGGCTTGCACAGTGCGGAAGAATCTCTAAGTGAGGAAGCTTACATCATGATCGGTTCGACTGTTCTTTACGGTCGGCTATGGGTTCCATATCAATGCATGATTCCAATGAGATGAGAACAAAAGACAAGAACATTCGCTGAAGATCGTGAGTGTATAGTACTGTAGGGGTACTTGGGAAACTCTAAGCCTCACACGTGCATTTTGTTTGATCATGGACTTTGGGTTCAGAAGAAGAGGGAGACAATGCACAAGAAAGTTTCCCACTGGAAGAGCACAATTAACCAAGAAACAAGGCGAGGACATCAGGATTCAGGACTGCAAGTTTGTTTGGACCTAGCAGACACACCACCACAACATGATGATTCCATGACGTGTTGACTTAAGAATCAGGAACAATGCGCTGTGGAGTAATATAAGAAGGCTAAATCAAAAGTTGACTGCAACAAAGAGATGTGTCAACAGACTCGGAACCTCACGCGGTTTAGTCTCGCCCAGTGGTGGGAGTTTGTGCTGTCACAAACATATTATTGTCGTTACCGGAGACAAGTCAATGATGAAGCCGGTCCGCTTCAAAGTCGATAGTTTCACTTGGACCACTTTCTCACATGCTTGGAAACTACAATTGGTATTAAGCAAATTTTTATTTTGAAATATTAGCACTATTTCTACTCATGAAGTCTGTTCTCCATTCTGGCCTTTCATGGCATGTTCTTCTTATGCAGGAAATCCCGACGATGAGTAGTCAGTTGAAAGTTTTTTCCTCGTATATTTTCTTCCGAGTTTGACCATATGAGTGATGACAGAAATTAGAATCGACTATATTCTCCTGAAATTGATTGAGCTCGCTTTTGAATAGTCCAAGAAACTGAACAAAGGTGCACTCTCGGATTCGAATCCTTACGTCTTATCATCTTTGAAATGTCACATGTATTTCCTTTTTAAGTTTTCTTTCAAAATGCGTGGGAACACTCCCACACATCTTATTATTTTAGAAAAAGTCTATGCAATGTGTCATGGCCACCCAGCCACATGTGGGCTGCATTACTTTACACCTGTCATGTCAAGTGAAAACTACAAAAACATTCAAGAAATTCTAGACTCCGCTCTACATCATCATCATTCTGAGGTTCAGGTGCCATGATTCTCAGGTAAGCAAGAGAAAAGGATGTAGAAACGGTTTGCGTTTAGAAAGTCTTGAATTAAAAGAAGAATTGTGGGGGTCTATGATTATCATTTAGAAACGAAGAAATAATAACGGATGAATAGGAGAACACCCCCAACCCTTACAGAGAGATACAACCTGAAAACGGCTGGCTTTGTTTGTTCAGGTACACAGGATTCAACACCTGGGAGCAATTTTGATTCAAAGTGATAATGATTCAACGAGATGTGAAGAATGATTTGCAACTGTCAATTGACATCACGGCCTGCCTAGACTAACCTATGGGCCACACATCACACTCATGAATACTGCAGAAAAGACTTGAAATGATCCCACTTACAAGACCTCGAGTGGAACGGAGGAGGAGGCAACAAAAGAGTCAGTCTGGCACCAAAGCAAATATCTCATCCTTACCTGGTTGGCATTACGTTCAAGGGGCGAGATGTTGGGAGCCAGGTCTATCTCATCTACACAGTCCGATCCATAGATGCTAATGAGGATTCGCTAGCGAAGTCCTCGTTCAAGGGGCGATTTCAACTCCGTCCAGCTCGGCTATGAATGCGAAAAGAAGAATCTGGGAATGCCAGCTCAGACGAACCGCGTTTTCTCCACTTTCAGTCCTCCTAGAAAAGAGAAAGCGACGCATGCAGAGGGCATAGTCTCATCTTCAAGACCCCGTCAGTCTTTGATACGTCTGCTGGTGTTTCAGGACTAGACTCTGATCCAGCGGCATGCTGAGCTTTTCGTGCCATTTGGAGGCACTCAAGTGTTGAAATTTTTGAGTTTTTGGTTGAAAGTCGAAGTTTGGGTGACAAAATTTGGGACATTTCAAAGAAATTCCTGTTTCCAATTTAAGAAAGCATGCTTTGTCTTGTTTTTAACGTGAGACGGAGGGGAAGTGAGACTAAGGCTGTGGAGTGAATGGGTTTTCAACACATGTTGCTCTGCCGTGGGAATGTATGGAATGCAATTCCCTTGGCGTTGATGCTCAAACCCTGAGTGTCAACTTCACAATTGGACATCATCTCATCTGAAAAGACTTTATGTTGAAATGTAAGACGGGCAAATTATGAGGGGGGAGATACCTTAAAACTAGGGCGGTTTGGCTTCCTGAAGAACCAAATCTCGAGGAGTCCAAGCAGAAATGTGTGAGAAATAATATCTTATGCTGAGCTGGGAATCTCGAAAAGTGAGACTCGTGTGTCACGGAAGAATGCATTCTGTAAATATGGTGGCAATAGCAGGCTCGGGTGCTTACTGAGAGAAAAACAAACAAATACGAAAAGGTTGATGGTCGAGCTTGGGCTCGAATTGTTCCTACTCATGCTATGGTTTAAAGAAGAGTTTGGAAGGTTCAGAGGAGGGCTTAAAAAAGTGGATGCGCATGGAATACAGCACTCATGCTGAGTACGCAAATTCCAGCTCGAAAGGTCTCGGAGAATCAATACGCACAATATAGGCTACAAATCTAGTTGTTGCCACGCTACAGTTCGGAGCGGAGACATCGGAATATTAAGCAAGTTTGAGAGGATAATCTATTTTTTGTTCAAGTAGAATTCTCGATGTGCGAGTCGCAGGCTGATTGATTGAGTGATCGATCAACCTGTGTCGCTGTGGTGACACGTGACAGAATCTTCTTCCTGTAGCATTCCTGGAATCACATGCAAGAAAGGCTTTTTGTGTATCATAGGGCGATGAGAAAAATTCTGCTAGTGCCATGTCCAAATGTCCTGTACAAAATGTTACGAGGAGATTGAAACCTTTGTGTAGATCTGTTTCGTTCAATGACAACCATTGCTGTCTCCAGCCATCGGAATACCGGGGTTTAACCGTTGCAGTGAAGGTTGTCCGTCGTCGTCCGAAAGCTGTTCAACAGCCATCATCATGGCGTCTCGGAACCATGACTTTGACGGGCTTTATTCTGCCCTGAAAAGGGAGCATGGCATGTTCTGTAGCTGTCATGAACTCCTGGACTTTTAAGGATTTGCTTTTGCCCTTTTTTAGTGATCATTTGTCCTGTGACCTTCTTGAGTTCGTTCCTAAGTACACTCTCCAGTATATTCCTCAAAGTTCATGGGGTTTTCCTGACCTAATGACTTCCTCTCGACACCATTCGAGATCCTCTCGACAGGTATTCTTCTCTGTTTACCATATGTATTTTTTAGGTCTCAGACTAACACACTGTACTAGGCGACCTCACGTCAAGTATCATCCTTCCAACCATTGGTGCGTGCCTTCGGCGTGAGCCCTACAGATTGCCACTATGTCTTCACAAAGTTTACGTGTCTACTCCACTCTTCACTGTCCTTCTCGTTCTGAAGTATCTTGACGCACCCACATCTATCTTTTAAACTCATCTAGGTTGAAATTAACTACAACCTTCACTGTCCTCAGGAAAATTTTACAGGAGGGCTAGCCGATAAGTATCACGTTCTGCCCATTTTATTCGTAACTATGACGGTATCTTGGGTGCCATTAAGGTCAATGCCATGACCAAAACCACATATGACGTAAAGTACTCCATGAATTGACACTCCTCACTTGATTCCTCTCGACATATATCTGAAACTTCAGACATAACCTTCTGTGAAAACAAAGGAAGCATGATGACAATGACAACAGAGTAATATGATTTAAAATAATGTTGAACCCATGGAAAGAGCACTCTACACATGCTAGCCACAGTGGAGTAAACCCACAAGTGACTTGCAAGAAGAGCTGCTTGAAGAGCGCAGAATAAGAATCACTAGTCTCACTAACTCGATTCGCATGAAGCACATGCTGGGCTGACATGAATGCTGTCGTATACGTGAGACGGCCAAACCTCCTATAATCACCACCAACAACAATCATATTCACTATGAGAAAAACCCATGATTTCAACGAATATTGAACACTTTGTCGAGAGTGACTTTCGGAAGGGGACGCTCAATCCTTGCTGTCCAAAATAAATGACAATATTTGATGTTTCTTCTGGAAGGAAGAACCATCATTTTGGACGGTGATAATCCCTGAACATTATCGAGTCTATCTAGCTGTGCTTACACAGTCGGAAAATATGTTTCTTCTAAGCTGCTCAGTCCAGGGTTAAACACCCTTGGCCCTGAACACTTCGCTCTGCTTTTCGAATAAGGACCTTTGTGCACCTTGTGAATGTCGCTGTACAAAAACTTTCTACTGACTCTACTTAAGCTTTGACGCTACCTAAATTGGTGTTGGGCTCAAAAAAAGAAGAGATGACTTCCAGAGTCAATCAGCACATTCGTCCACCACGTATGCAGCTTAGTTGCTGATATTCTGAGACCTGTGTTCAAAACTATTCTGGTAACCATTCCCTGCGGAAGATGATCAGAGGACATACGCACCAGCTTTGGTCAAACTTGTCAACTTGAGTACCACGTACTGGGTGGCACAGTGGTCATACACATGCTTTCGGTTTCAAACCCAGGTTCAACCACACACCGAGTATACGCCTTTCTCTTCACTCCCATGAACACAAATTCAAGTCGGACACTTCCTGTTAAATACAAAACTACCTAAAAGAAAAAAAATCCTCTCTTTCAAACTCTGTTTGCCTCCTCGATCAAGCCCCGTACATACTTCCGCACAATCTCTTCTCCCTTTGGACCCCGCCGTTTGTGACATTGAAAGCAGTTCGTCCTGTGTCCAACAAAGACGAGAGTCTCAAATTAGCAGCAATGCAGAATTTTTTTGACCTCGCCAGAGAACAATTTTGAACCCTCTGCATTACAGAGGGGGTTATGTCGGTAATAGACTATTTGCTATCCCCAAAGAAATCCAAAACATATCAATGAACAAAAGATATCCTACCGAACAACGATCATCCGCCCTAGCATTACCTTCTAGGAAAATTTACGTTTTTACATTCCTCACACTCCCAGTTCCCATAAACTCCGGGCTCCGGTCTATGTCCACCCCCCATTGCCGTGGCAGACACAGCTGCTGGATCACCAAACTCCTGCAGAGTTCAACACAAACATGATCACGAAGCCCAAATTGTCTCAATACGATACATGATCTTGATAGGCTAGGCAAAACAATCCAATTTTGGAGCTGGTAGAACTTATCGCCAAACATTTTTAAGAAATGAACTATTATCACGACCCCATGCACTCACCAACTTCTCAACGCTCCAAAGAGTTATGTCGTTAAAACCAACACTTCTGAAAATCACAATGACAATCCTCCTCATAGTCACTACTTGTCCGCGAATTCACTCACAAGCATATTCTTTTAGGAGTCATCTCATATTCGTTGCCTACGCTCAAGCATGCTGGTCGAAACATATTACATACCCTTAGATAATCACTGGGACGGTCTTTGTAGTCTTCATAACGTAAAGTACGGGGTAACATTGCTCTTGGACCTGGAGGCATGTTGGTACTTGGTGGATTGACACGTGGTAAGTAGTTGCCAATCAACGAAGACCCCATTCCGCAGGCTCCAGAATTAATAACCAAGTTTCCCAGGCCAGCACTTGAACCCCCAATGCTTGACGCACTCAGTGGTGATTGAGATAACATAGCCACACCTCCATTCATTCCAACGAGAGAGCCGCCTAAAGCCAGTGAGTTAGCATCGCCCATTATAGGGGATGCTAAAGACGATGTAGAGAGAGCGCCCGAATCTCCCGTCTGCATCCGGGACTTCATAGTCTGTAGCCAAAGTGCAGCAGAAGCCAGACATTCACCGGCATCCCCTACTGGATCAGACGACGCGGCAAAGGAAGCCACTAGCTGCTCTGCCAGGCGCTTTCCTTCCGTAGCCGCACTGCATGTGCCGAGAGATCACATATTGCCAGAATAACAAGGCTCGTTAATTACTGGGCCATTAACTTCAAAAGACCGATGACTTATTCTCCGTCTGAAAGATCTACCTTATTTGGTTCCCATTTGAATTCACATTTTGTTACGATCCGCATGACGTGCTCTGCGATCTACGCAGAGCTTTCTTTGTAAGTTGTTTCAAAATGTTCTAGAGCTAATCAATATTATACAATATCTACCTCAATGCCGAACACTCCAGAGAACTTACCACCACCATCATCACTCCCCCCCAAAAAACGGTCAAGGACATCTGTACTTGAGAAACCGAAAACTCGAAAACTCACCACCTTTACGACTTAGTTCCAAGGCTTCAGTGAGCTGTGTTTTTAGTGACTACACACCGGGTGACTTACTTGAAAACCTCTGAGAACTTCCATCCCACAGCCTACACCTTTTACTGTAAAATAATAAAAGGAAATGAAGAATAGAAACAACCAACTGTGAGTGTCAACAATCACCAACCGCTAAAAGTTCTACCTGTGCCTCTGTGAACTGCATTACCACGAGAATGAAGGTTCCCCAAATGTTTGCAGCAACCTTTTACCGACTGATATCAAGGAACTCTCACAGGGTGCAATCGGTGTATAGCCAAGACTCAGAGACCTCAACTCGCCCACAGGCCCGAGTAAACAAACGATATTCACCGGATGGGCATACAATATTCTGAGAGGATGATGTTAAAAGGATAGTGGTTACGTTGAAGGCTGCAAACATACCTCAGGGTAGACCTGCGGCCCGACAAGCCCCCATCTCCTGTCACATACTGAGAGGCGAACGACGGAACTGGCTGCTCATACCCGCCACCCATCCAAGGCTCAAGCTCGCCTACAAGGTTTGATGACCCAGGAGATATCGAAATCCCCGGCTGCTGTGGTGAGACATCAGAACCGTTATGTGGCATCATACCTCGGGCCATACCCAATCGCTCGGGGCCCCCGGAAACCTGCTATACTTGGTACAAACGGCAAGGAAAAAAATATATGGACAGGAAGGGGTTTGTGTAGGATGGAGAGGAACCCCTCCCAACCCCAAGCCCAACCAGTCAGCATTGCCATTCGCAGACTGTGCAGAGAATCTCAGTCAAATTTTTTCAGCTTTTAAGCCCACCTTCATTCAATACGCGTTACTTACAGAGGAGTTTTGAAAACTTTGAATTACATTTGTTCAGAGTCTTTGTGGTGCACGATTCTTTGATACAAAAACCTTTGAACGTTTCACTAGGACCTAAGGAAGAGGGATCATGGCAAGCCGTACCTAAACACTAGGACCGAAACTACAACAATTATCCCAGATTGGTCATTCACAAACGGAAAGAAATGCTTTCAAAGACCAACCGAAAGAGACTCTAATTATCTATAACTGGTAGGATACACAGTAAAAACTCAACCTTGCGTTGCTTGACCATCCTTACTTCACATTAGTTCTTAGGTTAGATTATACCACACCATATAACCAGACCACCTGTCATATCTTTTGGTCTCCATGAACAATCTACCATGAGCCTTGACCTTACCCGCATTCAAACAAAGACGACCTTGCAATTTCCACGTGCTGTAGCAAAATTCTCTTACAGAAGAGTGCAACTATTTTTCTAATTCAAAACAACATCAACGATACTGACTGAGTCTACAAAATCAATCACGAGAACTACGAAAAAGTGACACTTCGTAGTTATTAGTCTTCAGAAGACTGAGCACAAAATGTTCGAATCATATCCACACTTGCAAACCAGAAAAGAGTTCGCTACTTTTATACTATGAAGCATGAGGCCAAATTCTCACCAATTGAGGAGAAGGCGCCAGTTCTCCACGGGCTATTTTTATGCTTTCTATGTAGGCCTTCACCACTGCATCCCCAATTGCCCCTCGCCTTTTCCCACATTTATTACACTGCACAAAAATACCTAATCATGAAGTGAAGGGAACAAACTCACACTCCTAAAGCGATGACCCTATTCCAATTTTCTGGGATATGGATTTATTGAAGTCGGATAAAGCTGAACAAAAAGGAGAAGAAAAGAAAGCGATGGGAGCAACAGCTCTGCCTGCTGTTTTCAATGATATGAACGAGACAACAAAGGGCCACACACCTCCGTCCGCCGTGGGTAATTGACGTTTGCACAACTGGAGTCTTCACAAATCCAATTCCCATCTTCTAATGGCCGAGGTTGCTTTCCGCCTCGGTGCATGTCCCCGTTCATTTGCTCTGCGATGCCTTGCATTCTGATAGAATTACAATATCTGTTAGACAAAAATCCTATGCCTTCAGATATAACCAAACTTGCGGATGATAAATCTTGCCAAGTTAGTTGGTATTTACGGATGCACCATTCTTGCGTATAAGACAATCACCATGTGCGTCAGCCTTTTAGATATAAATTATTTCCTAACACACAAAACCACTCGTAACATCACACCTCAAATAGCATATATCGAAATCATCAACACAAGAGTTGAGAAATCAGGCCCTGGATAAGGGGCGGGAGAGAACTCAAGGTTGCAGTTATGACAGTCTTGCAGAAGCCAATAAAAAAATTCGTTGTAGGATCCATAACTATATAGTTGCATTCATTCAGAACATTTGCACTGTCACTAGAAAGTGCAGGTGAAAGAATTATTCCTGGAAACGAACAAGTCACCAAAAAAGTTTTTCTTCCATCTTAAGTACACGACACTGCGTCATTCTTTCTCAAAATCCGACAACTGGTGGACAACTTCTGATCGGATGGCTCTCTTGGAAACTTGGAAATAGGTCCCTTTGTTACTCGGATTTCGTTCTTTCTAGAATCAGCAGTTGAAGTAAAAGAGATGTACACGAATTATTTTTTAATCATGTTCAATACAATGTCATCTTAAGTTCGATGTGTAGAGAACTTTATTCTAAAACAAGTATCCTGAGTATCCAACAGATCATCATATGCAAATGTGTTCTGTCAACAGTGGCTTGTAGTAGAGTAATTTACAGTAGATATTGAATGAAGACACTATATGTTCTTAGACAGGGTGTATTTGTGTACGATCTGCGAATGGTCTTAAAAATGAAGAAGTATGGCGCACGGTTTTATTTCACTGGACAACAGGTAAGAGACTGTATCAAGAGGTACTGTGAGTAGTTACTTCCGTTCCCTCATGAGCAATCAGCATGCTGGAGGTGGAGTCTGGTGTACAATATTTACTGCCTCATTGCTAAAGTCTTGTTGGCAGTACGGGGTTCGAGCAGCATTGGAGGATAAAATGTTAAAATTTTATGGGAAGAAAGGACTGGATGTTATGAGAAACTCTGTTCCAGCCTGAGAAAGCAATCAAGATGCAATTTATAATCTGTACTCTTCTGGGATGAGCATAGAGTCCGACATCTGGGAGATGAAGTTTAATTGAATAGTGAAAAAAAGTCAAATGAGCACTTCCGCAGAAGTCCAGAGCAGGACACGAGAAATTTGCGTGATTGACATATAGTGGCAGCTTTGACAATTTCTTATTGCCATAAAATGTAATTGACATCAAGTAGAAACAGAACTGTAATTCACCAACGGTTACACATTTGTTTGACTGAGAGTCCCTCAAATTAATAGACGAAGTTACAATTCGATGATCATATCTTTTGGCATTACCAAGCAGTGTGCGAGTGGCTCCAGCAGTTTCGAACCCAGAAAGAAGAATTCCGGCGATAGAGCGAACCCAGGCTAGAAGAGGCATACTTGGAATCAAGGCGAGACCAATATGCTGCCCCACAAGCAGATGGAAACATCTGAAACCCCGTCAGACATTGACACTCATTCACGGGAGTAGAAACCTAAAGAAAGGTTTCGATTTGTCCAGTCTTCAAGCTTTACTCATACATACCGCGAGAGCCGAGGGTGCTTCGGAAGCCGACTCGCATAATGCCCTCCGGACTCATCACCTCCATACATAGCTTCGCAGATCCTCGTGCGAACTACCCTAACAAGTAGAAGACTAAAACTGACAGTCTAAATGTCCTGGCCTACTACCTTGCGCTCCCTCGTTCCGGTTGCCCCGAGCCAAGCTAATGTTTTGATAAACATCGACAGACCAAACTGCACCTGATCCCTCTCCTATCGTGAGTCACTCACTGGCTCGCTCCCCTGCCCTCCCTCACCCGGAATTCCTACCAAAACGTGATATCGGACACAGAAACCGCAACGAAACAGATGCCTGGTGGTTCCGCGGAGCACCAGAGCCACGACAACTGCGAAACAAAACAAATGCGCTGAGGACAATAAGATCCCCACCCGGAGGCGGAAAGAGCAAGAGCGCGCACGAATGCAAACGAAAAAAAGGGAAGAAAGAAAGAAAGAAAGAAAGAAAATAAAAATCCTAATAAAGCCTCGGATCTATTCCCGGCGCCAGTGATGATCGATCCACTCGCACTCGAGTCCACCACTCTGCTGCGACAGCGACAACGACAACTCGTGCACTGTGCTGTGCAGGGCCGGGGAGCCGAGTACCAAGAAAGCAGCCACTTTGCGGGAGCACGCACGGGGCGCCTCAAGAAAGAAAAAGGTGCTGCGAGTTGATGCCGAGCCCCAAGACGGGCAACGGGCCTGGCGCCAGGGGAAACCCGAGCGACGACGACGACGACGAGGATGGCAACTGCACGCGTGCGCGGGCGCGGGCGGGGATTCTGAGAAGTGAGTGGCACGGGCGACACGGAGCGCGGGCCGTCTTGGTCGCGCGGAAAAGGTCGGACGTGGCAGCGCGTGACTGGCTCCCGCTTTCGCTTCACCGTTGGTTCGTTATTTTTCGGAGATTTGACAAGAACTGTCCAAAGGCGTCCCGGTCCCCATTGCCGTCTGCAAAATGCCCTGTTCCCATTCGCGAGTGGGGTCCGGTGCCTCCATCGATCTCTCTCAGATTTTTGTTCCTCCGCTTTGCGCGATATTTTTCCCTGGTGCCCAGCTCAGCCAGTGCAGTGCGCCTGGCCTTGACTTTTCCAGCCTTGGTCCGCAATTGAGCTTTTTCTGACACCCCCCTGAGATGCGGATCCTGCTCATTCTGGCAACTGCCAGAGCTCTTCGGTCCTTTGACGGACGTCGCGGGCCCAAATTCTGTAAACGCATTGGCTTCCGGGCTCATACTGGACCTGTCTATCTGGATCCCACATCCATCCGTCTCTGCAGAAAGTTCATCCAGATTTACTTCTTTCTTTCCCTTTATTTTCCTTGTTTCCACAGTTCTTTTTCCCCATGTTGTCGAAACTTGTTTGGTATACGGATTCTCTACGCCTTACACAGCATGTTTGGTTCATTCATGCGTACATGAATGAACTAACATTTTCCCAAGGGTCTGCTTTTCATTTCAATTCTATAAAAAATCTACACAGTTGCGAGATACTTTATTTGATAATGTGGAATCTGAAAACCAAAATTGAAATTCTCTTTAGACTTTATACTAAGAATGTATCCATATTAGGAAAGGGAAAAGGAATCGAAGTTGTAATCGATCACTGACCAGTCTTTATAATGGGACCGGATGATATAAATTCATATAACCATTTGTTCCTCTGAGTGCAACTTGCATATATTTGCATCGAACTTTCACATATCATGATATTCCACGAGGATTTGTTTCCTCACGTGTGATTGATATGAAGCAACCTTGAATTAGACCCGTGGGAACAGCGTGCAGATTGGATTGCGCACACCTGGCTTGACAAACGCCAGCTTCTGTCAAGAAGCCAGAACTGTTCTTCTCTTCTCATTGTACCAGGAAAGCTCTGGTAACTCATAAAACGCAGGATGTCTACGTCATGAGATGGGAGTGAATGTGTGGGAGGGGAGCCTGGGAGGACAATGTTTCGTTGACTCGGAAATCCTCTGAGAAACTGTGAAAACTTGTAAATAAACAGCGAAGCAATCACATCGAAAGACTACGGTACGTTGTGCAGGCAAGACCGTGACCATGACTTGGACTCTTGCAAAGAGGCAATTACATCACGGGTTTGTACGACCACATTCCCTCACATCCACAACATGCTTCGAAGCTGCAATCCCTTCTGATCCTAGTGTCTGTCATTCTTCGACTTCACGATCGTCGTTCTTCATGGAACCTACGAAAAAACGACGATCAGTTCCTGGTTTCAGTAATCTGTCGACTGTTCGTAACGTTGTTTGCCTCCCAATGCTCTCACCGTCCGCTCCACTAATCCTCCCCCCTTCAGACTATAACAAATCTGGGCCACGATTGCAATGTACATCACTAACTCTGAGCATCACGGCGTCTGACTGCGACTAATAAACTGCTAGACGTTGTGATTTGCGATATCCTTCACGTACAGCTAACGAAAACTAATCGTGAGATTTGCTCAATTCGTTATATAGCGTTATATTTACGGCAAATGCGAATCACCAAGAGTTACGAGAGAGCGCATTACGATGCATGTGTGTGTCGACTGAGATACTACTACGTGACATGATGCCATGCATGCAAGGGATGCTGCGACGGAAGAGAACTTGACGAGGAGAACGTTGCGGCGAGGGGCAGCGAGAAAAGAAAACATTCCGATGCGTGGTGACGGCAGTTCGGCTTCGACAACGAAGCAGTGGAGTGGGGACGGGTGTGCGGCGTCATCGATCGCTCTGAATCTTGGCATGGTTTGCACATGAATCGTCTGCCCATGAACCTTCTTCAAACACCCGGTCTGTCTGTCTGTCTGTCTGTCGGAGATGGAAGCCCATGCAACTGTCGCCTCGCTAGGCTGCATTCTAACTGGACAGTCTTGACAAGACCAACCGCACGCTCTACTGCGGCGCTGCCCTTCTCTACAACCGTGAAGGACTCGATCGGTTTCATCAAGCGCGATGCTGGAGTTTACTGCATGCTTCGTACCGCCGTGGTGGTGGCGAAAGAGAGCTGGCTTGCAGTAATGTAGACCCGTCGTTGTCCGTCGCCAGCGACTGGACTTGATTCAGTTATATACACTCACCGAACATGCAATCAAGGAGACGGCGAGAGTTGAAGAGATAATAAATGTACAGCAGGTCAGAGAACTGAGCTGGGAGAGATGAAATGAGTATGGCGATAAATGAGTGACAGCAGCGTTGGGACTGGTTACGACAAGGTCAACGGTCTTCACTATTGTAATACAAAGAGTGGTCATTTCTGCGCAAGTTGACATGTAAGATGTGGATGCGTAATGGGCTGAATTCGTACGTAGAAGCAATCATCGCTGCATTGCCCAAGCATCTACAGAATTGCGTATGAGTGAGCACCCCACTGATTACCGTACAGTAGCGTTGAGGTTGGGATGTGATCGTGAAACCGTGTCCTCAGCTTAGCTTGGGTATCGAATGGCAGCGCAATAGTCGTCAATTGGTGATGACCACTCTGATGTCAGAATCTGACTCGGACTCGGGGGACTCCTTCCAGTTTCAGATATTTCATCTGAGAAATAACCATGGTGGTACGATTGGTTACAGTTTTGCTGGTGTGTGTGGCCCGAACCGGACTTAGCTATGAATCACGTGTCAAGTCACAAGCAGACCGCTGTTGCTTTCTTCGTTGGCGAGAATTGGTCCTAAGAGCTGGATTTGAAGGCATTTATGTTTCTATTCCCTTGCTGTCCATTTCTGCTGTGGAGCTTTGTACTCTTCTAACAGTACATGTACTGTCGAACCTGGATGAGGGCTACATGTGTACGTGCAGTTCCGTTCTATTCAACGGATTTTCCGATAGTAGTTGTGGTATGGAAAATCTAACTGAGCGTATAAAATTTTGAGCAAGGGCCTTATCCTCTCCACTTAAAAGAATCGATCTCTCCATGTTTACCCCATGAAATGGTGCAACTTTCGGCTCAACTTTGTGAAGTGAAACAAAGGCGACACAAAGATGGCACATAGACGTAATTCTAGTACCTTGCGTAATTTCAAGTAAAAAATTCTTGTCAATTCTGGACATTTGAACAAACTTCACTGGCCACTGAAGAGTAAAGCACGATAATCCTCTTGATTTATTTTGCTTCAAAATATTTCGGTCCCCTCTATGAAGTAGAACTTTTCAGCTCAATCAATTTTCAATTTTGATCGTAAAAGATAAAGCTGAAAAGACTATTGTAAATGAGAAATATATTTGCAGTGGAGAGAAATCTTTTTACAAGACGTTTTGAAGCCCCAGGGGCTGACTCTGAAGTTAATATCCTTAATATGAATATGCCATGCTGCTCAAAAGAACTCCTTTGACTCTTCTGAACACGAACGCGATCTACAAAGTTTGCTAGCATGGAATATTGTTAGAGTCAAATCATGCAATCAAGGGTCCATGACGTACGTACCATACGACCAAGGAGCTGAAGAGTTCGAAAGTGCTGCGGTTGAAGAGTCGTTTTTTCATACGACATAATCTCCACTACCGGAAACTTTGTTCGTGTAAAGGATGTACTACATTATGAATGTCGACATTTATAATATCCGATAGTTCAGTAAATTCTAGAGTATTTCATATCCAATATAATATGGTCAGCCCCAATTTATAAATGAGAAGATGCACTTGTGTACAGGTGCAAACATTGCATTACCATAATTGACTATCCTCGACCGGTGCGGCAACGACAAGGTCCACTCTATCTACAAGGATAGCAGTCGTCCAGATTCGTCTGTATTATATCTGATACCATGCAGACTTCCTGACAGAACAGCACGGTAATGCTGTGAATGTTTCCTGGACAGAACATATCATAATTTTCATAGTTCATGATCATTGTCAGCATAGATTATTGTCAGGATAAGTCTACATATGATTCGTTTTACCACAAAGTTTTTCCCGGTGGCTTGCACTTGAGTAGATGTTGTCCCCTCCTTCTCCTGAAATCAGTCTTTGCAACATTAACATCAATATTACTCGATATGATTCCTCATTCCCTGACATGCCATATCTCATAGTGCATATTCCCTCCTCTGAGATCTAACAATGAATGGATACAAAGTTGTTTCCAGCTCAACAAGGAATCAAAGGAAGTGTTTTTTCCGAATGATACTGCACACTAACTTGAGGAGACGGAAACTAACACTGTAACGTTCTTTCTGAAAAGCCTTAGGAATCCCTGACACCGTGGAACTTATTGTGCTTTGAAATTCTGTTATCTGCAATCGTCTGCAAGATTGCATTATCCATCCACGTCTGAAAGAGTGTGCTAACTCTTCGGTTGAGTGGGGTGTTGCATGGTTGTTCTAGAGTGTTTTCAGATAAACACGGGACCTCAAACACTCAGCTGGCAGCTGTGCAATTAAGATGGAGCGCCATCGGCATCAGAGGGAGACGAAATTTCAGCAGCTCAGCGCCAATGGACAGGAGAATGATTGATCGCCTAGTAATGGTTTGGTAGACATGAACACTCTGTTTAATCAATGCTCGAAATGCAGATGTTTGAACGCCAATGATGAGAATATAGTCTTCGAGGATTCAGTAGCTGAATTCAACACCAAGAATTTTTATATCATACAAGGAAGTAGTTTATTCTGTACAGAGTTTAGTACATGTATCGACTGACGGTGGCGGCATTCTTAATGGCGTCTATTCTTCCCACTCATTCGCAGTACGATGTAGAAAAGAGTTCGGAAAAACACCCCAAAACTGAACGTTATGCCTAAATTCACCCACTTTGACAGTTCTATGATTTCTCGGGATACAAGAATGTCATGGCCCGTGAGAACACAAGTTCCAGCATTCAACCTTGCGTAGGAGGTATTCGCCAAGGCACCGCGGAGGAATCCAAGCATGCCGTCGATCAGAGCTGCATCCTGAACTTCTGCGAGAGGAGTGCCGTAGAGGATCTCGGAGCCCCTCTGGAAGCAACTTCCAGCTCTGTCAAATTCGTTGATGAGTACAGCCTCGAATGGGTACTTGATGATGGATAGGTAGTGGAACCAGATCCAATACTTGGGAATGCGGTCCCTGGAGATGAAGAAGCCACTGAGCAGCAGAAAGTAGGCCAGCAATGCCACTACTATGGTGTAGCCAAGCATCACGTTGGGCATCACCGCCGACAGGAGGGTGACAAATGAGTTACCAGCCCAGAAGGAAGCCCACGTTATCAGAAAGAAGAAGCCAAATCCTGAGCCACCGCCGGCTAGACCCACAGCCCACCATATAGTGATCGAGAAAGCCAGCGACAGAATAGCCAGAAACGGGATGTAAATCAGAGCGTGCGCCAGAACGTACGACGACTTCCGATAAGCATTGTGAGCAGTCTCCCTCATGAAAATGTAGCGCTCCTGCATGCACGACAATAAGTCCCGGCGCAGTCAGAAATGCTATTCGTGCGATCTGATTTCAGAACTAGACGAATTGCAGCTTCGACCGATGAATCTAACGCCTAGACAGTAACGTAGTAAGTAGTCGTCCAACACAACTAATTGAGCTGAGTGCACTTAAAACCGTGTCGATCAGTAGGCTGATTTCACAAAGGTGATCTCCATTAAGTTATGGGCCGAACTAGGTTTTACTGCCAAGCCCCTTGTATCATCCCATCAACGAATACACCGCAAATTCTTCAATCGATGATACCCCAAAATACATCATATCCAAAGGATCCTGATGTCATAGGATCTTCGTAAATCGACAAGCTTTTTTCTATATATCCGCCTTCTACTGCGAAACCCATGACCCAGCAGCGCCACTAATTTGCCGAAATTGCTGAAACCTCTTTTCCAGATTTTCGACTCGACAAGGGAAAGAAAAAACCAAGAAAGTATTGAGATAAGGATGGAACTGAAAAAATAAAGGCAGGAAAATAAAGACTCGACGGCGGTCCAAGAATGGCAGAAAGATCGCCAGTCTCCATAGTATAAAAATCAACACGTGAATGAAGGGGCCGAGGGACATGAAGTCCAGCGCTGTCAAAGGGCCGATTCACTCGACGGTTGGTGAGCCGTCTGGAAAATTTTATGGGCAGACGAAATACGTTGCATGGCAGCGGGAAGAACTAGGAACCACGTACCTGGAGAAAAACGGGCAGAGCGTCGGCGCAGGTGTAGTACGTGGTAGACATGGCGAAGGCGAAGAAGCCGAGACGCTCTTGGACGCCCTTGGGGGAGTGGTCGAGGCCCCAGAAGACGGTGGCCAGGAGGAAGCCGGTGACCATGACGGTGCCCAAGCGCATGAGGAAGAGCTCGGGCGTGCGACTGATGTTGATGAGCGACCTCCACGTCAACACCGGCACCTCGCGCCACAGCGGATTGGCGAATTTCACCACCATGGACGACGCCGAGTCCAGCTTGGCCAAGTCGACCATGACGTCGCAGCCGCCTTCTTGATCATTGTATCCTCGTGTCGCCACTAGCTTGCCCCTTGCAATGCTCGCATTTATCGCGCCGCGCACGTCCATTCCACCCACCAGCGGCTTCAGCCCGCACTCGGCCTCATCGTTTCCGTCCCGCCATACCTTGGAAAACTCGACCAGCGGCTTGATTCCAGTGGGTGAGCTATGCAGCTCCTGGATCAGATCCAACGCGTGCTCTGTGCTGTTCTCGTGCTCCGGGACGGGCCGCCCGAAGGCCGCGTAGAACGAGTTCAATCCCGACGGCGGTCCCCCGTAGATCTTCTGACCGAACGCCAGAATTATGAGCCTGTCGAGGAGTCCCAGGATTCTGTAGCTCGGTTGGTGGATCGAGAGAATCACTATGCTGCCCGTCTGAGCTATCTTTTGCAAGGTTTTGATCACAAGGTAGGCCGAGGTCGAGTCCAATCCCGAGGTGGGTTCGTCCAGGAAGAGCAATAGAGGGTCGTGGATAATGTCGATCCCGATCGAGACTCTGCGCCTCTCCCCTCCCGACACCCCGCGGTGGCCCTCGTCGCCGATGATGGTGTGCGCCACTCGGTGCAGACCGAGCTGTAGCAGCAGCTGGCCCACTCGTTCCTTCTTGCGCTCTGTGTTGTGCGAGCTGCTGGGCAGCCTCACTTCCGCTGCAAACATCAGCGTCTCCTCGACGGTCAGCATTGGAAACAGCAGATCGTCCTGCATCACGTATGCACTGATGCTCTTGAGCAGGCTATTGGACACCTGCACAAACACAAACGACCACCAAAAGCTCGGACTCAGAGATCTAGTTCGCATTATTCAGGAGCATGCCGCTAAATCCTGACATACGATTATCAGTGTTCGACTTTCACAAGTGAGTTACAATACAGGCTCACGCTTACCTTTCACAAGTGACCATCACAGGACGATTGAAAATGTCTAGAGTGGGGCCTTTAAACGACTTACAAATTGCAGTCATCTCATTTGAAGATCAGCTAAAAAATCCACTGGAGTGTGAACCTTAGTGAATATTATACTCCATTCAAATGTATAGAATAACAGAATATATGCATCCATGATCACGTATTCAATAAAGTTAAGTGACACATGAGAACGTACTCGTATGGATATCCGAGAAAAGTCTGCATATTGTTTGTGCACAATGGACGGACATGTGGGATGAGAGGAGATTCATCAACCTGCTCTCCGTTCAGAGTGATGGTGCCCGCCAAGCTCTCGGGAACTATTCGCTGAGCGAGAGCATCGATCAGAGTAGACTTGCCCGAACCGCTGGGACCCATGACGGCCAAGATCTCACCATCCCTGGCTTCTCCAGAGATCTGGTCCAAGAGGCGGACCCGAGAGCTGGTGCTGGGTGCGGGCGATTGACTCGGATTCACAGAAGCTGAATTCTGCCCCAAGCCCGGAACTCCTGACATTATGTTCTTCGCCTTTCTGGCGCTCTTCTGCTTCACCGTGTACGTGAGACTATGAAACTCCAGCACGATCAAGGGGTGCTTCCTGATATCTGAAAGGTTCAAGCTCTGAGTGTCCGCCAAGACGTCGACAACTTTGTCCCCCGAGCCTGTCGTCGCGCCTCCGGATGCTGACATATCGAATGAAGTGCTGTATGATTTGGATCCCGGAGAACTCCCGATGTTTCTGACCTTCTTCAGCACTTCGCCCACTGTGGGAAGGCGGCCGGGCAAGGGTGTCATCTTGAAGCTTGAGGGCGACCGTGGAACCAGAAGAACCCTGCCATCTTCACGATCAGATGATTCATGTTGAGGCCCTGCCACAGCGTTGGAGGCCACGGGAAAGCTCAAATCCCCCAAGGAGATTTCCGTCGTAGTATTGCTGCTCGTCCTCTCGCGACGCTGGAGCGAAACTCTTCCTGTTACTGACGTCGACGACGTGACGCTCACGTCTGATTCCCCCCTCTCAGTGGGCGCAGTCTCAGCTGCGGGCGGCTGGAATATATCATAAGACTTGTCCATGGATCCTACTGCGGGTAAGTCCAATTCGGACACCCCGAAACGATGGAGCGATCGAATGATAGATCGATCGATCGAGCTTACGTACTCAAAACGAAATTGCCGCGATGAGCAGCGGTCAGTCTCAATAAGACAGAGGGCTGACTTACTTCCGAGTAAATTGTGCAATAACCTTCTCTGGTTCTAGGCGGAATTCGTCGACGACATTTGGTACTCCCGGCGCGTGCAACAAACTAGACCCGCCATGAGAGGCTGAGGGAGGGGCTGGGCAGTGTATGGGATTTACGTCGATGTGGGGGCAAGTCCCTCTCGTGGCATCTATTTATAACCCGAGAGTTGTCCCCAGCAGTCGTCGTAGACCATCATTCTGCTTACCCTAGGAGGGATGACTCTGATCGCGTGCTGAGGGCTGCTTTTTCAGAAAGAGTGCTAGAGTTACTTTGCTGCCCCGTACGAGCATGCGTCCTTTATTACGAGGAAGTGGACCGCTAGGCAATAGTAAGAATCATCGTCCCGCCTCGTGGTAAGCAAACGATGCATCTCAGAATCTGGTCTCAACTTGCCCCCGCACGCCCATCGAATGATTCATGCTCGCTTCCGAACAAGTACGTCTATCCGACTACGGGCTAACTTCAACCACCGCCTATATTACACACTCTGACATGCTCTCCATCTCCAGTCCTCTCCCTGGATCTCAAAAACTCCCAGATTATGACCGACCCAAACCGACCGCAGTTACCAACAGACTACTGCTCGCGGTGGAGAACTCGATCGATCGATGCTCTCAAAATGAACGAATCTTCCCGGGGACCATGTCAATCTCTTCCGGCCTGCGATTTTTGGGCGAATATACTCACGAGCAGCTTAATAAAAGCTCGCCCGTCATGGAATCTGATCACTCATTGCAGATCGATTGCAGCCGACATTGTTACGTTCTGGGTAAAGCAGGCGCTAAAATCGCCCTAATCTTGCTCGGATCGGCAATGTCCTGCGCAGTATAATCCTCCGGACGGCGTTGAGAAATGCCCGAGCCCGCGAATCGTGCTCTGCAGCGCCCCATCCCTTCGACCATCGCTCGCTTTGTGGCCTCGTGGCGGTGAAGCCTCCGTCCTGCAACGTCTCGGCTCTTCTTGACCCAGAGTTCTGCCCCCGACAACGTGCGCCGCCCGATGTGACATCTGGATGGTCGAGACCGCGCTGAGAGAAAGAATCTGTAGAAATCTAACGAAATTCCTTCCACCTTACCGAACTTTTTAGCCGCCATTCAACCGATGGTTTACATTTCCTTCTTAACGGAAACTGCATGAATCTGAAGATTCTGCGCCTGGTGACGCTGTTATACACTTCGCACTGTCACGTAAGGTCGTCGCCCTTCCTACAACAGAGCATGCAGCGACCAGTGTACAGCCTCACTCAAAGAGCTCCCATAATGACCAATAGAAGGGCGTAGAGGGGAAAAGGTGAAAAGAGTGAGTCAGCAGCCATCGTGGAGAGCTGCATTATCCTACAGAAAGATTGCTGAGCATAAGAGAGTAGCAGGGTTTGAAGACATGACTTCATGCACTGTAAAGAAATGACAGACATTGCTGAAATCATAGAAACTCAAGAACATCCTGTTCACTTCTCCCTGACAGCTCTACCTGCGTTCTCAGAATCTGAAACATATTACAAAAGTAGATCCATGAAGCTTGCATCCAACCTAGATAATCCACGTTATCCATAAAGTGTTCAATTGGCTTTCCATTTTTTGACACGAGTTAAGTACCACTTTATTTTGGATGTATTACAATGAGTGTTAGAGTAAATGAAGATTACTCAACTGATATGAACCAGTTGATTATGTAATGATGTGGCTCCCTCTTATGTGCACTTAGTCGAAACGAACCTTTCCGTTGCACTTTAAGACATGAGAGTACTCGTTGATACAACAATTTATACAAGGATGAAACCAAATCGCTATATGGGGGTAAAAGATACTTCATACAATAACCATCTGGCTCATGAATATGTAAACTTGAATGCTAAAGTAACAAAGATGTGCCTTCTTTGCACAATCTAGTCAGAGAATTTCGTGAGAATCGTTTCTAATTGCATTCCATTAAAGGAGATGGATGAACAAATATTCCATGCCATTCCATGTGCATTCACTGATGAATGCACATCATAGTTCTTTACAATGCTTCGTAACAAAGTTGGCCATATGAGATGGATACATTGATTCATATATAGCACAATGATATATGATAGCATAAAAATGAGAGTATTGAGTGGTCTGAGCTAGAAGTGTCACAAACCTAGAGCAATCACGTGTGATAGCTTCAAAAAAATCAGCTTAATTAATGTAAAAGGCAAAAATTCAAAAATGTGACTATTGTCACTTCTCTCACCCTTTAACTAAAAAACATTACCTATTATATGTTTACAATATATAAATTTCAAGTGAGTTCGAACAGTGGGCATAGCGATCCAGGGCTTAGAGCTTAGTTGGTTTAAACGCACCGCTCATAACGGTAATATTGTAAGATTCCGTGTTCATAGATATAGACCTGTTTCATACAGCACTTATATCCGGATATAGTTGTAAGAAGTAATTGTGCTGTTGAGAATATTTAATTGAGAAAGCAAAAATACATGCAAATACTATATGCAGGTTCATTGTTTTATATTTCAAAGCCATTAAAACCCTGCAGGGACGTTAATATTAGAGATAAGTTAGTATTCAACCTCATTACACTTTTGTATTTTTCTGCGGGAGAGGGAACTATACTCACGGGTGTCTCTTTCAAAGCAAGAGGCTAGCTAGGTGCCATACAAAAGCCGAATCCATGATAGGCTCCCCTTTTTGGCTACAGTATTCAGTTGATATCTGCTACACATCTTGAATTTTGCACAACAATAAATATGATAGCAATATTTCAACGCCAATTAATATCTTGATTCAGACGTACACGTTTAAAGGGGCAAATTTCTTTGACTCTACAAAAGTCCTTGACCTTTAATATCTTTTGGGAATTTAAATGAACTAGAGAATGTTTGTAATACTACAACCTTCTTTTTTAAATTTTCACTGCTACAAAAATATCTAAATCAAACAAGTTCAAACTGCAAGTTGTTGAATGTTATCTATTTTATTTTATATCATTAAATTTTCATTCTTAAAAAAATATTACTCAAACTAAGTTTGTTCGCGTAAGATCAATCGCTTAAATGGCTTGCATATATAAGAGATAAAACTAAGATCTAGATAATGTTGAAATCTAGAAAATGAGGAAATAATTCTTAACCAATTACATTTACCATCATACTTATATATATAATAAGCTGTTGATAGATATCATTAAAACTAAGAATCACATTAGACATTTACATCATGACAATTTTGTTTTTCCCAAACTTCACAAAAAATGAAAGAGTTTACATATATATAAAGTTACCATCTTAATCCTTTCTACCGTGATTATCTTAGAAGATGGTAGAATTATAAACTAGGAGCCAATTTTGGATATTTTGTGATCTATGTATTTTTACCCATGAAGTTCGTAGGGATCCAAACATATAATTTTTCTTGATAAATTTGCTTCAATATCAAGAGAAACTGAAATGGAGCTGTATGTCAACGCAGGGCCACTTTCATGTCAGTCTGATATTACTCAGTGCTTCATATGGGATACTTTTCCAATTTTGCTTCTAATCAAATTTTTTTATTTAATAACCACAGAGGTTAAGAACAAATTGATCTTGATATATAATCCAAGCTTTATTCACTTCTGATATTTGTAAAACTGTTCATCTCAGTCTTCATAATCTGTTTGGCTGTTTGGAGATAGTATAACTTTGTGAATGGTTGAAACTTTACATCTCATTTTTATAAGAAGAACTGAATTTGAAATATGTAAATAAGTTTTCTAAGCCTGGAAACTGTTTCGCATGTTAAATTAAGTTAATTTCTCCTCGAATTTTAAGAAAAACACGTAATAACAAAAATTAGTGAAATTCTTTAAATGGATTGAATGCTCAAAGAAGTTTAGAGTTCATGGGACTCCTTTTTCCCATGTAAAGTCTAAAAAGTACAGCCGTAAATCTCTACTTGGCCCCCGAATTTTGAAACCCCCGAATGCCCCTGAACTCCCGATTTCTACCCATGTTTTGCTTCTTTCTGCATCGACATGACCGATGCTAAGAGGATATAGATGTACATGACCAATGTACATTCATTCATCAAATTCAGTGAGAGAATCATGCTCATGATTGATGCCAATGTGACAGAGACTTCCAAACATGCTCTAGTGGTGTGTCCGAGAGCAATTGGAGAATGGAGAATAGCGGGGTACACACACAACGTTCACTTCCACGGGTTTCCTCAATGTCCACTCCGAGACAAGAACGGCTGAAATTGAAAAAGAGGCTGTACTTGTGAGAAGTAACGCGATAAGTAAGTTGACGAGGATTTCTTCTGTTGTGACTCGTTTTGCTTCAAACTTCCGTTGTAGTACAGTACACTATGAGCCTACAAATGTTGCTTGTTTCACGAGTTTGGCATTAAATGAAGCGGACAAGTGGTATTTTTAATTTAGTCATCGTTATCTCCTTACCCCAAGTGGTTGTTACCACGTGTCGTTGGAGTTCTAGCAGAGGACGTAAGGAGGACTGCGAATAAGAAGTTAACTAAGTTCGTATCTGGAGTAAGTGAACTTCTCCCCTTGTCTACCATGATTTTTCGAGGTTCAGTTCATTTTGAGTCATTTTTTTCTAAAATTCTTGGATGATGATATGTACATTATCATATCTTTATTTTCCGGATGCTGTTAAGGCTATGTTCTCATGACCAATTTTTAGCACCTCCCCCGTCCTAGGTGTGCGAAAAATTCCCTTTTCACCTCTAGGATGATCCTCCTTAGATGATATATATATATATATATATATATATATATATATATAAACGCAGGTGGTTTATGTAATTTTTCTTTTAACTTCCCTGACAAACTCTCAGTGGACTTTACATGAGCATCGTTTAGATTTGACAACATCTTTAGGTAAGGTACTAAAGTTACACATTTGAACGATTCGACGAATTACTTCACACAATGTGAACACTTCGACTTCGTCAAAGTTCTTCGGCCCCGAGATAGGTCGGAATAATGAAAGTAGGAGAGTTCCACGGCTTTACAGGCACAGTGGAAAAATATTATCTAACATATAAAATAAAATACATACCTGCTGAGATATTGTACGCAATCCAGGGTTTCCACCCACGTTTTTCAATTAAAGCCGATCTGACTTTTTAGTTCCATATGAACCACTTGTAGACCACTGAGCGGAATCGCATGGTAAAGAAGTGAAAAATGTTGGTGGATATGTCAATATTCATTCGGCAATTTTTAATTTTCTATCGCGATGGGAATAAACTTGAAGGTGTTTCACTGAGATTCTCTTATTCGAAGTATGTTGAACATGGAGTTACTAGTTATATATTCAAGATTTTTTTGGTCTAGAAAATAATGAAGTCATTTTTACTTAATGTCAAATTTCTAGCATAAAGCATAACTAGATTTATACATCCTTTCTAACTTATAACTAATGGAATTTTTTTGGAAATCAAAATCAAAGTAAAAGATGAAAAGATATGGTGATAAAAATGTACATCCATTTATTCCTAGATCATAATTATACCTAAAACGATCTACAATTTTCTAAATATTCTTTTACAGAGATTCATGAAACAGTACACTAACTTATATAGACAAAAATTTGTATTTTAAGGATACTTGAGATGTAAGTCTCTATAATAGTTTCATCTATATTAGTCAGGTTGTTTGTAAACAATGTTATGGTAAAAATTTCAGATCTTTTATATCATTATAACATGTAAAGAAAAAATTAGTTCAGAAGCAATTTAATGCATTAAATTAACATTTTTGAAAGAATTTAACTAGTGTTTTGATTAATTTGTTACATTAACCTCAATAACTTAAAGCTGTCACACCATCATTATTTAAGAGAGTTGATTGAAACTCTCATTAATAATAATTGAAATTTTTTGGTGAGTGAAATCAAAATGTTCCTCTAGCCGCAGTAATGATTCAAAATGTTCATAATGAAATGATATTTTTTTCATGATTATAT